ACTCTTGCAGCCCCTGCGGCAGGTAGCTGCCGCGCATGTCGACCAGGAACCGCTCGAACTCGGCGTTCGTGAAGTCGGACTCGAAGAGCACAGAAGTGTCAAAAAACTTCAGAATGCCGTCCAGCATGCCCGGGCGAAAGTGGAAGCTGCAGGGCCGCGTTTCCCCGCTGATGTGCAAAACTTTACGGTCCTGCTCCTGCGCTTGGCGCATCTCCAGCGAAATCAGCGGTTTCAGTGGGGTAGAACAACGAAGTTTCAGTTGGTCTGGATCGATTTTTTCGTGGTCCATCTCATCTGAAGTAGAGGACGGTGAGTGGTTCGGGTGAAAGTTCTTCTGTTTGCTTTTGTCACCAACATCGGGTGCAGCTGCGTTTGTCTTCGCATGGACAGACGCACCAGGGCTTGCACCATGTCGACGTGCAGACGAGCCAGAATTTGAGTCGTCTCTATTCATTTCCAAGAGAGGCAACTCGTAGAGCATCGCGAAGCACTGCGGGACCTCCACTTTCATGGTGTAGACGCCGGAGTCCTTTCCCAAATGATCTTTCAGCGACCCGGTAGACTCCATGGAATATAGAAACCCGCTCTCGCCGTACAGATTTAACAGAGGGAACTTGTCGTTGCGATCCGCGTGCCACAGCTCCACATGGATGCGTTGCCTCACGCGCACATACAGAAAAAAGAACGAGGGCAGGTTTTCGCTGGTGGATTCTGCGAGAAGCTGCTGGAAATTACGTTCCAAGTTGTTTTCAATATCTTTTCCACTGTGCACGACAAGCATCGCGTCCGCTTCGTCATCAAGGCCTTGTTCTAGTCCGATATCATCACCTGGTCGCTTGTCTTCACTCGCGGTTGCATCATGTCCTACTTGCGACTGCTGCAAAACCCCGTTTTTTGCGACCGTTCTTGAACCCGGTTGCTCTGCAGATATCGACGCCGAAATCGAGGGTCTCTGACTAGTACCACCTGCGCTTTCTCGCGGTCCTTGCGTGACCTCTTCAGGCTTTGAGTTTCCTTCTGAGATCGGTGTCGGTCCTGAGGCCGATGACGTCGAACCGAAGTGCTTGAACCAGCCCGAGAACCAGCCCTTTGCTTCCTTCTTCTCCGGCGTTTGCCTACCTGTTTTCGTTTCATCCTCCGCAGCCTTTTGACGCTCGAAGCGCCGCGCGACCAAGACGCGCCACTGGGCCTGCATTATGGGACTTAATGTCGCCACTAACTGGTCAAACCGCTCTTTTCGCCGCCGCTGACGTATTTGGCAGTCATTTCCTCCTTCCATCGCCGGGGCGTCGCCAGTCGTGCCCGCTTTTGTTTTCCCTTGCTCATTCGCTTTGTCATTTTTCAGCACAGCTGGATCCTTCGTAAGAATTTTTCCAGGAACTACAATATTTGCGCTTTGCTCCAAGTACAGCTGCTGATACAAGGTGGCATACTCGGCAAAACACAGACTTCGGTTATCAAAAGGAAAAATCCCCCCTCCCCATATTGAAACCCGGTGTTTCCGAAAATTTGTGTTGCTGATTTGGGGTCACAAATCACAGGTGTCTTGCAAGACGACAAGGGCAGAAGCTTCCGCCCCATTAGGGAAGCGATTTGTCATGCTGGTTGGCTTAAAGGGGAGCCGTTTGCCATGTTGAACAACTAGACCCATACGCCCCTACCCAGCCTGGGGATCTGGCCGCAGTGCCTTCCTGCAATACAAAGCTGATTTGTGTACACAAATCCAGCATCAGAAATTCCGTTTTGATATGGGGAGGGGGGATTTTTCCTTTCGATATCGGTCTTCCGGTAGGGAGTCCATGAGCGCGTCGGGGACCCAGAGCTTGTGGAGTTGCGTGCTGCGGTCTGATATCAAATGCAAAAATGTCTGGGTCTGGAAACTTGTGATGCAAATCTGTGAATGGTGGGCGCACTACAATATGCAGCCGAGCACGACAAGTTTTTGAACATGCCATGTGCTTCCTTTTCCGCATGGCAAACTGCGTTTTTGCATGACAGGCAGAAGGCCCCGTTCCTGCTTACGCATCACAGATCCAGGAGTCATGCCAGACAAGCATGTTGACAAGTCCTGCATTCTTCCAGACCCAGACATTTTTGCAATGCATATCTGAGTATTTGAACAGCAGGTACGAAAACCCGAGCCACTGCTTGTGTGTCAGCTTTAAGCTCCAAATCTCGACGTAAGGTGTCGTCGCGGCGGTGTGACCCAAATGGCTGCTGCTGCTGCTATCGAAAGAGAGTGCACTCGGCTCAACGTTTCCTGGCCTATTTCTGGTCCTCGCCGCTTTTGAATTCGTATAATTGCTCATGCCGCTGCCAACATCGGATCGTACCCCGTTGACGAACGGTGGCTGTTTTGCGTTGGAAGTTCCCCCAGCGGCGACACAGTGGGTGGAACACGCAGCTCCTGCTGTTTCATCTCCAAGGTTGACGTCAATCTTCAATCCGCCCTTCTCGCCGCCGACGCCGACTAAAACGGAGACTCTGTTTGAGAGTACCGGCTGCAAAATCCAGGTCTTCTTCCGCTTTTTGTAATTGTAATCCACCATTTCCATCCGTGACGCACCACGACCTTGTCCCGCTGCTTCTCCTTTTAGCAACGCAGCACCCTGGTCCTCCGGCGTGTTCAGCCACAGACCGAAGCCTTCCGTGGCGAACAGTTTCTGAAAAACCGAGTGACATTCAATCGATTCAGAAAGAGGCACTTTTGCTTCTGTTCTTTTTTTCTCTTCTTCTGTGCCGTTAGCCTCAGCATCTTTCGACAGGGAAAATGGAGCTGCGTCGATTGGCGGCTCGACCATCTTCAGCTTGTGAATACACACGCCAATCTCCACTGTCTGGGGGGATCTGTAAGTTGCTGGCAGCGACCTTGTTTCAGCTGCTGGTGCTCCAGGTTTACGGATTGTACTGCTGTTCCTGTCTGTTCTACCAGCGCCGGCCATTTTGCGCCGATCGTCTTCTGCTCTTGTTCTTCTGTCGCGGTCTCCTGAGTTTTTACTAGCCAGCCTGCTGTGCGAAAAGAGATAATCACCAACATGGCGATCCTCGGCAACATTTTCCCGGGTCTTCTCCGCCGACACTTTGACAAGGACATTCTCGAATTCCACGTCGATATTTCGCACCAGGTTTTCGACCAGGCTCTTGACCCAGGATACCGATTGCGGTTTCTGTTTTTCTTGCACCACCTGATTGCTTTTGTCATCAGCAGACGTCGCCTTGTTCCCCTTGGTCTTCTCGTTTTCTTCAACATCGGCTGAAAATAAGGCTGTCGCCAGTTTTTCTTTCACAAGAACCGCGAGCTTGTCTTGTAGCCGCACCACCTCCGCTTCACGGGCGTCTTGCAGCGACTTGAGCAGACTCGTGACCAGCCCGTCGTTTTGAGGTTGTTCTGCGGTAGTCGTCGCGGCAGTCCTCACAGAGCCTTCTACAGTACCTTCAGAACTTGTTCCAACAGCACCTCCAGCATTTTTATCTGCACTAGAGCACGCAGACCCAGAAGCCTGGTGCTGCTTCTTCCCTTTTTCCACCAGCTCAAAACTTTTCTTTAGCGCATCTTGCGTGTCTTCCTTGGAATCGAAGGAGCTCAGCTTCACACTAAGCGTCAAGTCCTGGACCCGGACAATCAGCTTGCAACTGTCGCGGTTGCTGTTCTTCGCAGCCGCTTCTTGGTGAACTTCCGAACCGCTGTCGGACCTACTTGTCGAAGAGGCTGTAGGAGTGGATGAGAAGAAGCTCCGAAAAAAGAAAAAGCTCTTCCAGGAGGGTATTTCAATTCTCAACTTCCCGATCCCGCTTTCCTCGTTATCCACCTGAAGCCCGCCCAGAAGCAAGGGGCGCAGGTCAGAAAACAGGGTCGGCTTCAGCTTCAAATTCTCAAGCTCAATGGCAGCGTTTGACTGTTCGGTACTGGTAAAGTTGAGAATCTGGAAATTCAAATTCTCCACGAAGGGGTCGAGCACCTTCTTCAGAAGATTCTCAATCAGCTGGTTAAATCGGGCCCTCATGATTCTGACGTCTTTTCAAATTCAAAATTTCTCCAAACGGTACAAACTACACATACGTGTAGAAAAAAAATATATGGTGATTCAAAATTGTAACATACTCCAAGTGTTTTCGGCTAAGAGAACAGAATAAAACTGTGATGATGACTATGGAATGTATACTAAAAATCGATTGGGAGCAGAAATTTCAATGAAATTTCTCATGTACTCAAAATGTATTATGTTGGTGGAAATGTAAATGATAAAATGAAGTTTAGAACCGGCAAAGCATGAGGAAAACTACAGTAACATATCAACCAAGACGCTAACGCTCGAAGGAATGTGTGCGGCCTGAAAAATAAAAGATGCGAATAGTGCATACCAGGAGGCTACTTCTGAGTTATTTACCACGCCATCGTGATCGCGACAACAGGGCATCAAAGCGATAGAACGAGACCTTGTAACGAACCACAGGCGACGAATTCGGAAGACGGCGACGCTTTTTCTGAAACACGACAAAAATGATCATCTATCAAGGTTTTTCTAGATCCTAGTACGGAGTACTCCGCAGCGGCCGCAAGTACTGTATGCTTTATTTGATTACTGTATAGATACTACGAGATCTACTTTCGCTGCCATTGCAGTGTGGGAAAGCCGATCCGTTCGGGGGATCAATCCTCTGTGCGTACGCAGCGGTTCTGTGCAAGAACTTGCGACTTTGCAGTGTAGCGTGCCATCGCCACAGACCCGCTGACTTGCAATTCAAAGCATGAGAAATGTATTTCCATCTTGAAAATCACAGATCATCCGCATGGGCATGGCAGATCACTGCGCGCTTTACGGTTCACGTCGGTCAACTGTTCGCCCCTGGCAATGGGACGCCGACGAACACAGGAGGAAGTAATTGCAACATGGATCTTTCTTTTTTGGTAAGGCAAGTGGCGCCTCTGCGAAAGTTACTTAGTTCTGCACTTCCAGCGCTTTTGATTTTACAAGGAGCCAATGCTTGTTTTGCTGAAGAAAAAACGAATCCACCTTGATGGCTCTCTCTGCCCGATCAAGTGTCTTGGTCTTTCAAATTGCGCTCATTCCGAGGACATTGCGCCATCGGGACGAGCACCTCACCAGTCCTTGTCACGTGCAGCCTCTCCTGCACATCATGTGTTCCGTCTCGTCTTAGTCTGACTTTTTTTTGTTCCTACGTTGAATGAAAAATCGTACACTATGTGGCGGATTCAATCCTGTTAGCGGAGTTAGACGCTGATTTTTGCTCAGGATTGCACACTACTGGGTTTGTAATTTCAACAGGCGGGCAGAGCTACGAAAACTTCGCTACTGGGGGTATTGGGGAGACTTTCCTTCGCAAAACATGTTGAGGAGAAATTGATGACAGAGGTACTACTTTTATGAGAATGAAAGAACCAAAATAAACAGAAATATATGAATGACGACCAAAATAATGGAACAAATGCTACTAATGTTAGTGAACTGAAAAAATAAACTCATTAAGGAGGACAACGCGTCCCCCGCCCCATAGGGACGACAAAACAACAACGTCCTCACAGTTCGTCCTTGTTTCCCCTTTCTGCTTCGTCCAGGGCTTTTGCACTTGACTGCGGGAGCACTTGCCCCCGCACCAGTGCCAAGACCCGGGTCACGGCTTGCTGCACGGTGACAGGGAATAAAGCGCTCTCCCAGTTGCCGTGGCTGAGCTCCTGGTTCTGCTCCGCCCAGGTTTGGAAGACGGACTCGCAGCCCTTGTAGTACGCGATCTGCAGGCACACCTGGTTGAATTTGTGGTTGCTGTTGGTGAACTTTTGTCTCTGCGGCGCGGTCAACTTCTCGCACTCCGCTTCGCTGAAGGTTTTCTCTTCCCGTTTGCACACCTTTTCGTACTCGGTTTTGTTAATTTGGTTGCTGTCGGCCAGGTACGCCTCGATGTCGTCGTCCCACACGATCGTTTTTTTGTTGGTTTTCGGATTTTGGTAGAAGGTGAGCGAGTCCTCTCGGGGGACGACCAGCACGCTGCGCGACAACGCCAGCAGCCGCCGCTCCATGGAGGCGCGGCTCGCCTTCTCCGCGTCGAATCGTTCCTCCACATCGTTCAGCACCGCCTCCAGGTAGTCCACTAACGCCTGTCCGGCCGCGCGCGTGTCGTGGTAGGTCACGCCATGAAACTGCTCGCCGGTGAGCACGTCGTGCGAGACGTTTTTCTGGTCCACGCGGGGCAGGTGCCCCACCAAGTCGTTAATCTGGCTGTGGGGCAGCATCGCGTCCCGCAGCGACTTCAGGTGGTCCAAAGTTCGGCGCCGCACGTCCAAAATGGCCAGCGCCAGCTCCGGCTCGGAGACCAAGCTGTCCGCGTTGCCCAGGAGCTCAAGCAGCTGCTGCCCAATCTTTTCGTCCACTACTTTGTTCTTACCCCCGGGGGCCTTGTTTTCTTTATCTTGAATTTGTACAACAATTCCTGCCCACGCAGAATTGCTTGCCTGGAAGAACCGTTTTGTCTTCGCGAGATGTTCGGCGTAGTACTTCTGGCTATTCGCGACCTGCGTTGGGTCGGAGGTGTAGACGTGGAGCAGCAGCTCCTTCACGCGGTCCACGCAGGCCTGCAGCATCTTCTCCAGCACCGCGTCCACCTTCTGCTGCACCTCGGCCACGGTCAGTGGCGTCTTTCCGTCTTCGTGGTAGTACACCGCGCCCGACGCGGCCGAAGGAAAGTAGGCCGTGGGCTGGTCGCGGTTCCACTTTTGGATTTGCAGCAGCCACTTCTTCAAGGTTACTATCGAGAGATACTCGGAGACCGTGAGCTGCCGCACCCACTCCAGCCCCGTGGTGAGTGCGGACACCTCCACAAAATCGTCGTCGCTCTCCTCCTCCGCGTCCGCGGGGGCCCGTGCGAGCCGCAGCGGGGTGAGCGTGTAGCCGATCACGTCTCCGGTCTCGCTGCCGTTCAACTCCGCGCCGTCCTGGAAGGCGTCCAGAAACGCGTTAGTCTCTGCCGCCGAGTGGAATTGGTACAGGTGCGCGCCCCGCGCGATTTCCGGCACGGCCGCGGTCGTTTTCCCGGTCGTCGCCTGCGACGAGGAACTTCGGCTCTCCTCGTGCCCGTGGAACTCGTCGTCCTTCCGGGTGTTTTCCGTTTTGCTGGTCACCGTGACGCTGGTCAGGTCCTCGCCCTCCTTCACCGGCTCGGGCGTCTTCGTCACCTCCTGGCCGGTGGCCGGGTCCACGAACGTGTAGGGCAGCACCTTCCCCTGCACCACGAAGTTGGCGCTGTAGTTGGACACGTGAGTGCTCTTCGTTTTCGTCTCGTCCTTCAGGGTGTGCTGCCCGCCGATACCCAGCACCTTTTGCGTGATCGACGCCTTCTCCGACTCGGAACTGCTGGAATTCTTGATTTCCGCACATACCGCGCCCTTGAAGGAACTTCCGTAGGTTACCTGCGAGATGTAGTGTGTGCACCGCTTGATCTCCGCCCGGGTCAGGTCGGACAGGAGAGGTTTTGTTACTTTATCCTGAACATTTTTTCCACCACCAACAGGAATGCCGTCGAAGGTGACCGAGACAGCTCCATTTTTGTCGTCGGCGAGGACCGTGTCCCGCCTTCCCCAGTTGTTGTTGGCGGCGAAGAAGTCCGCGCTGTTCACGTTTTCCCAGGTGACCGCCGCCACCGTTTTGTCGGTGTCGGTTTGCTATCAACTGCAAAAATGTCTGGGTCTGGAAGAATGCGAGACCTGTCATGCAGATTTTGCATGACCCAAATCGTCTGGAATGCAAGCTCTAGCATCACAGATTTTAAGCAGATATCCCAATGCCTAATCCGCATGACACATCCCGGCTCTCGGAAACAAGAAGTGGGGCCTTTTGCTAGCCATGCATGACAGATTTTCTCATGATGTAGACTTCGCATCACAAATTCGAATTCTTCCAGACCCAGACATTTTCACAGTTGATATTTGCGTTTTGCGCTCGAAACTGACCTTGGCCGTCACCTTGAACAGCCACGAGATGCTATCCTGAGTAAAAACGTACCCACACCAGAGTTGTAATGCAGATTTGCAAAGACAGGAAGACTTGTAATGCGCTTCCCCATGAGAGCCATTTCCAGTCGTGTCTTGGAATTTGTTATGCTGTGAACAGGATGAGCAGATGAATCTGTAATGCGGCTGCACTTGCTAACCTGCACTACACTGCATAGTGCAACTTGTCATGCGTGACTCACAAAACTCCTGGGTTTGTGTTGCAAAATCCTCATCCTGACTCTGGTGTGGGTACGCTTTTACTCAGGATAGATGCCGACCGACGCGCTCACCTGCCCCGTCAGCGTCTGGGCCGCGTGCGTAATCGTGTGCACCTCCTTGAAGTCGATGTTGCGCGCCAGCGACTGCCGCAAAGGGGTAGAAGTTGCTGCGGCGTTTTCACCTCCGGGCGGAAGTGGCTGCGGGGCTCCTGGGGAAAAACGACCGAAAGATCGTGCGTCAGCAGTAGACCCGCTACTGGTGCTGTCCATGTTCGCTTTAACGTACTCGTCGTTGAAAAAGGGCAGCAGTTTGATTTCGGTCAAGAAGTCCGAGGTGTCGGGAAACGCGAGTTTATCGCTTTTGTGTTTCTCCAGCACTTTCTTGGTTTTACTATTCCCGGATGTTGCGCTCGCGCTGGTCGTGTAGAGCGCTAGTGCCGGGAGCTCGGGCGGCAGCAGGGAGGCGCACATTCCCAAGCGCGGCTTGAGCAGGCCCTCGATCTTCTTCGTGTCTTCGTTTTCCGCGACCACCTTCACTTCCACGCTACCCGTTACTAGCCCGCCGGAATCGGATGCAGAAGTTGATGCGAGAGGTTCCTTTTTTGCATCTGATGTTGACGTCGGAACATTTTCTGGTACTGCCTCGACTGGATTTTTGCCTCCTACCTGTCCGCCTGCAGCCGTGAGAGTCGCCGACGCAGGCGAGCCGCTGGAACCGAGAATGTCGCGTCTCCGTGCCTGCACCGGAACAATCCATATTGAGCTGGCTCCTGCTAGTACGCAGGCCAGCTGTGCCACCAGCTGGAACGATGGAACGGACATGCGGCGGCCAGGAGCGATCCGGAGGGGGATCTCTGGGGAGGTGCTTGAGCTTGTCGTCAGGGTTTTGCTCATTGTGATGGATTTTTTCATATTTTGCCTGCTATGTACCAAAACCAACGTCAAAATAACGGCAGAAATATGAAAAATGTCGCGCCATCAATTGTTTTCTAGCAGCGTCGTGGTGAGTTATCGCGTAAAAACCTTATCGCGTACGTGCTGACAATTAGTCGCAAATGGTGTGTCTAGTAAACCTATCACAGCTTTTACAGCGTGAAAAAGTCTGGTGCCGGAATGCGAAGTTTGCTAGTTGTACCGGTCAGCACCACCAATGGTACGAATGAAAGTTTCACAGATGGCCGCGACGTCGATGAGTTTTGGTTTTCTGCTAACTAGCCAAGGAATAAATGATGGCGATTCTGTACTTCTATGGAAAAGAGAACAATTCTACACGTCTATTTTAGTCCAATCTTCAAAAAAGCCTGCAGCCGTAGCACCAAAGAATTGAAGTGAGCATGACGACACAATAATTAAAAAAACTTTTGCATTGCCCTAGGGACCGATTCGGCAATCGATCCTTTTTTCAGCACAAAATCATGCTCATTTCTTCTGAACCGAATCCGCGATCTGTCAACATCAACGGCGATCTATTCCACACTGTCTTCTGGTCCTGATCCTATTTTACATCATTATCATTTCTTTATGATCTCGTCATGTTTATTTTGGGCTTCGAGATCCGGTTGCTTTTTGCCTACTCGATGACTCGTTTATAGCAATTTTTTTTCCGATCCATAAAGAAAAAAAGCCACCAACGCCCGTGCAGAACATCGATCCTTGTCCGTCTCCGTCGTTTGCGCAGACAAGCTTAAGCTTTATGAAAGCTTGTTTAGGTTGCTGTTGCAGAAATACTCCAATTTTCGTTCTCTGTACTAGTTACTCCATGGTACACGGCTGGTGCTCGACTGCAGCTGCTCCAATTTTTCAAGCGTATATCGGTCCATCACGATACTATCACCACTGTCGTGCTTTATTTCTTTGTGCAACTGCATGCCCAGCGCAAGAGCAACCGCCACACGCATGAAATAACGTCATATGTCTGTCAACGAATGGGTGAATTATAGTGGTCAACTTGGGTAGAGAATCATACACACGTTTTGTACCGGTCTAGCTCCTTCCAGAATCTTTGCCACGACATAACTTTTGTCATTGCATTTGCACCTAGACCGAAGGAGCAGTACTATTACAACTATCCATGCTCCTTCAACATGCTAGAGGCTAACTGCAGCGCGCTCTTTCATCCCTGGCGAGATACCTCTTCCTCTATCCCCGCTGCATAATGTCAGTGCCCCCGCACTTCTAGCTTCACCGTACAGTAGAAGATACCATACTATCTATGTCACTTGCGAATTACACCCCTTTTTTTTACTCTTACATGTTACTAACTCGTAATTTTATCGGCATATCAGTACTAGTTGTACTATCGTGGCACCAAAAGTTTCATCTTCATCCGACTGCCGTAGAAGACGAGGCGGAGTATATTTTCGCTCTGTATCCGCTGACCATCAACGTTTGCCAGATCTCCCGCGCTACCGCATTGATCCGCAACGCGAAATTCCGGGGATCCAGAATCCCGTTCACGTATTTTGTCCCTGGTGGACTGGTCAGCGGATCCGGGAGCGCATTTGTAGGGTGGGACGGGTCCGGACTCGCGTACCCCTGGTTCTGGTAGTCGGCGCGCGATAGGTCGACGAGATTCTTCACCAACGATGTGAACTCCGTCATCTTCAAAGGTTCTGCCTTGTCAGAAGAGGAGTCTTTATTTTCATCATCATCATCACGACCATCTTTTGCTGTATCTTTACCATCTTTATTGCCTAGTACCTTGTCCACGTTGACTTTCGCGAGGCCGCTCTGCTGGATGCCCTTGGTCAGCTTGTTGTAGTAGAGGTCCTCCAGATTGCTCAAGATGCGCTGCTGCGCGGAAAACAGCAGGACATTCACGTCGTTCGGGTTCGGCACCTGCACGGCATGATAGTCGCGGAACTTGCATTTGTCGCAAAACAGCCAGCAGTGCGGGTTGCACTTCGTGTCCCCTTTGTCCGTCCTTTGCTGCTGCCATTGCGACGCATACATGGCGGACTTCGTGAAGTTCACGTACAGACCAGTCCGCTGCAGCGATTTGGAAGTATCATTTTCCTCCTTTTCCTTTCCGAGCAGCAACTCGGTCAGCTTAGTGTTCACCCCGGTGGCCAGATCCGAGTGCGACGCGAAGTAGGTCTGCTGGCGCTGCAGCAGCTTCCCGAGCTTCTGCGCGGAATCGTGCGCGTAGTAGCCAGAAAGCTGAGCAGCAGCACCATGATCATCCCCTTTAGAAGCATTATTCTGCGCTGGTTCTGCTACTTTATCTCCGCACTTGATTTGGGTCCAGTTTTCCACGCCCGGCTGGAAGGCGTTGAGGTTCTTTTCCAGCCGCAGCTTCTCGTAGGCCTGGAACACGTCCAGGCCTTGCAGGTTCTGCTTGCTCTCCGCCTCCGTACTGCGCAGGTTGCGGACGATTTTCCCGAGCAGCAGTCCCCGCACCTCGCTGATCGCGAGCTTCAGGTCCTCCACGTGCATCTGCACCTCGAATTTCACCTGCATCTGCTCCTTCAAACTCGTGCTGGTCAGCGCGAACCCGCTCGCTTTCCGGTTCCTGGGCACGATCTCGTCGTCCAGGTAGGTCTCCAGCAGCTGCAGGTTGTGCAGGTCCCGCTCGACCTTCGCCCGCAGGTTCTGCTTCGTCGCGGTCAGGAACTGCGGAAACTCCACAGCCTTGTTCCGCGCGTCCCGCTGCGCCGCCTCGTGGTCGTAGGCCGCCAGCAGGGGCGACAGCGTGTACCCGAGCACCACGCCGGGCGTCTGCTGCGCGGGCGCGTCCTCGGTGGCGCGGTTGGCCAGCTTCCCCGGCAAATTCACGCCCTCCGCGGTGTCCTTCAAGTCCTGCAGAAAGGCGTCGGTCTTCTCCTGCGCGTCCAGGAACACGGCGGCGCGGGTGCTGCGTGGACCCTTGGTGGAAAATTTCGCCAGATACGTGGTCTTCAGTTCGCTTTTTTCCTGGCTGCCGCTCAGGCTCCCCTCGGCGTGCACCAGGCCGCCGAGCAGGTTGACCTGCAACTTCCCGCCGATACTGCCGCTGCTGTTCGCACTCTCCACCTTCACCTGCACCATCCCGGTGGCGCTGGATCCGTACTGGATGCTGCTCACGTAGTGCGTGCACGTCGTGTGATGAAGTGGTGGAGCTGTATGATCAGCAGCTTGAACAGGTCTAGAAGTTCTTGTACTAGAAACAACATTCGCGAAGATGGTGTCTTCGCGCGTCCATTTCCGGGGCTGGAATTGCTTTTGGCCCTTGACGTGCTTCCACTTGAGGAAGTGCGTGGTCGTCTGCACGGCTTTGGACTTCGACTCGGAAAAATTGAAGGTCCCGGAGAACTGCAGCGCCGGGCTCGCCATGCTGCCCATACTGAGACTGCCTCCGAGGGCGGTCACGGCACTAGCGGTGTCGAACACCTGCTTGTAGTCAAAGTCCGCGGCGTTGTTGGTCGCCGTGTCAACGACGTTGTGCTTCACATGCCGGTTCACGTAGTCCGCACTGAAGAACGGCTGCAGGAAAATCGTCTTCGTTTGGCTGGCAGTGGAGGACGTGGTTCCACTGCCAGCTGCAGTACTGTTGTACTGGGACACGTTGCTCTGAATGTCCTCGAGGTTCGCACAAAACCCAAGACGCGGGATGTAGAAGCTAGGGTCGATCCCCTGCTCCACCTCAATCGACTGATTCTCATCGCTTACGACCTGCAAATTGTCTTGTGGTTCTTGTTGATGCTCATCTTGCACCCGACGAGCGGCCGTGCTGGTACGCGATTCTGCTTCATTTTTGCCCTTGTGGTGCGAAGACGACAAAGTAGACGAGCGTCCTCCTTTTGATGCGGAAGTGCTGCTTTTGATCGGTGCACCGCCTTTCGTGCCACTTTTCCGACGACCATTAGCGGCGACCACGACCTCCGCGGTTTGCAGGAGAAGTACGAGCAGCGAATGGAAGAAAAAAGCACGGGTCGGTGTCCACCTCCTCATCATCTTCCCGGTTTGTGGTCCTGTAGTTGCTGAGGTAAAATATCTTCAGGACAAGAACTGGATGTCATTGTACATTCATACAGACTTGTTCTCAAATGTTCAAGTTAGTAGCTTTGTAGAAAAAATGTCGCTTGATCGTTGTATCCAAAACTTTAAAACTGCCTCGTCTTTATGCAAGACAAGTACAGAGTCAGAGGACAAGGTAATTATCCGTCTGTGTTTTCTATCGGAATTCGATACTTACAACACTGCGAGGTGTACCTCAGCAGCGGCAATAAAATAGAAAGCACAAATAAATCTTCTTACAAGACAGGAAAAGCCTGAGGAGGTAAATTCCAAATTTCGCGAAAATTACGGCGCACGAGCAGACAGAAACACATTTCTTCTGAAGACACTGCTCACTTCCCACTGTCACAGAGATCTTCATGATCGTCTCGAGAAACGCGATCTCTCTGGATCAGGATTTAGGTCTTTTTCTGCGGATCCAATAAAATGGTATGACCTTTGGATTTGCATTCAGGATTCTTTATCTTTTCCTATTGGCCACAATGAAATGAAACTCTTACACAGAGTGTCCACCACATGGGAGTCGTCAACTGACTTCTGTTGTATATGATCGATAAGTCGCTGCATTGGTTGTTCTGGTGAGGATCTTCGCGACCTTTTATTTTGCCCAGAGACTTGACTCGATAACGGTATGCTCGAATGATACAAACTGAACGCGTCCGATGATGATTTCTTGCAGCTCTGTAACAACAGGTCTTATTTGTAATCTATCTATTTCCTCATCTTTGTAGCACGACCTGCGCAAGCAATTCTATTCAATTCACCATAAAAAGATCAGTAATGAACAAACATGAGGATAATATTGCTGGCCGCTTTGACTTTTCGTCTTCCTTGCATTTTTTTCCAAATTTATATCCTTGTCATCTTTCACGCACATCATGCTACAGGAGCGGTTTTTCAAGTACTAGAAGATCGATTTTTGTGTTCGTCCGATCCCGAGCCTTTTCTTACCGTCAGCACGACGCACGGAATGACGGGCGCTACATGCTAATCAGAAAGAGGACCTGCAGAATCGATTGTCGTGTCCGGTCGAAAATTATATTTTCGACTCGTCATCCTACTGGTTCCGACCTCCTGGCAGCAACAAATCATACACAGTTCTTCACGCATATCACGTGTCAGTACTTACCAACAACAATCCATAGAACTGATGCGTACTATACCGCCATCATACAGTCATTGTCATCGCGCGTGAATGTACTTTTTTAGTTTTAATGCTGTTTTCTTGAAGTGTTGAATGCTTTTCATTCTGTTCGAGCGCGACGGGGAAAAAATACCCAATGCCGGCGTTTTTCTACAAAACCAAGTCCGGCATCCGATTTCTTTCGATGTACTTGTAGCCTGTAGTCCACCAGTCGGCTAAATAAGTAGCATGGTCCTCGGGGCATTGTGTGTGTAGTTACGGCAGCTGGGTAGCAGTGGCGGCATGGTTTTTCACCAATATTCCCTGCTGTTCCGCTGCGAGTGACCATGATCGAAAATCGGCAGGCTCAATGAATTATTTCTAGTTACAGGACAAGACACAGCCTTTTATTAAGTAGATCAGCGTCAACAAGCAGTTAAACTTTAGCATCACAACCGAACAGAAAGTTACAATAATACAAGCGAGTCGCGTTTTTAGTTTTGGAGCTTTGACTTTCGAGAAATAGATAAAAACCATTCTGAAGAAGACTTGATGAATTACCTGATAGTGATAGCAAATAAAGTGAAGTACTTATACATGCACAATCAATTATACGAAGTAACACCGAGAGATTCATTACATCCAGTTTTCAATGAACATTTTTACATAGCCATAACGTTTGCAAACTCATATAATCGCCGTGACCGGAAAAACCTTGGTTGAGTCCTTCGCGGCCACAACAACAATCGCACTAGCAATCGTAGTTTCGAGGAACTCACTTCAGAGTCTGGTAGAGCGCTTGACTGAGGGCGGTGAGGGCGTTCTGCGCGACCTCGGGCCAGTGCGCCGGACGCACGGAGTCGCCCGTTTTTAGCACGGCCTCGCAGTCGTTTTTGTACGCTTTTTTGTCTTATGCAGTGCAAGCATGTCTGAGAGGTCTGGAAAGTTGTATATCTATATGCTAAAGGTGAAGAACAAGGAATGGCTCACTGCAACACTGAGCCAAGCATGACAAATTTTTGGGCTCCTATGCGTTTCGTGTTCCGCATGGCAAACTGCGTTTTTGCATGACAGGTATTAAGAGGACCGCTCCGTGCCCATGCATCGCAATTCTTGAGGCATGTCAGACATGCAAGACAAATGTAGCTGCAATCTTCCAGACCACCCAGACATATTTGATGCAATGCATATGTCTCCGTCGTTGGAGATGCAGTTTTTGACCATGTCCTGCTGCCAGGTTTTCACGGTGTCCATGCTGTGTTCCACCAGGGTCTTATCCTGAGTAAAAACGTACCCACCCCAGAGTTGTAATGCAGATTTGCAATGACAAAGACATTTGTGACGCGCATCCCCATGAGAGCCATTTCCAATCGTGTTTTGGAATTTGTGATGCTGTGAACAGGATCAGCAGGTCGATTTGTGATGCGGCTTTCCTTGCTAACTTGCACTACCTTACGGACTGAAACTTGTCATGCGTGACTCCCAAAACTCCTAGGTTTGTGTTGCAAAATCCCCATCTTGACTCTGGTGTGGGTACGTTTTTACTCAGGATAGGTCTGCAGGTCCGAGACGGACATGGAGGAAAGCCCGTGCAGCAGGTCCGAGAAGTGCGTGACCGCCTGCTTCAAATTCTCGCGCACCGGCGCGAACTGGTCGGTTTTCGCGAAGTAGGAGTTCTATGCGTTGCAAATATGTCTGGGTCTGGGAGCTTGCCAGGTTTGTCATGCACATGCTACGTGACCTATGGCGTCTGTGATGCATGACCTAGCATCACAGATTTTTAGCGCGCTTTGTGATACCTCTACCGCATGAGAAATGTCCTCTCCGTGTAGCACAAACTGGACTCTTCTTGCTGGTCATGCAAGACAGATTGTTTTAGAATCGAAAGACAGCATCACAAGTTGAAACCTTCCACACCCAGACATATTTGCAATGCATAAGTTGGAGCTCTGCTGCTGCTCCATGGCTATCAGGCCCCACTTGGCGGGGTCGCACTCGAAAAACAGCTGCCCGGGGTCGCAGGTCCCATTCACCAGCTCGTCCAGGATCTGGTGGATCTTCCGCTCCAGATTCACGTTCGCGGGGATCAGGTTCATGTTCTTCATCATCAGGTCCATCAGCGTCTTCCCCACGGGCTGCATCGGCTCCCCGGCCTTGGGCGCGCCGGTGGCCGGGTCCGTGGGCGTCAGCATGATGCGGCTCCAGGACCCGGACTTGCGGCTGTACCGCCGGATCTCGTTCTTGTTGTCGTCGTATGAACTGCAAAAGTATCGCACTCGTATAAAAAATGCACTACAAATTTTCTCAGCATGAGGGATAAAATTTGTAATGCGGATTGCTTTAAGAAAAAGATTCGTAATGCATGATTGCAATACGAGTACGATACTTTTGCACAGGATACGTCGTACCGCTGCTTGGCCGTCTCGTAGTCGCTGTACATCAGCTCCAGCATTGCGATCAAGTCGTCCTTTTTCCGCTGCGCCTCGTTGATCAGCTTCTGGATCAGCAGCCGGACAAACTGCTTCTGCTCCGCGACCGAGTGCATCGTCAGCCCGTTGTTCTTGTCCTTCTCCATGAACCGGTCGCACGTTCCCGCGCAGTATCAACTGTAAAAATGTCTGGGTCTGGAAGAATCCAAACTTGTGATGCGCATCTTAGAACACAGAAAAATCTCTCATGCATAGGTAGCAAAAGCTTCCCACTTTCGGTCACCAAAATGGGGGATTTCTCATGCGGACTCGGCATTGCGGAAGCTTCTCGAAACCTGTGATGCTAGAGCTTCCATGCCCGACCTTCTGTGTCATGCAAAAACAGCATGACTCTTCCACACCCAGACATTTTTACATTTGATACGCAGGTGCTGTCGTTCGGCGCGCACTTGTCGGAGCACATCGTGGTCGGCAACCCGTCGGGCGACACGTAAGCGCCCTCCTCGTTGTCGGTCGTCACCTGTCGTGGTGTGGGACGAGGAGGAGTTATTTGCTTTTGGCTTTTTTGCGATGTATAATGTCGGTTGATGAAGTTTATTGTCTCATGCAATACAGCCCTACTACTCCGTGCAAAACATAAAAGAAAAGATATGAAGAAGTACTGTAAATATTTCTGTATAGTAGGTTGTACCTGTGTTTCCATGAACTGGATGAATTCGCCGACCTGCAGCAGGTCCGTCTGTAGGTTTTCGCCCAGAGTCATCATGCCCATTGTGTACACCGGTATGTTGACGTACTTAGCCGGGTCTTTGGGCACCCGGCGCAGCTCCCCCGACTCCGGGTCCTTTTCCACCTTGGTTTCGCCCGCCACCTGGGCCCGGGTGGCCACCAGGGGCGTCAGCGTGTAGGCGATGGGCACCCCGGACAGCGGGCGCACGATCTCGCTCGTTTCCTGCAGGTCCTGCAGCGCGTCCGCCAGAGCCTTGCTGTCGGACAGGAAGAAGGGGTGGGAATGCTGGAAGCCGTATCAACGTGAAAAATCCCCCCACCCCATACTCAAACTAGAAATTTGTGATGCAGATTTGTGGTTACAAATCAGCTTTGTCATGCTAGAAGGGAAAAGGTGCGGACTGTAGTGCTGGTTGGCGTGGGAAAGCCTTGCATCTTCAGCATGACAGGGGGCAGCTAGAAGTGGGAAACAGCATGACAAATTGCCTGCAAACGAGGCCACAGCTGCGTCTCTTGGCCTTCTACCATTACAAGTCGATTTGTGTACTCAAATACAGCATCACAAATTTCGTTTTCGATATGGGGAGGGGGGATTTTTCCTTTTGATAAGCCGCCGCGCGTGAACATCTTCACCTTAATCGAGCTCTGCTCGCTCGTTTTCTTGTTGGTCACCTTCGCCTGCAGGTGCCCGCTGAACAGCTTCACGCCGATGTCCAGCGACCCCTGCACGTCCATGCTGTTGGACGCCGTGGTTTTCGAGATGGAGGCGATGCCGGTGGCCAGGGCCCCCATGGACACGCCGGACACGTAGTGCGTGCACAGCGAGTCCTTTATCCTGATTAAAAACGTCCCCACACCAGAGTCAAGACGGGAAATCTGCTAGACAAATCAGCCAGCTTTGGTTGTTTGGCATGACAAGTTTCTTGTCCTCGTAGTGTAATCCTGTTTAGCTAGTTCAGAAGCATCACAGATCTAGCCTAGCATGCTGATTCTAGCATCACAAATTCCAAAACACGAATAGAAAATGGTCCTCATAGGGCTCCGCATGAGAAACTTTTTTGGCATGCAGAATTGCATGACAACTCTGGGGTGGGGATGTTTTTACACGGGATATCCTTGCCCACCACGTGCTCGGCCGTCCAGTTCGACGGGGTGAACTGCTTCTGCGACACCACGTCGGTCAGCTTGAACACGAAGCTGATCGTGTTCTTCGACTCCTGGCTCCCGAGCGCCAGCGAACCCTCCATCGCGAAGCTGGCCGCGGCAGTGTTCACGCCGCCGGACACATATGCGGAGCAAACACGTCCCCAGCCCATAGTCAAGATGGTAAACCTGCTAGACACATCAGCCAACCTTGGTTGTTGCGCATGACAAGTCTGGCCTCGTAGCGTAATCCTGTTTAGCTTGTTCAGCAGCATCACAGACCTAGCCTATCATGCTGATTGGAGTATTGCAAATTCCAAAACGCGACTAGAAAATGCTTCTCATGGGGCTCCGCATGAGAAACATTTTCAGCTTGCAGATTTGCATTACAATTTTGTTGGGGTGGGGACGTTTTTACATAGGATAAAAGACTCCCAGTGATCAGCTTCACGGCCGACGTCACGTCCTCCATCATCTTGAACTCCAGCATCTTCGCCGCCGACATGTGCAGCACCCGGCTGGTGCGGGGGTCCGCCTGCGGCAGGTCCGGCACGTGCGCCTGGTCGCCCTCCTTGATCTTGCGGACCCGCGCGGTGGTCATGCTGAACTCCCCCGAATTCTTCTCGACGTAGTCCGTCGTGAAGAACTGCTGGGGCATGGACAGCCCCTCCGAGGAGATCCGCACGCAGTCGCCCAGCGTGGGCAGCGCCAGTTCCCCGGTGGCCAGCGTGATCTGCACCGGCGCCAGCGCCGGCTGCCCGTCCCCTAACTCGGACTTGATCGTGGGCTTTTTCTTCGGCGCGGGCGCGGAGGAGCCGAACATTCCCTGTTCGGATGGATGGGCGTGACCCGCGACGAAACCCTTGTAGGGGTACTTGCTCGGGTTTGCGGCGACAAACCCTTTGGGATGCAAGTTCACGCTGTCGCACTCGTCCGTGCAGTAGCACCGGCCCTTATTGCTGCTACTGAAGAAGAAGAAACGAGTCGGCCCGGTCATGCCCAGCGCCTTCGCGTAATCCGGCCCGCACGCCTTGGAACACCCCTCGGCGTCCGGACTGGGGAGTTTGTCCGCCTCCCACGCATACGTCTCGCCTTTGCCGGGGTAGTTGTTTTGCCACTTCAGGGTTTGGTAGTCGTCGCTCGCCGCGAGGCACGCGCCCTTCACGAAGGTCTCGCTGTGCTTGGTGCCCTTCAGCGAATTCCACATGGGCCAGTGGGACGCCAACGGATTCTCCTTCCATTCCAGGGCGGGCAGGGGGTCCTTCTTCGGTCGTGTCGGCGGGTCAGCAACCTTCTTCTTGATCGGTAGTTTTCGTGCCGCCGAAGGAGGGGCTGCGTGTTCGTCGGCCTTGTCTTCAGTTGCGGCATTTCTTTTTTGCTTTTTGCCTGGTCTTTTGTTACTTTTTTTGTGCGGTTTCAGGAAGCCGTCATCGTCGTCGGTAGAAGAATCCGTATCCGCGTCGTCCGACGAAGAACTGCCGTCACTTTCATTTTCGTCTCCTGGCTCGGCGTCATAAAACTTTTCTTCATCTGTGTCGTCATCGTCATCGCCGTTGTCGTCCCCCTGTGGCTCGTCTCCGTCTGCAGCAGAGCCATCGTCGTCTTCCGCATGTTCAGTGGCTTTCTTCCGGTTCCTCGTTCCTTGCTTCTGCTTTTTGTGCTTTTCAGACTTCTTCAGATGCCGTTTTTTCGTTTTTTTCGCTGGTACGTCTGCGTCAGCACCGTCCGTTCTTTCCTCATTGTCGCTAGCAGCTGTGGAGGTGTCATCATCGTCATCGCCAGTGTCGGAATCGTCATCCGTTTCTTTCTCAAAGTCGGAATCATCTTCATCGTCATCATCGGCTGTGGATTTTCGTTTTTCATCTTTCTTCTTATTGTTCTTGCGCAGCTTTTGTTTCTTTGTTCGTGTGGCGGGGCCTCCTTCTTTAGCAAGGGGGCCTTCGTCGTCAGAAACAGCGCCATCAGAATCGGCATCGGATTGATCATGATCTTCATCTGCTTTATTTCCTTCTTCCGCATCATCCTCATCTTCTTCGGCGTCTCCATGATCCGTACCGCGGGCACCAGTCTCTGCCGACGACACTTCAGCACCATGCTTTTTCTTCGATCTAGCAGAAGCGCGACCGTGGTCCTCTTCATCTGCCTTCTCCTCGCCGTGTCCCACTTTCGCGTGTGCTACATCGGAGGGTCGCTCAGGAGGCACTTTGTTTTTCTGCTCGAACGGTTTTTTCAGCGGCACGTGTGAATCGCTCCCATCGTCATCCGTAACTGTGCCACTGTGGTTTTCTGCCTCAGGAGGGGGCTCCGGGTCCTTTACAGTTTTTCCCTGCGCGGCCACGTCCTCTGTATGCTCCGCAGCAGCCCGAACCTGCACCACCCGCATAGAACCAGGTATGTTGAGCAGACTGCCTGCACTGAGCATCAGTAGACACTGCAACACAAAGCGGCCATGCCAACCAAAGCCTGACATGATGTTCGTCGGAGACCGCTGCGCCCACGTGATTGGCGAACTCAATTTCATTGTACAACCCGAATAATCTTCACACTTACAGAGCCAGGTGATCTAGTTATAGTATCACGTATAATGCAAAAAGTGCAACTACACCTTTACGAGCTTGCTGAGTGGATCCTTCTTCAGTTGGAGTTCGCCTCGCTCTAAATCGCACACAGGTCGTTGTTTAATTTCGTGTTGAGAAAGTTCTAATCATACAAATTCAGTTGTGCGCAAGTTGTAAATCCTTTTTCGGTTGTGTTGTGATGCTAGAAAGCTTTTCTACTCAAACGGCGTGTGTGTGAATGCACGTGTAACTAAAAATAGGAATTCTAAAAATTCTAAGCACTCCGCGATATGTTCTACCACGTTACAATATTGAACTTAAGCACAGTCAAAACTGGAAACGATGAATCTTTAAGTCCATACAGTGACTCGAGAAAAGAACATTTGTCCAAGCACGTTTTACCGATGAGTAAGACTAAGATCTTAGATTTCCACAGCCATTCCACAGCCACGAACCAGAACAATGGCAAGCGATTTAAGAAGCTGTGCCTGAAACGATCTTCATCCATGCAGTCACAGATCGATGATTTTCTCATCCATGGGTTGAAAGCTCACCGACAAGAAGATATCATTTTATTTTTTCAGATCCTCTAGCCATTGCCGCAATCATGCTCGGAAAGCTTCCCGAAACCGACAAGTAGAGAGCACTAATTTTTGCAGACATCAGGAGGAGGATGAATGTATTCTGTTCGACAGAGTTCCCTATTTCGGCCTCTGGGTCTCATGATCGCCTGGATCGGGAGATTTTCATGTTCAACGCGTTTTGCAAATTGGTTTCGATTTTAGCGATGAAAAGCCTAGACTTTGATGACCGACGCAGTGTCCCTCGTGCCTCACATTTCTTTCTGAGCTGACTCCTCCGTTGTCTCGTGACACATCAACACAGGAGAACGAAAGATAAGACAAGGCCAGCTTACGTTACAGCGGCAAAAGTACGCTCTGCAGTCGCGAGTTGATTTTCTTTCCTTACGTCGTCACACTTCGTGCCTGCCTTGAACCACTAGTCTGAATCGGAAAGAAATGGAGTGGACACCACAATCCTCCTCGCCTAGCTCTGTCTTCAAGCGAAGCACCATAGCGTCTGATCGATTCAAGCGTCGTAAACCTATTTTCGTGCTAATACCAGAAGCGAATCAGGTGTCAGTCAGGTTAGTTTTTTTGAAAACTTACAATACTGCGAAAAAACGCTGAAGTTTCGTGCAATAGACGAGGAATCTCAACATCGTTTCCAGTACTACCATTTTTCCATAAGTATGCGCGATAGCCTTCGAAAAACACATCTAAGTGTTCCTGATTCTGATACTAGAAAATAATCTCCAAATCGATCGTAACGAAGTTGTCTGTGTTATAGTCGTTTTTTGAAACCTTTATTGACAATTTTACAACCTTCTTTGTAAATCTTCTTCTGTTCGAATATCGTCATATTTTTTCTCGTATTTTTGTCATGCGAAACTGTCCCTATTGCTGTCACTTGCTCTTCGCCAGAAAGAAGTCGTAAATTTACTTCTTCTTGTAGATCAAGCCCAACAGCGGGTGCGGCTTGGTATCGCGGCGCAAAGTTTGGAGGCGCGAGCAAATCTGTCGAAAAGCAGAAAAGCCGGCTTTTCCACGTCATGTCAAATATCAGTGTTGCATATCAGGGAACCATCGCGCAAGTAGCAAGCGGGTACGCAGCGCGCACAGACCTACACACAGAAAAAACGCAGCATTTCACGCATGACAGCTTTCGCTCGTTGCCTCAAATTTTTGCTTGCATACTTGCCGACGTAGGTCGAGCCGTTGTAGACGAAGGACGGCTTCTTGGCCTTCTTGGCAGCCAACATCAGGGTGAAGTAGGCGTTCAGCTTCTTCATGCCTGTGATAGGTTTTGATTTTTTGGATGAGATTTTTAACTTTAAATGCGGACTCCTGTCTAAGATGTGCTCTGCATCCTTACTCTCCTCCGTGTATGGAGTTTTTAACGTCCGCGCAGTCCCTACGCCAGCCGCGACGTTGATCGCGGCACAAATGATCAACTACTTACTTGAAAAAGTTCAAACGTGTCGCATCGGGAAAAAAATGTACTATACCGCCCATCTTCATGGACATCTTCATCTTCTTCATGGAAGACATCTTCATCTTGCTGGCCATTTTCATGGCGGACATCTTCATCATCTTCGCCATCTTCAAGAGAGCGTGTGTGGTTTTCGAAAAAACGAATCCCAACAAAGTTTTTCCTATGGTTTTGGTTCAGCAAGTGGGAGATGATATCATGCAGCAACGTGCGCCACTCACAATAGAACAAATAAAATATTACGTCGGCTTCAACATTACGCGAGACAAATAATTAAAATTCCGCGATGATACATCCGATTGTTTTCCACCTAGAGGCGCGGACCCAAACATGCACTCAAATTCAACAACTGCACCCGGCATTTCTAAAGACTCTCCCACTCCTCGCCTCTGTTGTAGCAATCGGCCCTCCCTTGACGCAGATGAAATATTTCGTACGTCTCACAACTCGTGTTCCATGAGGCCAGATAGTATGTACTCACGGCGACAAATTCGCTTCCCGACGGCCGGCCGTGGAGCAGAAGGTGATTTTGCAAACTTTAAACCCGGAGATCAAATAACTTGATCACAACAGATACAGAAATCACTCTGCGCAATCTCTCTAGTACTGCTGTCCTCGTCTCCCTGGAATCACGACGCGCGCAATGTTCTGATCTGGACTCGCGCAACTGTTGCGTCGCAAAGCAAGAACACGATGACAGACCAATGAGGACAAAGGCGGGGCGAATGGCTCCGTTTGAGATCCGCAACTCACTCGGATCACGGATCCCTACTTCGTTGATTTCTCCTGAGGCTTCAGCTGATATTGCAACGGTGTATAGTTTGTGTTTGCTTCACGCACTGTCCACGAGTGCAATTCAGTACGCAGGCGGAGTTGAAAAACTTCGACTTCTGAAAGATACAACTACAACTTGCAGCTGGTCTTTTGATAGCCGTTTGGGCCACCACTCTCCGAAAAAGATTTGACGAAGTCGCCATAGCGTACGAGAAAGAAAAGCACGGTGTCTTTTTTCAATATCAGGTTTTACTTTTTTTGAAGTATTGCTTTTCAGCTATCTTGACTTGGCGGAGGGCTGCGTCGCTGGCGACCACCAACATACGGAGGAAGACTTGTATTTTGATTTCCAAACCCACGCGTCAAGTAGCTCGTTTTTTTTTTCGTCATAAATTATCATACACGGCTTTCCCATTTTCAAAACTTCACAAAGTAGAACATCACATCATACAAATCTAGATAAAGTACGCCCGCCACCACTTAAGCCAGACACTGGATGAGATTACTGGTCCTAAGAAGTGATCGCACTTTAATCCTTTCATGATCGAACATGAGCTGTTTCTGATGTAGAACATCATACAGGATATGTGCTAATTCGTTGTACTTATACTACTCAGAACAGTCAAAAGCTAGACCGAGCGAAAAATCCAGTTCCGTGGTGCTCAGCAAAATCTGCATTCCGTAAAGTATACTACTCTTGATCCTATAACCACCAATAGCCGTCCTTTAAATCTCACACGAGTTGTAACGTTGTAAACAAAAGATGCACTGTGCAACCGCAGCGAATCATCTTGCACTCACCGCCGGCGCGCGATCGGAGAGCGATTGACGAGTACCGGCGACGGTGGCGCGATCACTGCATCGCGGTGCCAGAGCTGTACTAACTAATATTGCACTAACCAGTCGTGAACGACAAGTATCTTGAAGAGCTAGAGCGGGTTTGTCACCACTCGTTGGAACGGCACCGAGACCGATCCGATCACGCGCTAGTACCTATCACGGCGCTACCTCACGCCCGCACACAGTTCCACTCACTTCTCTTTCTTTTGCTGCGTCGCAGCTTTATCTTCGTGGTGTTCATGATCTTCAGGCTTTTGCTCTGGCTCCGGTTCCTTGCCGTGCGCTGATTCAGGCTGGTGCTCTGGTTCGTGATCTTCAGGTTTCGATTTGCCGTCATCATGGTGCTCGTCCGCCGGGTCCACCCCGTGCGCGACCCCGGTGTCTTCGATGGCCGCCAGCAGCTTGACCATGGATTCCTGCACCTTGACGGGGAAATTGCGGAGGGGGTTGTCGTCGCCCTCGACGGCCTTTTTCTCGTCGTCCTTCGCGTTGTTGCAGGCGATTGCCACGGTCTTCAGGTCCTGCTGCGCCTGGTGGGACAGCGCGGCCACCAGCCGCTTCAGGTCCGGCACGGTCAGGGTCTTGTACGTGTGCAGAATGGTCGACGCCTGCTCGGTCTCCGCCTCCAGGGCCTTCAGCAGCGGGTTCTCGTCGGTCGCGGACTTCGCGAGCGCATACACCGCCTTCTGGTTTATCTGCGTGAGCCCCATCGCCGCGGGCGGGCAGGTGTTGTAGAGCTTGTCGCCGCAGGACCCGTTCACCAGCTGCTGGAGCTCCTCGCTGACCTTGTCCGCCAGCGCCGGCCAGCTGAGCACCTGGGTCTTCGCGCCCGTCACTATGTCTTGCAGCAGCTTGCCCGTGCGCTCCACCTTTTGCTTTACCGGAGGGTTCGGCCGCCCCTCCGCCTCGGCCTCGATCTCCTCGTTCGTGGGGTCGTGCGCGTTCTGCATCGTGATGACCTGACTCCAGGTGGCCGGGTCCGCCTTGCAGCGCGCAATCCGCTCCCTTTTGCTGCGGTACCGGTCTTCCGTCTCCTGCACGTTGCCGCCGTACTTCAGTTCCGAGGTCAGGGAGCTGATCTCGTTCAGCACCAGGTCCGCCTCGTCCATCATGTGCTGGATCAGCTGGCCCGCCTCCGGGTGCCCCGCGTAGGCGCCGCTTTGCTCTTTCTTGTGCAGGTCGTTCTTCAGGTAGGTGACGAAGTCCTGCACGTCCAGCCCCGCGGCGTTCAGGGCGGCGGACAACTTGGCGTCCGCGTCCGTGTAGGCGGTGAGCTCCACACGGTTCTTCAGGTCGGTCTGGTCCGCGGCCTTGGGCCCGATGGTCGCGAACAGCGGTGACAGCACGTAGGCGATGGGGACCGCGCCCTTGACGCCCAGTTCGCCGATCGTGTCCCGCAGGTCCTGGAACACGGCGTTCACTTCCTCGGCCTTGCTCATGAGGATCGGGTGCGACAGCTTGGAGGCGCCGCGGGTGAACATCTTCACCTGCATGTTCTGGTTAGTGTTCGTGTTCGAATTCTGTGCTGTGATACCAGCCTCGCCCTTCATCCCGCTCTTGCTACCGCCCGCATGCTCACCTCCCTGGCTACTACCCTCTTCGTCGGAGGGTTCATCCTCATCTTGCTCGTCGTCCTCGCCATACCCGTCCCCGTGTCCGGCGTGGTGCTGCTGCTGGCCGGAACCCGCGCCCAACATCCCGGCGGCCATCTCGAGCTTCGCCTTCTGAGATTTGGTGGTGCTGGACATGGTGATGGTGGCGAGACCCGTGGCCATGGATCCGAACACCACCTGACTCACGTAGTGCGTGCAATTGGTGCGTCCCCCGATCAGATCCTCTTTCTCCCAGTTATCTGGCCGGAATTGCGATGCCTTCACGGACTGATACCACTGGAAGACCACGTTCAGGCTACTCTTCTTCTCCTCGTCGCTTGTGCTCAGCGCCCCGCCGGCCGAAAAGTTCGCGGCGCTACTACTCCCAACGGTCCCGCTCAGGTTTCCGGAGATGGCCTGGGCCGCATCCGACACACTCTGCACCACGCTCACGTTCATCTGCTCGGCCAGGGACATGCGGGTTTGCAATGAGGCTTGCCGCTGCAGGTCGTACATTCTACGCCAGTTGTCCTCCATGAACCCGGGGAAGTACTGGCTCGGCATCGCTGGACGACGCCTGCCCGGGAACATGTTCATGTTACCCAAGTCGCCCATCTTGTTATTTCCCATACCGCCACCGGGGCCGCGCTGCTGGAGAAAGCCCCGGTTGCCCTCGCCGCCACCCATATTGCCATCGTCCCCGTCGCCGGTGTCGTCATTTTGCATATCGTCCTGCTGCCCTCCTGGTCCATCGCCATGGTCCGACTGGTCGTCACCAAAGTTCGATTGGTCGTCACTGAAGTTCGATTGATCGTCACTGAAGTTCGATTGGTCGTCGTCCCCAAGATTGCCGTCCTGCTGCTGGGCACCATATCCCCGACCGGGGATCGGTCCTCGCGACGGCACTGTATTTTGTGGCTTGATGTTGTACTTGTACTCCATGAACCACCGGTCCACGGCCTTCTGCGTGAAGCCCGGACGGAAGGGCTCTTCGTCATTCCCCTTGATCAGGTTGCGACAGTCGCCCAGCTGGGGCAGTTGGTTGGCGTTGGTCACCGAAAAGAATACCGGGATGGGCGACGCGGACATTTTGTCCGTTTTCATCTTGTCGTACACATCCTTCAGATTCTGACTTTGGTTCAGGTCCTTGGTCGCGTCCAAAGCGTCTCTCTGCTCCTTGGCGCTCTCCCCGACAGCATTGGCCCGCGGATCTCTCCAGTGGTCGTTCGTGCCGCGTCTGCCGCGGCGTCCGAAGTCGTCTCCTGGACCTCCGTACAACGCGCCGTCGCCCGTCTTGCCAAAGTCGTCTCCCCCGAGCGGCCCCTTACTGGACGTCAAAGCCCGACCCGCGCCAGCGTCCGGGGTCGCATTATCGTTTCCGTCTTCATCGCCGAATGGCGGCGCAGTGGCTCCGAGACCGCCACCTCTGCGAGGATTCTTGGCCGATTTCTGATGGTCTCCATCTTGCCCATCCTTCTGCTGTAAAGCGCGTTTCATCTTCTGGCCGGTGTGCTTTTCCTTCTTGCCTCGACCCCCGGAACGCGGATCGTAACCGTTGTCCGGCATCATATCAGGATCGTCACCATCATTGTTCTGCTGGTCCCCGAACCCGCCTGGCTGTTGTTGTCCCGGAGGAACATCATCTCCTTGATTGTAGTTGTCAGCATCACCGTCGCTGTAGCCTCCGTTCATATCTTCACCACCATATCCTCCATCCGGAGCTGGAGCCACTTGTCCGTCGCCAGGACGGACCCGACCGTCGCCGCCGCCCATCTTCTTGCGTCGTTTTTGTTGTGGTCCTGGCTGCTGCCCGCCTCCAACAGCTCCGTCATCGTCCTGAAAATCACCTGGGCCGTTCGGGTCGTCGGGATTTGGGCCGCTGTTGTACCCGTCGACGTTGTCAACGCCTCGTCCGTCCGGAGATCGTGGCGGTTGGGTCGACGGATCATAGGCACCCGCGTCAACATCCCCAGGATAGCCACCCGCATCAGGATTGCCATCATCCGCACCAACCTCCCCCGGATAAGCACCTAGGTCCCCGCCGGGGCCTTGAGACTCCCTGCCGCGGCGGCCTCTTACAGGGCGGAGCTTCGTGAAGCGAACCTTGCGAGCGTCGATCAGGTTCGTGGTCACCGCAAGCAGCGCGGCACAAGAAGTCGCAACGCGAAACGTGCGGCGATACATCATTTTCTCAAGAAAAAACAAAACTATGCAAGAACTCCTCTTGAAGATGTTGGTACTACTGGTTCTGATTCTGTTGCGCCCTCGGGTTCGCAATGATATAAGTGTGGGCAAAAGTAGTTGCAGTTACTAGGCAAATCACCTCTCGATTTTTTCCTCTATTACGTGTGTAGGGTGTCGAGTTGTCCGAGTGCTTGCAAAACTTCCTTACAAAGGTCTCCTCAATTCTTAAATCGTACAGCCACGACGGGTCGGAGAGAAGCACACAAGTGCTGATCAATCCTCGTCACGTGGGAAGGCAAATGCTCAATAGATAAACAGCAATGGATTTACTACTGCTGCAGGTAGGTAAGGGTAGTATAAGTTGTACTTAGGATGCGAATTGTTGAACTTCAACTTGAATGGTTCTAATACTTTAGTACTTACGTCTTCCAAAACTTGAACTTCTCCACACTCGGTACTTTACTTTTGATGTACTTGAAGTAGTATACTCGATGTTGTGCGTCTACTCTAGGTTGAATGTGTGTGTTGTTCTACTTGTAGTTTAGTGATGCTTTTTCAGCTCTTCGGAAAGCGAAAAAACGTCGAGTTTTTGTTCAAAACAGGACTTTTTTTCGGAAAATTTACTGTTGATGAAATGGATAAAGCAAAAACAAAGTATGATTCGGCAGGAATAGTGTAAGAACTCATACACATCGCGATACGATCAACCAAATTTAATGCACTCAAACTCAAAAGGATCGGACTGGGGTGGTGACATGTGTGCCACCGACTTGCCTCTAATTGGATCAGTTTTTCCATTTTTCTTCATGTAATACTATTGATCCTCATTTTCACATTGAACTGCAACGAACCGAGGGCAGAAAGAATTATGGCCTGTACTTAAAAAAAAGGATCAGAAGTTCAAGATTTTATGATTCATTTTGGATCGGTATTCCCTTTGGTATTTCACGGCTTGCGAGAACAAAGATGCTGTGTACATTGATTAGTCCGTCGTGATCATGCTCGTTGTCCTCTGGATCCACTCTGAATGGTACTTTTTCGGACAATTTTTGTATCATTGAATGACATTGGCTGAGATGAATCATCTGCTAGCCGTTGCTCGATGCCTCCATAGGCAAAAAACGCGCGAGCTCGCTATTCTGCTCTCTGGATTTCGAGTGTTGAAGAAGAGCACGGATCGAGAAATACTTACTCCGTTTGTATTTACTTAAACTTACTTATTATCTTGTCTGGTGTATTACCCCTCATTTGCATTTCGATTATCTTAGACGCAACAGCGTTTTCACGGCCGCACGTATCTCCCGTTCCCGGTACGCCTTGGCCTGGGCCGCTTGCACGCTGCCCTGTCCACTCTTCTGCGTAGAAGTATCGCGCATGCACTAATTGCAGCCATGCATGCGTGCAATATGCACGTTTCCTTTCGCCTGTTTCAATTTGCATGACAAACACGAAAAAATCCATTCTTGTTGATTGTGGAGGAAATAGTGAAGATGCTTGAATTACTGCTAGCGCGGTGATTTTGCAATGCATATCCACCACTTCCGCCGGGAAGTGGACGTTCGTCCGGGAGTAGGTAAAAAGAGTGGCGCGGTATCAAGTGTAAAAATCTCTGGGTCTGGAATCTTGTAATGCTAAAAATGAATGATAGATGCACTGCAGTACGCAGCTATGCATGACAAATTTTTTGGCTGCCAAGTCTTACGTATTCCGCATTGCAAACTGCGTTTTTGCATGACAGGTAAGAGGGCTTTTTCGTGCCTATGCAACACAGATTCTCGAGTCATGCCCAACTTACTAGCATGACAAACTTGCATTCTTCCAGACCCAGACATTTTTGCATTTGATACGCGGACGCGGTGGATCCCGCGTGCGGCCAGTGCCGTCGTAATTTTCGAACAGATAATTGCTGGACACAGCAGTCGTCGAGAATGCAGCACTATTCGGCGTTGGGAGCAGGGTCGCGATGTCGTTTTCGGCCGTCCCCGGGGCGGTGGTGGTACTCCGGACAATGTTCATTTTCATTTCGTTTGTCGTGGGAAGGGGATAGAAGTTGCCCACTGCCGACGTGCCTCCTGCAAGAGTAGACGCAGCTTCTCCCTGTGAAGATACGACCTCGGGCAAAGTTCCTCGGACCCCGCCAAGCGACACTTGCTCCAGCAGCTTCGCATGCAACGCTTCCATGTCCTTGCGAATGTCGCCAATTTGGCTCGACAAAGGCGGCTGCTCTGCGGTCGGCGGTACATGATCTCCGCTGCTGGTATAATCTTGGAATGCGTTCTGGTTTTGCTGTTGCGACGAGGCGTCGAAGGAAACACTCATAGCCGGAGCTTGGGTGACAATCACACCACTGGGGGCGGTTTTTTGCTGCTCCTGGCGGACGATATCTGCCATCGTAGAAGTGGGGGGGACCATGGTGGTCGGGGCATCTTCACTCCCCAGCGGGGTGGTTTGCTCTCCGCCAAGCACTGAATTGCTCCCCTCCACCATGGTAGTTGTACTCGTTGCAGCGGCTGCGAGCTCCACCGCCGGCGTTAGGGTACTATCGTCCTGAGTGCCCAAGTCAAGGACGGGGGCCGGATCCGCCGAAATAACGGGGTTGCCACCAGCGATGGCATTTGAGGAAGCATCCTCTGCAGGATTTTTGGCTGTGTCGGGGGACAATCCAGCACCGGCTCCCTCTTCATCTCCACGGACTGCGGATGGAGCAGCTCCCTCTTGCTCTTCATCTCCACGGACTGCGGATGGAGCAGCTCCTTCTATCAGAGACAATGGCGAGGATGTGGGTGTGGCCATAATCGCTATTGATTTTGATTTGCTAGTAGAAACAACAAGACGAGACAGTACCGGCTCTTGGATGGCTGTAGCTGTGCTCGTACTAAAGGTTCGTCAAGAGAATGACTTCGACTTTTTTTATGAGAATTATGTCGGAGTAAGCTAGCGACCGCACCACGACCACGCAAAGTGCGAGGCCATCCTATGCGCGGTGTTCCATTTTTTTCCACCCCTCACATTTCTCCCTCAGTACCCCTTCCTGGCAACCAGAAGCAGTTGCATTCCTCGACTTGCAGTTCTCGACTTGGTTCCTCGTCTTCTGTCGAGCGTGTATTTCTATTTGCTTCAGTTTATGAACATGCGGTGTGCCGTCTTTTGTTAGAATCACCGTAAGACCGTAGTCCCTGTACTTGGTTTCCCCCGGGCGCAGCAAAATGAGCTGCGAAATCAGAATAAATACCCGGCGCTCCTTCATCTGGATCTATCACTGTATCACGTTAGTTCACAAGCACACCAGGTCTCTATGTATACGCTTGCTTCCCACACTTCAGGCCAGGGCAACTCGATTGCGTTTTCAGGAATTCTTGTCAGCAATCTGTCACTGTCGACCCTGTGGGCGTAGGAGCAGGCGTTCCTTCTTTTGAGTCGCTATCCCGTGATTGAAAATCAATAAGTTGCGAAATATGAAAAAAACGTAGTATCTTCATAGGAACTACTTTGCACATGAGCCATTGCGAAAGACGTGAAAATTTTTTAGAGAGTAGAAGCTTCGTATTATTATTTTCGTATCTGTTCTTCAGTGGGTACTCGACCTCAGAGCACACATAAAGATAAAGTGGGAGGCAGAAGTCGAAGACGCTCTACTTTTGCAACTTGATCGCGCTTCGCCTCAGTACTCCTCGTCACTGTCATCGTCCTCCGGTCCGAGACCGACGACATTACGTTCGAAGGACTCAAAGCCGGCAAACATGTCCTCCACCAGGTCAAAGTTATCGCCGTCCTGGCCGCCCACCTCATTTTCATAGTTGTAGACCAGTTCGGGTGGGTTGCCGTCCCCCAACAGCTTCCGGCCTTGCTGGCTCTGCCGGAACAGGTTGCCCGAGCTCCCCGGCGCCGGGGCGACTAGTTGCTGGTTGATGTTCATGGACCCACTGAAATTTCCGCCCGCTGCAAAGGGACCAACGTGTATGAAAACGACACTCCGCGGCACAGTCATACCCTCCGAGACGTTTTGTCGTGAGGCGTTTTGCATTACAAAACGGCTCTGAGGTCGTGACTGTGACGCACAATTTCGTTTTCATAACGTCAAAGGAGGAGTTTCTGCTTCGGCGAGATGCGGTCCCGCCCATGCTGAATGGCTCCTCGAGGTTGACTTGCCGGAAGTTCACATTCGCAGACGAAGACGAGGCGGACCCCGGTAGAGGACCGACGCCGCCCGGTCCAGCGTTGCTCGCTTTCAGGGGCGATGTTGATGCCGGACCATCGACCATGTGGCCCAACCGCCCCTCGCGCGCTTGCACCACTACGTCCTCATCGGTATTCAGCCCGAAATTTAGCTCGTCGTTTCTCCCTACCGCGGCACTGCTGGTCCCGAAGTTCAGGCGGGAATAGTCCTCGCTCGGCAACAAAAAATTCGAGCTGCCGGCGCGGTCGCGCTGCGGCGGCGGTCCGTTGGCCGCTTCCACCGGACGATATTTCTCCTCAGACCACTGCACGGGGAGGTGGCGTTGCGAGTAGAACCAGAAGGATTCGATCGCGTTTTCGAGGGATTGGGGCACGTCTGAGACCGCTTGCAAGCTCGCCTGCTCGGCTTCTTTCAGCCACGTGCGGATGACGCGTCGCACGCTCTCCGGGGGAGACCAGATGGAAATAGTGCCGTCGTGACTGCCGATCAGAAGCTGTGCAGAAAAGAAGCATTTGAAATACTTCTTTACCAAATTGAAGTAGAGAATATTTGTTCTCAACCTGCAGGAGCTGCTCATCTCATGTTGATACATGTTATGTCAGTGCGAAAGGAAGCCGTGCTGGATTCAATTGTAGATGAGGGAGGCACTGCTAGCAATAGCCCGATGTAGTCGAGCCCGAGCTACTAGAGACAGTGTAGACAGTGCATGGATAGTTGAGTTGAACTGAAGTAAACAAGTACGCAGAAATGATTTATGTACCTGCGTGGGGTCGTGTATTTTGGTCTCGAAGGATCCCAGCGAGAAGGCGCAGATGTCTAGGCTCATCTGGTGCAGCAACGTGGCCTTCCTGAAGTCGATCACGCAGAGCACGCTGGCGGTGGGTGGCAGGCGGACATTTTGGTTATTCCTTGCGCCGGTGGTGGCCTTGCGAAGCTCTTCCTGCATGGGATTGACCAATTGGCAGCTGTCGGTCACATATCAACCGTAAAAAGTGTTTGGGTCTGGAAACTTGTGATGCTGGGTGGCGTCTCATGATGAGGCTACAAATGCTGGCTCAGCATGACAAGTTTCTGAGCTCCTAGGTGTTGCCCATTCTGCATGACAAACTGCGCTTCTGCATCACAGAAAAACGGAGCTCTTGGGTAACGTGCATGACAGATTTAAAAGTCATGCCAGACAAGCATGACAAACATGAATTCTTCCAGACCCAGACATTTTTACAGTTGATATCACAAGGGCCGTACTTGTCGGCACCTCGGCGAGATCCCGGGCCGCCTGCTCGAAACTCCCGTATCCTGAGCAAAAATGTACCCACCCCAGAGTTGTCATGCAGATTTGCAGCTACAGGAAGATTTGTAATGCGCATCCACATGAGAGGTATTTCCAATCGCGTTTTGCGCTTTGTAATGCTGTCGACAGGATGAGTAGATGGATTTGTGTTGCGGCTGTGCTTGCTAAATTGCACTACAGTACAGAGACGAACTTGTCATGCTGGACCCCCAAAACTTCTCGATTTGTGTTGCGAGATCCCCAGCTTGACTCTGGTGTGGGGACGTTTTTACATAGGATATCCCGACCTGTTTTTTTTTTTTTCTGGAGGAGGTAGCCGCTAATTCTCAACGATATGGAAGAAGCAAACCACGACCGTGCTGTTGCATTACTACTCCGTCCTTCACAATCTTTACAGCATCTGAAGTATTAAAGGAAATACTTACCCAAGCCGGTGTGCTCGCGGCGAAAACAAACGCCCCGCTCGGGTCGCAACAGATACTGGAATATGAAGCAAAGAAATTCCCCCGCATGGCAGCCAGCGCACACAAGCAATGTTTAATATACGAGAAGCCAATGGCAATATGTTACTCTGCTGTCACTTTCATTGTCAAATCAATGCAGCTAGGAGCAAATGCTGGTCTGGAAACGTCTTCTACGTCTCTGTCCTTGAGGAGACATCATGACAAAATCACTTGGTCACTGGAGAGAAGATCACGCAGCGCAATGAAATTCGTGTGCGTACTAGTTGGTACGGAGCTCTTGGGGGACTGCCCTTATTTTCAGTTCGATATCGGCCGCAGAGGTGCGAGACTGGTGATGAGTACCGAAGCAAACAACGGCATTTGATGCCGTTTCTCCCCGCTCCACAGGTCGTAGATGGAGAGCTGGGGCGAGTCCTCCTGTGGAATGACTGCAGTGATGACGACGAACAGCTTGCTGGGATGCACGGAAAAGTCGGTGATGCAGGGCGTGTCGCTCCGAGTTGCAGCCAGTGCTGCCCCCGCTGAGCCAGCGCGTCCCCGCGTGGATTGCGCCCCGGATCCGAACCCGCCGGCGCTCATCGTCTGGGTCGCAGGAACGGTCGCGGTCACTTCGAAGGTCTTCAGTGTACTCTTCGCGAAACCGGACCCGAGGCGGTACACTTCAAACAGGATACCGTATCCGACGGGAAACAGTCGTCTTTGCGGTGGAGGGAATGATAGGGAACACATTAACAGAAATCGCTCTATGGCTTCAATAGCGGGAAGATGGAAGCATATTTAAGTAGCTCTGCATGTTCGCAGTGCTCAGGCTTTTCTTTCAAGGCGTTTATTCGTGGTTGTCCCGCGAAAGCCGACGACTTCATCATCGTCTTGTAGTGGCGGCTTCGCGTATAGGAAACAGATATGCTTCCGACTTCCGTGTCAACAAACAGATCTCGACGTATGACCAACTCTGTGTCTGTATTTGATGAGGCACACGACCATAAATAGCAGCTAGAAATAAAATCATCTTTCTCGTCCATGGACCTGACATGACTGTTTCCAGTTTGATACTAGCTCGTTGTTGTTCGCGGCGGATTGCGCAAGAATGTACAAGTTTTGGTCGTAGACCCGCTTCTCGTAGTCTGGGTGCCGCACAAACTTCGCACTGCACTTGGTGCTGCTACTGCTTTTTCCGCCCCCGCCCGCCGCGGAAGGCGAGCTCGCGGGTGGCGGGTTCTGCAGCACCAGTTGCTGGCGGAGCTCCGGGTAGGAAAGTAGTTCCGAGAACCCGTTGGTGTACGTCGCCAGCACGTACGACTGGGCGCCCTGCTGGCCCCCGGAAGCGGCAGCAGTTGCAGGATTCATCTGCGCTATACCGTTCGCCTGGGCGTAATACTCACTTGGGGGGTCGAGCGGAAGGTCAGTATGGAGGGAAGCAGAGGGCAGTTGATTCCACATATCGTCAACATTGATAGAATGTATGATCTATTAATTTTTGCGTTGCACTTCTATATTCCGCTTGCCAAAATACCCGGCGTGGGGAAGATGAAAGCAGATGAGAGCATCAAGTTCATCTATATGCAGATTTGTACCAGCAAAGCACTGGTGGAAGATCTAGCCGTGCAATAAGTTGTACATCACTTTCATCACGAAGGCGGGATGCATCTGCTCTCTGTCCCCATTGCGTAAAACTGGAGGTCGCAGCAGTAGGGCAAAGACGTAGAAGAGGACGCGGCGGAGGTGCCCGTAATGACGCCGTTGCTTCCCCCCGCATCACGACCCCTCGATAAAGTAGGGGGTGCTGCAGCTGCAACGCTGCCCACTGCGGCGTGGACAGCTGCGTCTCGAGATGGATCCACCTCGAGGTCGTCCGCATCCTCATCCATGGCTTTTATCGCAACCCCGGCATATCCTGAGGAAAAACGTACCCACACCAGAGTTGTAATGCAGATTTGCAAAGACAGGAAGACTTGTTATGCGCATCCCCATGAGAGCCATTTCCAATCGTGTTTTGGAATTTGTGATGCTGTGAACAGGATGAGCAGATGAATCTGTCATGCGGCTGCACTTGCTAACCTGCACTACACTGCAGAGTGGAACTTGTCATGCGTGACTCACAAAGCTCCTAGGTTTGTGTTGCAAAATCCCCATCCTGACTCTGGTGTGGGTGCGTTTTTACTCAGGATACGGCATTGCTCACATTCATTTGCATGGACTTGCTTCCGATCTGCCACTCGCGGAGCTCCGGCGGCGGCGGCCGGACCAGCGCGTATCAAATGTAAAAATGTCTGGGTCTGGAAGAATGCAAGATTTGTCATGCATATTTCTCATGGCCCATGATGCCTGTAATGCATGCCCTAGCATCACAGGTCTTTTGAGGGATTCTTGATGCCCATTCTGCATGACAAATACCCTCTCCGCGTAGCAAAAATAAAAATTAGATTCCTTTTGCTGCTCATGCAACACAAGTTTTTTAGACATCGAAACGCAGCGTCACAAGTTGCATTCTTCCAGACCCAGACACTTTTACATTTGATAGCGCGAGCCGCCAGCTGAAGCGCTCGGGGGACTTTGACGAATTTTTGTTCATCTCCATGTTCGCCTGTTGACTGATGGTGAAGGATGCTCGTGGCGGCGTGCGGTTATCTTCATAGGTGTACAGAAAGAGCGCGCCGTCCTGTACGCCGGCCAACAGTTCGTAGCTCCCGTTCAACCGGCCATCTAGCGCAATGCTGTTGCTTGTTTTCCGGAACGCGGCAGCGGTGAGCGCAATCTTCTGCTTGGGCGTCTCCGAAGTCGCGAGGTAAGGTGCTGTAAGTAGGTGCGGAAGGATCTAGATTCTTGTGGTTGTTTAGCTTTTCCATTTATTCTTTGCGCGCTGCCACTTCTGATAAGATACTTGGAAGACGATCTTAAAGCACGAGGGTTGATGTCAGCTGCCTTTTCCAAACAAGATCACAAGTATTTATGAAACTCTTCTTCTACTCTAAGAACTTATGTGTACTACGACCACGACCAAAACAAGAACCGATGAAATCAAATGCGTACTACACCTGGCTGGAAGGTTTCTGGTACGTTTGGGAGGCCGCTCATTTCGTAGGGTGCCTGGTCGCTCGCGGAGTAGACCTCGGTGCGAAAGGGCGAGCCGGTGATGGGCCACGACAAGAAGCTTCCGTCCTGGCTAACGGACACAAACGAGAGCGCGTTGGACACCGCGTGCCGGTCCGGGTCGATCAGTTTACTCGCCAGCACGGCGGGCACTTGCAGCGTCGGCGCGCGGGCGATGGTTTTCACCGGGAGCAGGTGGCCCATGCGCAGGCCGACGTAGGTGTTGGTGGGCAGGTGCGCGATGCCGACGCTGGAATCCAGGAAAGTGGAAAAAACGTAGTCGAGGTTCATGCCAAAGCTGAGCTTGTAGATCTGCTCCCCGTTGTTCTGCGTGGCGCCCGTGCTGTCCCCCGCGGCGACCTTCGGGCACTCAATCTTCTTCTTGAACTCCAGCCGGGCCAGGGAGTAGAGGAACAAGTCGCCGACGCTGCTGCCCAGGATCATCTGGCCGTTAGTGGTGGAGATCTGCAGAGCGGTGAAGCGGACCCCGGGGTACCCCACCGTGGCAAGGAGGTTACCGTCGTAGTCGATACACAAAACCTTTCCCTTGGCGGACAGTAGGTAGAGCACGTCGTCGAACACCGCGAGGTCGTCGATTTTCTGCTTGAACAGGACGCGGGACACCAGTCGGACCGTCATGTCCTGTGCAAAGGAGAAAAATTTGATCTCCGACTGCGACAACGCGACGAAGGAGCTGTTGTTTGGCAGCATCTGGATCGTAATAATGTCCTCGGTGTTCCCCACATGGCCGTGGGCGAGCTTTTGGTGTCGGAGGGTGCGCGAGTCCCATTGCACGACCTGAGTAGTAGACAAGTGCTAACGAGATCGTGGTTGTTCATCTCCGGCAGCTGCAGCTGGTCAGAGTGAGAGCTAATGCTTTCCTTTGCCAAACACGAACCTGCATCAAATGCAGATGATGATTGACCTAATCAAAACTCAAAGAGCAGCAGCAGATGAATACTTAATATTTATACCGACGCAAAACCGACACAACCTTTCTGCAAGACGACCAATATGTGTGTTTCCGTGGAAAAGGCCGAGACCACCCCGCTGCCACTTGTGTCGGCCAGTGTTGTATGCACTGCAAACATCGACATTGATCGGAGATAAGAAGTGTTTCTAGCGAATTGTCATTCCAACCACAGACACGTGCAAGAATCTGTGCGTACGGCGAGTCTTCTGACTGCACCATGATAAGATCATGCAATAGCGTACAATTGAAATTTCTGAATATACTGGGCCCAGGTGTCGTAGATAGACACCTCGTCCCAAAACGCAAGTCCACAACCGTGCATCTAGAGACGAGTTCAAGTGTTTGCAGAGGATATGTTTGCTCGGCAATTTTCTCGCCGTCCGCCACCCGCCAGCATGTCAGCGTCGGTTGTCCGCCCTGGCCGAGCCACAAGCCAAGAATGGTGAGTCCGTCTTTCGCGAAAAACAGGTGGTGGCACCATTGATTCGGGAGCAGCGGTATGTTTCGCTTTTTGTCCTTCACGTAGTCCCAGAGAACCAAGGTGCTGCCGCTCTGGTAGGCACCCAGGGGGTAGCGGAAATGCGCTTCGACCGACTTGGAGCCGTTCCCCAGAACGGTCAGCAATTGAAACGAGTCGGCCATAATATCTGCCTATTCTCACTAAGTTAGTAGTTGTAAAGGTCCCATGAGGGAATGGCCGAGGGGGCCCCTCACACGGGACGAGGGACTTTAGAGTTCCTCTTGTATAAAAATGAGCACTACCACCTATTTTTGCGTCATCCACAGCGGATCAGGTGAAAAAAGCTCAAAGCAAACAGAAAACAATTTCCCGTTGCTCGCATCAGCCATCGTGCTGTCACACCCCGCCCTGCTGTTCTCTCATAACCATGTTGCTTTCAGAAGCGTGATTTTTCGCGTCACAATTTGCACAAGAAGAGAAAAATCCCTTTAATTGCGAAGGGAGACTCGATTCCTCTTGCTTTGCCAAACAACAGCAAAGCACTTGGCGTGTGATAGAAGGACTAGAAACCTCTCCACGCTGTGAAAATAGAGACGACATCAAAGAAACGCAAAGGGACTCTTACGACCAAGGGATTAGTGTAGTAGGTGGATAGAAGAAAATTGCTGATGAAACCAAACGGAACTACCCGGGAGCCTTTTCTTTCAAGACTTTTATTTCTCCGCTTTTTCGTTCTTCCCAGCAATACTCGTTCGTCTTCCTGGTTGGCTGATGCCTTCAACAAGATCATCTTCATTCTTTTTGGTTCGACAAGCTTCGTACTATCAGTCTTCCACGGTCGCTTGGGGGTCCCGGCCAAACTTAAAATGTTTTTCGACCGCAGCGAGCCGGAATGTATTCTGCTTGTACCAACCGAGTTGAAGCTGGTCCGGAGTATGCAATCGCAGATGTGCCGAGAATGTCGAGCGATGAGCTCGCTGTCTGGTACAAACAAAAGCTGCATACTACAAACTGTGGCCGAAAACAAAAGTGCATGCAAACTAATTCTCTGTTTCTATGATCCGAGTCCTACGCGAGCGCGACACACAATGGTGCTGAAAAAATATTGAGAAAAGCCGTCATCCCATCCTTCCCCTTCCGTGGCTCCTCGCATGAAAATTTACAGGTTGCGGAAGACGGCGAAAAAAACTTTTTTCCAGAAGAAGTTTATATATACTATCCAGCGGCTTTGCACTAATTTGTATTTTCTTATGTGCGTCGTGTCTCTGCGCGACATCTCTGACACAACCTTCGCAACCGCATAATTTTGTAGTGCCAGCATCCGTGCGTCGATTCGTTCGTGAGCAGCCTGGGTCTCTTGCAGAAACAAAGCTGTTCTTTCGTTAATATCCGTGCAAGAGGACGGGGCTGTGCACAGAGTTTGTCTCGCGGATAGGGGATAAAAATCTTTGTATTACAATGAAAAATACCCCCACCCCCGAACTTGAAAGCATTTGTATTGCAAACCTTTCCAAATGAAACATTCGCCCTCTTGCATGTATCAGCATCACAGATTTACGATCGTGAATAGCAAAAATTTGCATTGCAAAAGATCCCAGCAAGAGCGGCGCTTGTCATGCAAGCGATGCGTTACACGCCTAAGCCCTGCATCAGAAAGATTCATACTCCTTTCATGCATGACAAAAAGTTTTCATTTGGAAACTTCGCATCACAAATTTTTGCAATTTTAGGGGTGGGGGGCATTTTTCACTGTAATACTTTGCCGAAGAGGTTCTGTCCCCCGAGACCCGAGCCGGCGTATTCTTGGATAAGCTTCTCCTTCCCAGTTTTAGCCGAGGCTTGTGCTCGCACCCCGGCCTGCTCCCGCATTGCGTCCACCAGCTTCTCCCGGGCTCTTGCGTAGCAAGTCTCGACCTGCCCAAATGCGTCCGCGATCTGCTGTTTGCGTGCGTTGCGTTGCGCCCGAACTATCTTTTGCTTCCACCGCCACCCGATGTTGGCAAAACCATCGGAAAATCGGGCAACGTGCGAGGCCTGAAACAACTGCCGCATCTTCGAGTTGAAATTTGTTTCCTATCGGGTCTTCAGAGCCGTATGTTGGATTCGAGTCAAGGTAAAGGCAAAGTAGTTTGATTCCGATTACGAGACATGCGGGTGCAATACCAATGCGAAATATGCTCCGACAAGCGCCACCGCGAAATCAAATTGGAGTCCCTCGAATAAGAATGGCCAACGCCCATAGTTAGAGGTGAGTGTATCAATATTTCCTTCTTACAGACGAAAATAAAACCATGCGATCTACCGAGAAACCTCCTGAGCGGGAGGAAGTGGAAAGAAGAGAAACTGTTGATGTTGAAGGCAGAAGATCTAACTATGTGAAATCCAAAGCAATCACGAAGATGTGTGTTGTGAAAAGACGGCTGGACACAGTTCGTTCTTGCGTTAACTTTTCTTGGAGGTTCATGAACGTGTAAAAGAACAACGTACGGCCGGGATGTTTCCTACTGAGAGGAAGGCGGCTTCGTCGTCAACTTACCAAGGCGATACAGCTTTAGCTTCGAAGTGTTCGTTGCAGAGTGGCGCTGTCAAGTGTTCCATCGTTTCGTACGACGTGCCGCAATGCTCATTTGAAAACTTTCTTCATGAAAGATGTCTGCTTTTCAAAAACTCTTTCCCTCCGGCTCATCAGAAGAACGTCGCCGTCGTGGGGTAAATGCTTTCGCAGAAAAAAAATGTCGCCTTTTGGAGGAAGCATTGCTCGAAGTTTGTGTTTCTGTTTGACGATGTACGAAGACGCTTGTCGTAGAAACGTGAGAAAGAAATTCCTTTGATGACTTATCATGAAGTATGTAGCTGTATACATTTTTTCTTCAGGATGCCTTACCCTGCTTACAGATTAGCGCTGCGTGCTTCCTCACAAATTGGCAAGCACCAGGGCCGTCCCCTCCGTTTGACAAAAGGAGCTTCGTCATGCTGCCGTCGCAAAAAGTCACCCGCACTATATCAAACGAAAAAACTAGCGTAAGTTCTTTGCGGCTAGTGAGGATCGGCATCTGCGCACGACAGGAATGGTTTGCTGTGCGTTCCAATGCATCCATCATAGTGAGTATGACACTCCTGGCGCGTGGGCTTGCTCGGCGTGTTTCACGTGCCTCTAATGCAAGCTGCGACGCTAGAAGGTGGACGACTTGTTATGATGCAAAATCACAAGCAGCACATGAATAGGGACTGTGGCTAGGTTTTTTCGTTTCCATACGTCGGATCCGCGACGACCCCAAGAGTCCAGCCCCAGCCAAGGCCGCCTGGATTCGGGTGGAAGCATGTCACCTTTTCGCCGTGCCCCAGCCTATGCGAAAAAAACCTCTGGGCAACGGAGTTATCACATGTCAGTCAGAAGCTCCAACCGGGCGGAGATTTGCTACACCTTCAGGCTCAGTTTAACTAGCACGTCGGCCGGTTACATTCATGCCCTAGGAATTACATGCGCCTACTTCAGTAAGGCTCGACGCCGCCCCGAGCGCAGTTCTTCTATTTCGTGCGCAGGAGCAGGAGCCGTCACAACAGGCGCCGCTACGGTTGGCGCCTCCTATTCTTCGTGCTAGAGTTTTTTGATGTCCTAGTAAGTCGGATGGCCCAGCGTTGCCACAACGGCGCAGCGGCTCTCTAGATGAGCCTACTTATTCTCCCCAATCAATTTTGGTAGGCTTGAATATTGCACCTTCATCCACCTTGCTCCGCTGCCCAGAAATGTTTTATCTTTGATAAAGCCCAAGCCTCTCAGTTCGTTTCTGTTGCTCCCTGTGTTTAGTGTTTTGGTACTTCATACAAGAATGTTGATGACGCTGAGTTCCGGCGCTCTTCGTTTTGCGCTCATTGAGACGCAGACCCAAACATATTTTTATTTTCTCATGATCATGATGCAAAAATAAGAAGGAGTCAGTTAAGACACTGAAATACCACGCAGCGCCAGAGATAATGTAGTTGATGAGATCGGCTGTTATGACCTGCAACAGAAGGTGGAGTTCGCTGAAGGTGAAGATGTAGCTCTTCTTTGTCTTTCACGTTCTCTATCTTTTGCTCTGCTTACCGCGGTGATACGAATGACAGGTCTCTCATCTGTCTATATACTCCTAAGTACTTACATACGTTGCCACAATTCGTTTCACTACGGGCCTGCAATGAATTACGGCGCCACGCGCGCTACCGCGTAGTTCTCGTCGTGTGTAATGTCGTGGCTATGCTAGAGCTAGAGCCTGCCAGCAGGCCGCACACATGAATGAAAGCACTCTGCTGCGCACTGTTGATCATATTTGCTCAACACTCACTTTGAATGCTGCAGACCGCTGCAATCTTTGACGCCGCCACCCCCAAGCTGCAGTGCATAGCCGCCATGGTCTCCCCCTCTCGATACTTTGGCAGCGCCATTGTCGCATAGTTGTCAGTGATCAGTGTATGCAATTGAAAGCAGACGCGCCCCCGGGTGTCTTGATCCACTCCCAAAATCGGTAGAGAATGAGCATAGGCAAGGCACGGCTTAGATTTTGGCTGTTGGTTCATATGTTCTCCGTCCAGGAGAAGTGGGACCAGAGCTATTCACTTAAGCATATTACGTAATCCGCCCCGTGTTCGCACGGCAGTGGCCGCGCAGCCGACGGGCGCGCCTGTTTTCCAGGTGATAAGCTAAATTCGTGACGAACTCGCTCATAGTCGTGTCCCTTCCGATGGGGCGGCGATCGGTGAGGGTTTCTTCCAATTTGGAGTAAAAGAGCTCTTTATTTGAAGCGCGGACAAAAAGATGCCCGATGGCGGCGACGACGGCCGGAACTGTGCGGTCCAGCAGCACGGTAGCGAAGAACGAGGCGTAGTTTTTTTCCCGTGCGGCCGAGCTTTAGATATGCCACGCAATAAACACTCTGTCTTTCTTCTCATAGTCAAGTGCGAGGACAATCCTCGTTTGCAAGTACTGCCTAACATTGAGTATGTCGAAAGCAAACGAGGCCGGCAGTTTTGCTGGGCTTCGCTCTGCCCTTTGAATAAAGGCGCAAGCAAGTCATAGTCAAGGGAGCTGCGTCGGGTAACGCTTTATCGTTGGCAGACACGCAGCTTTTCTTTCATGCAAACCGTCAAGGAAGTCCCTAGTCAGTAATTGCAATTTCTGACCATGAGAATCCTAATACTAAGCCTCTCCTCGTCGATATGTAAAGAAGTCCGGAACTTCCAGCAGGTCGATCAGCATTTTTCCAAAGTCCGATAGCAACGCATGCATGTAAAAAGCAGTGCCCGCGCCAGGCTAGAGACTACGAGACGGAGCTGCTGCGTTTTTTCGTTCCGGCAAGACAAACACTGGCGCGCGGCGCGCGCGGCGAAAATTGAATAGGTAGACAGGAGGCGCAACATGCGAGAGGCAGCTCCAAGGCCCTCGAGGGAGAAGGAGATGTGGCAAACGCATAAGGAATGAAGCAAGGAAAATAGGAGCGCGCACTCACATGCGACTGCGTCCGGGCGGGGAGAAGAAAAAAAACACACACGCAAGCTCTTCGAACTTAGTCTCTGCCTCGCCGGACGGGGCCTTATGTACATGTAGTTGCGTAGCCACCCTGCTCCATAAGGTTCAGGCGGTCTGGACACAAATTCGCTTCGACTGCTCTCGCCAACCACGCCTCTGCGTCCGCTGAGAACTCCATTACTCCCTCCGCCAGCGCTTCGTCTACCCCTTGAAGCAAGAGGCCCGACCCTTCCATCAACCCCAGCCACCAACTCGGGGCCTCGGCTTTGCACTCGGGGCGGCGGCTGAGGCCTTGCTGACGCAATTCAGGTTTACTCTGATGAACACTGCGGCTGCTTACCGATCTGCTTCTCCTGGCCGATCTATTCTTGCGACGCGCGGACTTTCCCCGATCCAGCGTGGAGGCCTTCGCGTCTTCTCGTATGAAAAGGAAAAGTGGGCGCACTGCTTTGTTTGCTTGATAAGTCCTCTTCACAATGATAATCACAGAGGGGCGAGAAAATAAATACGAAGCCGAGGCCTTCTTTGCTTCGCTCACGAAGAACAAAGCTCACAGCGCAACTTGCGCACACTTTTCCAGGACTTACCTTTTTTCCTCACACTGGGCGGCCTGCGAATCCTGCTTCTCGACTTTTTTCGTGGCGGCGAGGCGTCTTCTTTTCTCCACACGCTCTTCCCTCGGTTTTTTCCAGCTGCCCGTGCCGGCGCTGGGTCACGTTTGCCTGCCTCCCGCGACTGCGATCGCCGCACTGCCGAGCGAGAGCGGCGGCTTCTCGACCTCTTCCAGTGGCTGTCTCTGATGTTGCTTGGCTGATGCTGGGGAAAACCAACGTACCCGCCCCATAGTCAAGATGGGTTATCTGCAATGTACGCAAGCCAATAGCTAAGCTACTTGGGCTTTCGGTGATTTCGCATGACAACTTTGGGTCTCCAATGTCGTCCGAAATAGGTGCCAGTGCACCAGCGAGCTTCTTTCGAAATTGGCTTTCCTGATGTCCTGACAACTCCATCATGAGCAGGACAACCACAAGGCAAAAAAAAACACTACGACATAAAAGCTGCGTCTCATGGAGCGACGCATCCTCGCCACCTGGTCATAGCGTGCGCTACTGTCAAACTGTGAGTCTGTGCATGCGGACTTACACCATAGACAAACAATGTGGAATGGGTACGCTTTTCCCTAGGATATCGCGCTCGTCTACCAGTCGCTTTATGATCATCGCGGCCTGCGGCTGCGGCAGAGGGGCCGGCCCCATGGGAACTGTACTTGTCAACTGTAAAAGTGTCTGGGTCTGGAAGATTCTGACACTTGTCATGCACGTTTTGCATGAGCCCTGATGTCTGTGATGCATGCCATAGCATTACAGATTTTTTGAGAGCTTCTTGATGCATATTCCGCATGACAAACGCCCTCTCCGCGTAGCAAAAATTACATTCCTTTTGGTACTCATGCAATACAGATTTTTCGGGAATCCAAAACCAAACGCAGCATCACAAGTTGCACTTTTCCAGACCCAGACATTTTTACATTTGATAGTACTCGTGCCGCTTCAAATTGGTCAGCAAATCCTTGGTCGGCACACCCTTCGACCCCGCCCGGTCGCGGAGCGGCTGGCGCCGGTTGCTGTTGCTTCTTGCGGCGCTTGTAGCGTTTCGTCTGCGGCTTGCGCACAAACGCCTTCCGCGGGACTTGCTCGTTCCTCTTCTGGTCTTTCCACGCGAGGACTTGCTCACCCCTCTTCCGGTAGTATCGCCTTGTTTCTCTTCCTTCTTCAAAACGTCCACGCCGCTGGCCGTGGGGGCCGTGGTGCTCTTGGGCCCGTAGATCGGTAGGTCCCGCACTGTTCCATCGGGATCCGTGACCCTCTTGAAGGCGATCACCACCTGGTCTTCCTCGTTCGCTTGTTTTATGCGAAGAAAAAAGTGTTTGACAGTTACACATTTGTTGCAACTTTAGCAACACAAACTTGCTCTTCTTTACAGAGAAGACTTGCAACGCAGAGATCGTAAGTGTGGAAAACACGTATGGAACGAGGCTCGCATGCCTTTTCAACATGAGAGAGGTTGTCTGTCTTGCACGTTCTGCAACAACTTAGTGCGTAACTGTAACACTTTTTTCGTTCCCTATGTGTCTTTCGCTGGTTGCCGGAAGTAGAAGAAGCAGCTGCTACCGGCGGGGGCACTGGTCGCCGGACCTCGGATTGGCGGCGTGGTTTCTCGGCTTCTTTCACCCTGTTGCAGTTGCTGTTCCTCGGCGGCACTGGTGCACCAGGTCGTCGGACCTCGGACGATCGGCTTCGGCGCCTTTCAGCTTTTTCGGCTTCTTTCAGCTTGTTGCCCTTGAGGGCGGCCGCAGCGGCGGCACCACGCCCGGCGGCGGAGATCTCGTCTCGGCTTCTGTGCACGTCCTTCTCTTCGAGTTTTTATCCTGAGCAAAACAAGCGGCAACATCGTACAAGAGCAGTGCTACACTTCATACGTGGACCTGCGATAGTTAAACTTAGCCTAAGTTGTCTGATGGGGTCTCTACTTAAATAAGTACTTCTGCACCCGATGCAAACTGCTTTGAGGCTTGATGTCTTTGTCAGGGCAGCGACGGGCTTAACTATGGCTATGAAGTGGACTTTATCTAGCTACGCGCGGGACTTCCTTGTACGATACCAATATAAATTTGCACGACGCATAAAATATCGCCCCGACTGTAGTTTCTTCCGCCGACCTTTTTTCTCATTTGCTGGGAGACTTTCGCGCCATGCGACCGCTCATCCAGGAGCTCGATTCGCTTCTGTTCCCGCCGTTGTAGCTCCTCCAGCTTGTCAACCCTATCAAATGCAAACATGTCAGAAAGATCTGGAAGAGTGCAGAAGCGAGGTTTCGTCTGGCATCCAAGCCCAAGCATTACAGTCGTTGAGAAGATTTCGCAATAACAATCTAAGAACCCACATGACAAATGCCCCCACTTTGGGAAAAAGAAGTGCGCCGCTGGTCTTTCAGCTTCCCGGGCGGCATGGCAGGTTTTCTCGTGATCTGAAACGCAAGCAAAGATCAGAAGTCTGCATGTTTCCACCCCCTGACATGTTTGCGTGCATAGTCCCGCTCGGTCTGCAATTTGCCTCGCACATGACGCTGCCCGCCACCCTGCATCGTCGAGGCCGGAGGCTGAAGGCCGCTCGCCGGCCCTGGGTCCGGTTTCTCGTCCATGTTCGAGTATTTGGACAAGTAGGCGTGATGGGCCAGGCCGAGGCCCGAGCGGCCGATCCCCGGGGCGACCGCTGGCAGCTTGGGGGCTTGTTTTTATCCAATGCGAAGCCGGCTTCGATGGATTTCTTTGTCTAGAAGAGCATTACATGTTCTTCGCAGTTTTTTTCTTTCCGATACTTAATGCGCGTCGTGATTCTACTCATGCCGCAGATAGTACGACAACACTCCCGCTAAGACCAGCCACGCTTGATTGATGGCATGTGTGAAAACATAAAAACAAAATGGCCTCTTGATCATCTTGTCACGGGCTCGCTATAGCTAGAAGGAGTAGTCATTGCAAGCACGAAGAGCTGCAAAAAATACAAAATAGAATAAATCTAGAAAGCGCATGACCACTCCCTTGGCGGAAGCAAATAGAAACGGAAGCCGCTTTTCCATCGAATATGTTGGGCTCGTCCTTGGCTGCTTCCCCGAGCGCGCCATTCCGTCCGGCCTTTGCCTTCGGCACGGCTTGGGCACGCAGCTGCACGGCAGCAGACTGGGCCGCGGAGGAAGCAGGCACGTTTTGCCGTCCGAAGATAAACCTCCTGCCTGTTGCGCCGGCCGTTGTCTCCGCTGCGCTTCCGGCTCCTTGCTCTTCGCCGGAACTCTTCTGGTCAGCGCGCCGGTCGCCCGTGTTCGCCGCTGCCTCATCGGCGGCATTGCTCGGCTCGCCCGGGGCCTTGTTGTTGGGTTTTTCTTTCTTTTCTCCGCCGTCTTTCCAGAACTCGGAGTCGGAACCGACCTCACTGTACTGGTCGTCCTTGGCAGCTGTGCCGCCCGCATGATGTTGTCGGAGCGACGCTTTCAGCACTTCCGGGCCTGCAAGATCGCCGGTCTTGCCCTCCTCGTTGATCACTGCCCCGCAGGTTGTCGTGGTCTTATCGCAGAGCTTGTTCTCCCCCTCCTTTCCTGTCCCGCAGAAGCTCGCCGCCTTTCCTGCAAGCCCGTTCCCGATCCCGGCGCTCTTGGAAAAGGAAATGGTAGTGGAAGTTGAAATATCAAATGTAAAAATGTCTGGGTCTGGAAACTTGTGATGCTGTGTGGCGTATCATGAGGAGGCCACAATTGCTGGCTCGGCATGACAAGTTTCTGAGCTTCTAGGTTTTGCCTATTCTGCATGACAAAGTACGTTTCCGCATGACGGAAAAGTGGGGCTCTTTGGTAATGTCCATGACAGATTCTCGAGTCATGCCAGACAAGCATGACAAACTTGCATTCTTCCAGACCCAGACATTTTTACATTTGATAGGAAACATCGCCGTGATTGCTGGTCTCGCTCCGTGGTGGAGCTGCAAGGGGAGCGGGGGGAAAGGGTAGCGAGGCCACAGCCACGCCTTTGAGCGCAGCTGAAGGCGGCAGTCCGCCCTTGGCCCAGCCTACTCCTGGTTTTCCTCCAGCGACAGAAGTCGACGGCTGGAAAGGCGCGGCGTGTGTGTGACTTTGGTAGTAGTTGTAGTCTTCGAATCCGTCATAGTCATCATTCTCGTAGTCGTAGTAACCCTGCCACCAGTCGCCATGGGCCTGGTCCCAATTCGGATTTTGCCCTCCATAGAAGCCGCCTCCCCGTCCGCCCCGATATCCGCGATTTCGCTTTTTGCGTCGCCGACCCGCAAAACCAGCTGCTATCGTGTTTAAAAACGTACCCACGCCATAGCTCTAATGCAAGTCTGCATGCTGGCAATGTTTCTTTATGCGAAGCCCCATGAGAAGCATTCTCCAGTCGTGCTTTGGAATTTGTCATGCTCCAATCAGCATGACGCACTAGATCTGTGATCCTGCTGAAGTAGCCCAAACAGCACTACATCACGAGTCGAGCCTTGTTATGCAAAACAGGCAAAACTTGTGGATTTGTCTAGCCGATTCCGTATCTTGACTCTGGTGTGGGGACGTTTTTACATAGGATAGCTGCGTAAGGCTCCTCAGCAGGTAGTGTCTGTCCTGGAAACGGGACACCACCGACCCCGAGCGTGCTCAGGTCGCCGAAGACTGAGGGATTGCAGGCGTTGCCTTTGCCTCCTCCGAAGCCTTGCTTCTCTTGCGGGGGTGGGGGCGCATTCCGCGCTTCTTGTTCTATTTGAAATATTGACTTTTTGCTCATTATTTTATATTGTTTTTGTTCAAGAAACTAAGACATTACAAGAAGATCGGCGGCAGCAGATAGACATAAACATCGCACTGCTGAGCAGCTTATCGAACAAGAAGATCAAGTAGAAAAAGCACAAGTAGTGACAGAAGGATGTGATAGATAGATACTCAACCGAGAGCGACAGATGGGCGGCTCTATGTCTCGGCTCAACTTTTGCACCGCTTGGAGTTGTTGAAGCCTTCGACTTTGGTCTCGACAGCCGTTGTTTGTATGTAAATAGCTATAATGCTCTCTGCTCGGTCCCTGACAGGTACGGAAGAAAAAAAACCATTTAGCCACTTCCTCTCTCGTAGCCCCACCGTGGCTGGCCACAGATGTCCTTGCATAAACAAGACAGGTGCTGCTGTGCGGGTCATGTCTGTGAAGAAGTAGATCCTGCTCTTTGCTCAAAGACACTAAACGTCCATCTCCAAGATCCTCCGAAATAACTACCAACTGAAAGTCACAGAAGAGTCGGCATTCAAAGTCAATTCTTTATCGATCTCGTCTTTGCATAGAGCACAGGCACACCTACTGACAATTGAAGTCTGCCGCTCCGCCCTATTGGCCTGGAGGTCTCTTTCGTATTTATTGATGCGTTTTTGCCTCGAAACAAAGCACATGCTTTGTCGGCTGAGTTGCTTCAGATCCAATTGCAATGAGACAAAAACAACATCGCACAATTTTACGAGTTACATATTGAACAAGATGCGCCAACAAAAATTGGGTTTCAGTACGCTTTGTGGGGGAAAGTATCGGCTCCTACCCACCAGTGGCCCTTGCGTGTAGTTTGCTATCTTGTTTAAATGTTCTAACTATCTCTTCCATTTTTCTCCCTTGGTTGTGGTTTTATTTTCTCAACACACATTAAAACCAGAATCATACTCGTTCATAAAGGCATCTCCATCTTCTAAGAATCCGCTGCGTTTCTTCGTTTCACACATGAATCACAGAAGTACACAATGCAGTATTCATTTCCAGTAGTAAAAACGACCATCCTAAAGACAGGTCGAAAAATCGCTCAAGAACTTTATTTGGAGGATGTGGGCGACATCGGGAAACAGCCATAAATTGAGCTGGAGCTGCGAGAAAGAACTAGAACATCTCAGGAGTAAATACCCTTTGCTTGTGGCGAAAAGTGCAACTAGATTGTCATCACCGCCGTGGACGATTTTCCCCCGATCACCAACACCACGACAGCGAGTCCCCGGGGTCCACTCTGACAGAAGCTGCAATGTGATGATGCAGCAGGGCGAGGGCAACGTCAAGAAGTGCGATTGCGAAGATGAAAAATGCGCTAAAAGCAAGTGATTGCCTCCTCGTCGTTCCCGCACAGCTACAGCTCCTCCTTTTTCTTCGGTGGAGGCGGAGGTGGCGTTGCGCTATCATCAGCCGCAGGATTTGCATTTTTAGCAGATCTTATTTCGTCTCCTGCAGCTATTGTGTTCTCATCCTGCGTCAGTGTTGCATCCGCGTTGGCAACATTATCGGAGGAGCTGCTGCTGCTAGTACCTGGCCCGTCGGTGACCCCGCCCGCGACCACCACCTCCTCCTCACCGCGACGCGTCAGAGACAGCGGGTCGCGATCATCAAACGTGCCTATGGATTGCAAAAGTGTCTGGGTCTGGAAGGTTGCAACTTGTGATGCTGTCTTTGGATTCCAAAAAAATCTGTTTTGCATGACCAGCAACAGGACTCCAGTTTGTGTTACGCGGAGAGGGCATTTCTCATGCGGAACAGGCATTAGGAAGCCCTCTAAAAATCTGTGTTGCTAGATCATGCATTGGAGGCATCAATCATCATACAAAATATGCATGACAAGTGTGCATTCTTCCAGACCCAGACACTTTTGCATTTGATAGTGCCCTGATCACACTGAAACTTGTTTTTCATGGTCTTGTAGCACACGGCAAACTCCGCGGGGGCGACGCGCAGGTCGGTATGCACGGGGGGTCTGGTTACAATCAGAGACAGGAGTTTCGAAACGGTGGCAGCAGCCAATTGGAACCGCGATTGCGGGGGCTGGGTGTGATAGGAGATCAGAGGCCAGGGCTCGACGTCGCTAGAGGGTGGATCTGGATTGAATTGTTTAATTGTCAGAACATGCAAAAAGAAAAGCTTCACGCATGTTGGTGCTGTCTTTTCCTTGAGAGCCACGACGACAGCTAGGTAGAAGTTCTACGCAAAGTATGTAGCAATTCTACTTGTCCTCTTACCGTTTCCCTCCGCACTGGCGGGGGCCGGCGCGCTTTTGACTTCCAAAATCATGCAGCCAGGCTGCGCCGAGCTGTCGTGACACAACAGGAAGAAACCAGGCATCGCGATTGGTTTCAGCATCAGACTACGGATTTTGTCCACGCCGAACAGCGTGCTATCGCCCTTCACAAGCTCGTTGCGGGAACGCCCTGGTATACGAAGTTTGGATCATTTTAGTGGACACGCGGGGGGAGCTGCGCATCTTCTAGCAAAAACATGATTTCGATTGCGCACAAAAAAGTACATACCGGCATGCGTCTTGATGATCCGGCACCTGCCTTCTCCGTCGACACCCTTGGCGTAGCAAAGCAGGTGATTCTGCACGCCTTTCTGAACGGTGTCATCGAGTATGGATTTCAAAAATCTCTGGGTCTGGAAGATTCCGAGATTTGTGATGCATATTTATCATGACCCATGATGCCTGTAATGCATGACCTCGCATCACAGACTTTTAGAGGGCTTCCTGATGCGCCTTCCGCATGAGAAATGCCCTGTCCGCGTAGCACAAACTGGACCCCTCTTGCTGGTCATGCAATACAAATTTTCCTAGAATCCAAAAACAGCATGACAAGTTGCAAGCTTCCAGACCCAGACATTTTTGCAATCCATATCGAGTGAAGAAAATCCATATGCGATCATCTCGTCGAGCTCACCGCCGAAAGGACTATCGGTCTTGTCTTCGAATTGTGCGGCGCGGGCCTGATGATAAGTTGAAGTCAAAACGTGTCATGTGTGCGCACACTTCTGAAAATAGAAATAAACGGCGAGGCTTGATTCACTTATTCCGCTCGCGCGCGCCGCAGTTGCGGCTTAGTATTTTCAGACAAGGGTTCGTGCAACAGAACCTCCATTGGGCCGTTCCTACGTTTTTGAAAACAGCCTAGTGATTCTATATAATACGTTGATGTTCGCGAATTTGGTTCTCATCTGATTCACTGTCGGAACGGTTTTCAACTGCTGGTCGAGTAGCTCCCGGCCCGTCTTCACCTTGCTCCCGCTCGTTTTCCTGCCGTCCGCACTTTCGTCGCTCTTCAGACTTGCATTCACGGCCGCGAGTAGGTCGTCCGTGTCCCGTATCGAATGCAAAAGTGTCTGGGTCTGGAAGAATGCAAGTTTGTCATGCTTGTCTGGCATGATTCGAGAATCTGTGTTGCATAGGCACGAAGAAGCCCTCTTACCTGTCATGCAAAAACGCAGTTTGCCATGCGGAATACGTAAGACATGGCAGCCAAAAAATTTGTCATGCATAGCTGCGTACTGCAGTGCGGCTATCATTAATTTTTAGCACTACAAGTTTCCAGACCCAGACATTTTTACATTTGATATCCCGGGTTTCCACCTTGTTCAGCTTTGCCAAAATCTCCTCGTACATGCGCTCGTGCGTTTTCAAGTCCGAGTTGTAGTCTTCTTCGGAAAGTTTTTCCATTTTCGCGTAGTCCGCGACGGGAGAGAGAATGATCTCCTCGCTGGGATCGGTTGTCGTGGTCGTTGAGGTGGTGGTGGTGGTTGTCGTGGCCTCTTCCTGCTCTTCGTTTTCCTGCATTGGTGTTCGTCCCACCGGTTGTTCTGTGCCATCAGGAGGCGGAGTGGCAGTTGCCGCGGACTCTTTTTCTTCGGGAGCGGAAGTGGTCTCTACTGTGCTCGTTGTCGAAGAGGATGTGGATGACGACGGGGGGGATTCTGTGGTACTGGAAGGAACCGCTTCTGTCGTGCTTGCAGTTGTAGTACTGCTTGTTGTACTACTTGTAGTGGGAGTAGAAGTCGTCGTCTCGGCCGAAGTAGTTGCTGTCGTCGACGTCGTCGTTGTCGTCTCTTCTTCCACCGGTGTCGGGGGCGGCGTAGTGGACGTTTTTTCCACGACTTCTGGTGCGGGTGTGGTCGTGGTTCCAGTTTGTTCCGTACCTGTCGTGTCCCCGAGAATTTTCCCGCACGTAGCTCGACAGTTGGCCCACATGTACTTCTTCCTTTTCGTGCACTCGCCCGCCTTTCCCCACGCTGCGCAGTGCGGGTTCTTGTCTTGCTTCTCCGGATCGCCAACATCGCCTTCATCATCTCCCGCAAGGGAGGTTGGCGCGCTGCTGTGCTCGTCTTCGCCCTCCTCGTCGCGCGTGTCCGGGGCGTGCTCCGAACAGGCGTCTTGGCACGCGGACCACATGTACTTTCGCCGGTTTTTGCATTCCCCCGTTTTGGCCCAGTGCTGGCAGTGCGGCGACTGGTCTGCCGCGTTGGCAGGCAAGCGATGGTGCTGGGCAAGCAAGCAAAAGTTGACTACACCACTTGCAACCGCGGTGCGCATTCGATTTTTTCGTGGCCTGCTGGGCAACGATGGGTGACGTTGCGGAGGCATGCTGCGCACGTGCGCGAGCGGGAGTGGCGGAAGGGTTTGTGACGACAATGCAGATGACACTACCGACTCCGAGATGGACATCTTGAAGCTGTATCAAATTGCGCAAGAAGGGGCACAAAACACATCAGCGAGAGAAAACTTTACACTGCGACGCCGATCTTGGCAAGTATCATAGAAAAGATAGGAACACCGAGACACATAAAAGTCGGGCACGGACCTAGACTGGTAGAGCGACCGGCGATTCCGGCTCCAAAAGGGCCGTGGTCGGACAAATCAGCATTCGCATGCTTACGTGAACACTAACCGAACTCAGACCACCCAGGGCAAACAAGGTTTACTTTTCTTTACTCAAATGCTAGCTTATTTGCCACATTAAATTTGCGCGATGAAGGTCGTACATTTGTGTTTCTCGGCTTCCTTTGTTGAGAATAAAGTCCATCACATCACAACGCCAGAACCTTTTCTAGGAATTGTTCCTTTGTGTATCCGCTGAGGAGATTTTGTGCAAACTCGTTTGCAGTACTGGCTTGGAACAGTGACAGCAGCTTCGTGAGCTTCCCGTCGTCTGCCTCCTCCTGTTCGTCGCCAGCAACGTGGTCGTTCTCCGCAAAGTGGTCGAGCTTCAGCTTCTTCTTGGCTCGGCGTTCCAAAAAATCCGCTGTGCGCTTGGCCGACGACACCGCCGCGTCCGGGAACTTGGCCAGCTTCGCGACGTGCACCCCGTAACTCTGGTCCGCCACGCCCGGCTTCATCTCGTACAGGAAGGTCAGTTTCGTGTTGATCATACCAGACTGCGGCTTCGCAGCTTGCTTTGAGGATGGAGACGAGCCCGCTGACGTGGATTTTGATTTCTCTTCCTCAACCAGTGCCACGTATCCTGAGTAAAAACGTACCCACACCAGAGTCAGGATGGGGGATCTGCTAGACAAATCAGCGAGCCAGCTTTGGTTGTTTGGCATGACAAGTTTGTCCGCGTAGTGTAGTGCTGTTTGAGCTAGTTTAGCTGCAGCATTACAGATCTAGTATCTCGTGCTGATTGGAGCATGACAAATTTCAAAATCGCATTAGAGAATGCTTCTCATGGGGCTCCGCATGAGAAACATTTTAAGCATGCAGAGTTGCATGACAACTATGGTGTGGGTACGTTTTTACTCAGGATACCACGGCGTGCTTGTTCTGCACAGCGTCTCCCAGCTCGTACTGCAGTTCCCCGAGCTCGTGGAAGTGGGTGGCGAAAAGCGTGAAGCACTGCTTCTCCGCGCACAAATACCTTTTCGTATTCCGTTTTATCAAGAAGTGCGGTACCACGCAGACAAGAGCCACTGCGAAATTGAAATTATGCATGAAGACGCCGGAATAAACGAAAGCAGACCCTGTCGTATCACAACAAAAAGAAAAAGTACTTTGCAATCGCGTATGCCAGCCCATAGCCGTCCTGTGTACTTGTTCCCCGCCCTAGCTCGTCGACAATCACGAGCGACCGCTCGTCTGCGGCTTGCAGGATCGTCGAGGATTCCAGCATTTCCGCCATGAAGGTCGAAATACCCTTCAATTGCGCGTCGCTCGCGCCCACGCGGGCAAAAATGCTACTGAAAACGACCATTTCCGCGGTCTCAGCGGGCACGTACATCCCGATTTGGTTCAGCAGCACCGAGATCGCTACCTGCCGGATAAAGGTGGACTTCCCACCCATGTTGGGCCCGGTGATGCAGATGAACCGGCCCTCCTCGTAGCACATGTGGCAATCGTTTGGAACGAAAGTCGACGCGGCGGTCGACTCGTTTTCTTGGACGAGCGGGTGCGTGCACTTAGTAAGTTTCAACCTCCGTTGCTGATTCAACATAGCACTCGACGTCCCTTTCGCACTCGCTTCCTCCCCCAGTTCGTGTTCCAACACCAACCGTGGCCGCACGAATTCCGCCTGCGAGCAGGTGGCGACGAGCGCGAACGCCGCCAGCACGTCAATGGTGGCCAGGTGGTCGGAAAATTTCTCCAGTGGCGGGATAAAGGTGCTCGCGATCTTGCAGCACCGTTTCACCAGGTCCTGTTGCGCGTGCTCGTACTCCGTGTCCTTGATCTTCAGTTCCTCGTTCCATTTTGTCATTTCCGCGGTGGTGAAGAGGAACTCGGCTTTCTTCAGCGACAGGGAACTGTACCTTTCCTTCTGTTGTTGCAGTTTCGAGTGCCACTTCTTCACCACCCGCATGGCCCAAATCTTCTCCTCGCGAATCGTGTGCTCCACGCGCTGGACGGGGCCGGGCAAGCGCGAGCCGTCCGAGTCCTGCAGCGCCGCGGCCGTCGCCTTGGCTTTGGCCTTCGCTTTGGCCGACGCGTTTGCAGGGACGGACGTGTTGGTGCTGCCCGGATCGACAAATTCGCTAACCTTCAGGCAGAAGGCGTCCATCTTCGCGCAGATTTCCGCCTGCGCGGCGCGCAACGCTTTGAACTTGGGATCGAAGTTCGGGTTCACCGTGACGCGCTTCTTGATGTCGTGCGCCGTCTCCATGTCCACTGTCGTCTCGATCATCTGGATGAACTTGCTAAACTGCTGCAGCACCTTCTCAAAAGGGTTCAGAAAATGCACCCGCATCGGGCCGTCCTCATTGTCGTGGCCCTGGTAGAAGTGGTATGGGGTCGTTGGACAAGGCCGGGTCAATACTCGTAGTGAGTTATCGTTTTTACTCTAGTTCATTCTCTATGTATCCTATGCAGATGGCGTCCTAAGCTTCAGAAAGCAGAAGCGAAAGCTAGCATGATTTCGTGAAAAATGAAGAGAACAAAGACAAACCAAAGCATCATATCTAGAAAATAGAGATATTTTGCTACTGCCTGGTCAATCGTTTCCATGAAATGCAGGGCACTCTGCAGACACCTCCAGATTGCGTACAAGTCGTCCAAACTTGCCCCGTTCGCGGCGTCCGGGTTGACCGCCGTGCGGTGCAGTTTCTGGATCAAGCGGTCCAGGTCGACCACCTGCTTTAAGCTTCTCTGCACGATTTGCAGCAAATCCAGATTCTCCACCAGCGTCTCGACCAAATCGTGCCGCTTCAGGATTTCCACTTCGTCCGTCAGCGGCTGTCGCAGCCACTTGATCAGCTATCCTGAGTAAAAACGTCCCCACACCAGAGTTGTAATGCAGATTTGCAAAGACAGGAAGACTTGTAATGCGCATCCCCATGAGAGCCATTTCCAATCGTGTTTTGGAATTTGTGATGCTGTGAACAGGATGAGCAGATGAATCTGTGACGCGGCTGCACTTGCTAACCTGCACTACACTGCAGAGTGCAACTTGTCATGCGTGACTCACAAAGCTCCCAGGTTTGTGTTGCAAGATCCCCATCCTGACTCTGGTGTGGGTACGTTTTTACTCAGGATATCAGCCGCCTCGTGCCCATCGGCGTGCGACACTTGTTCAGGAAGCCGAGGTATGGATTGCAAAAATGTCTGGGTCTGGAAGATTAGAACTTGTCATGCTAAATCTGAATGATGCAAAAATCTGTGTTGCGTGAGTGCCAAAACCTGTCCGCTTTTGACCAAGTTGAGACGGAGTTTGTCATGCAGGAAAGGCATGATAGAGACCTCAAAGAATCTGTCATGCTGGGTCTCGCATTCCAGACCTCATGGGTCATGGAAAACCTGCATCACAAGTCTTGCATTCTTCCAGACCCAGACATTTTTACATTTGATACGAGGAGACTGGTCGGGGACCGCGTGTCCTTCTTGTCGGTCGGCAAGATGTGGAGGGCCGTGAAGGCGGCCTTGTCGAGTTTCAGGAACTGCTGGTGCCCGGTGTACTCTTTCAGCGAACACCGCTGGTGGAAGAGCGGGTTCAGGGAAATCGACGTGGAATTCGACATCGGGTCGCTACTACTAGAGGTGCAGCAGTTGATCAGGCCGCCAACCGCCTTCATCAGATTCTCCTGGTCAAAGAACGAGTGCTCCGCCGCCTTCAAGTAGTCGGGGTCTAAAAGCTTCTGCCGAAGTCGCTGCACGGTTTCCTTCACATTCGTAGTAAAGCCGCGCGTCGTCTCGTGGATCATCACCTGACAGTTTTACAGTTTTTTTCTAGTAATCTATCATGCAGAACTAGAAATTCAAATTTATTTTTGCCCTACCAAAACCAAGTGCAAAGCAGGATACTATCGTTTCGACTTCCATGCAGAAGACCTAGACCGGCACGAATAGAATTCGAGTGTAAGTAAGAACCACTCCCCACGACTGCGTCGTGGGGCAAGGCTGTTTTAAATTGTTGCTGGGCCAAATTTGGAATTATTGTTTGCAAGTGCTTTGTATTTGGTTACGTGAAAACAGGTAACAGGTAGTCATAGTGGACGCCGTCCGCGGCCTGGCTCTCTCACTAACCAAGCTCCGGGTAGCACTTACTTAAATGCCAACAAGAAGCAAAAAAATGAAAAAAAAAGCCGATGTATCGTCCAGGGCAGGGCATTTACCACAGGCGAAAGGAGCGCCTTTCAGATGCAGAGAGCAGCACAGGCCCAGGCCTCTGCAAGGAATGTTGTAAACGCAGGCGCCATGGGCTTTGTTGTGATGCGAGACACAAACAATAGCAGCGCCTTGTAGGCTAGCAAGAAGACAGCGCGCGCCAGCGCTTGTCGGAATGTTTGACGTTTTAGCAGACTAGCTGCAACTCTTCAGAAGCTTTTGAGTCTTCAGAAGAATCTACAGAAGATGACCTTCAGAAGGTCGAAGCTTCTGAAGAATACGGAAAAACACAAGCATAAAGCTGCCGCATTGGAGAAAGATTTGAAAAACCTTCTGAAGGTTTTCAGCCTTCTGAAGGTTGGCCAAAATCGCGACACTTCACAGCTTTTTTTTGTCGAAAAAGTAGGCAAGTCTTCTGAAGGTCAAAAAAATGCCACATTCTGAAGCTTTTCAACCTTCTGAAGAGTTGCAAAACGGTCATTTTTGGGCTTCTGAAGGTTTTTTTGCTCATTTTTCATTTTTTTCTTCTGAAGGTCAAAAAAAACCTTCTGAAGGCGTGACCTTCAGAAGAAAAAAATGCTCATGGTTAAACCGATGGCATGCTCGCTCAAAAAAAAAGGGCTTTTTTCCATTTCTTCTGAAGGTTCCAGTGATGATTTTGGACCTTCAGAAGACCTTCAGAAGAAAAAGCTTCTGAAGGTTCAGCAGCAATTTTGACAAGCCTTCTCCTTATAGTTATTAGATTATCAGAAAACACTCGAATGAGGATCCACTAATACGAGTCGCCATGAATTTATACTTCTTCATCCTCGACCCCTTGCTTCACAGCGGCAAAAATCTTGGACTTGACCGACTTCGGCAGGTTTGGGTCGCACGCGTTGATGACGAAGTCGCAGTTTACCGCGATCTGCAGCAGCACGGCTTCCAGCAACGGGAAGTTGCCACTGTCCGCGATCACGCACACTTCGATCGAGCAGGAATCGTGCCGGAACAGCGCGAGAAAAAACTGCACGGCCGTGGAGGTCTTGTCGAATTTCACGTCGATTGCGACAGAAACGCCAGCAACTACACTAGCGTCACTCTCGTTTGCTGTGTTGTTGTTCCCCGAAGCGGCAGCGGTGTCTTCCGCTTGCTCCTGCTGCTGTGCGGCATCCTCGCTGTCCGCCGGGTCGCCTTCTGGTGGTACTGCTCCGGCGGGGGCAGCAGTAGATTTCTTCTTCGCGCGGGGAGGCATTCTCGAAGCTGTAGTGGGTTCTTTCGCTACAAGGGCTGCATATTGCTCGTTTCTACTGCTCTATGTCTTTACGCAAAACGCGTACTTGCATGTAGTACTTACATCAAGAGACAGTGGTGCTTTGATGAGGAAGGTGGATACAACTGCAGCTTTCACGACTACTTAAGAGGGACTTATGTCAAGTTTTCGCAGAAAGAATCTCTTCATCAAGAACTTCAAAAATCTTCAGAGGAGCATGACTGGAAAGAAGTGCCGAAGAAAAAAAGAGCCGCTTAGGCAGCTGAGCCACTCTTCAGAAACAAAATGACACCACATGCACATCAAACAAAATGTTTTGTATTTGATCGGCACTCACAAGATAATTTTGTGGCGTAGCAATTCTGTATTGCCGCAGGAGGTAGCCCAAAAGAGAAACATGTTTAGCACTTGACGTGCACACAACAGAAGGGCCCAAATCCATTTGCATTTCGTAGCAACTAACAAGTTGTAAGCGCACAAGAACAGCGGTTGGGCGGGAATCGATGAATCAGCACCATATTTTCGATTGTACAAAACAATGAGCATCTGTTTGGCGGCAAAGCATCAGCTTCGGGGTTCGTACCCTCTAACTCGTTGGGCTACAACAACTGATGCAAGGTCAATGCCATGCGGGTGAAACGCTACTTGTTACATTCATTTTCATAAAATTCGAAAACGACGACGACGAGCAACTTTCGTTCGGAGTATACGCAGCAGGTCGTGGCCGTTGCCGCTACGCTGCACCTCCTCCTCCCTCGCACTGGGCACTGATAAAGCCGATACTGGCGTAGATCTCGACCAGAAACTGGGGGCTCAGACACTCCTCCAGGATGCCTTCTTGTTGCCGTGCCGTCGGGTGGGGCAGCACACCGAAATCTTTTGGCTTGGTCATGACTAGCGGTGTGGTCCACGACTTGGGTGTGATTTTGCAGTTGGCGAAAATTCGACAATTCTCCACGTTCCCGTGCTTTCGTGCAATGCCACTGCGTAAGTCGGTGACCCAGGCGTCCCACTGACTGAACATACTCCGCCAAAAGGGTTGTGCAGCGCTGATGTCATTCGCGGTGGAGAACCGGTGACCAAATTGTGGTATTTCCTCGTGGTCTAGTACTCCCTGCTGTGGCGCGGACAGTGCCTCGTCTCGCGTTGCATCGGGTGCACTTTCAGTAGAATCGCCATACATTCTGTTCTTGCCTCCTCGTCCCTTTTTGCCTTTCCCCTTCGAGGTCGAGCTGCTGGCCGACGACTGATTGCCGCCTTTTTTCGGTGCGTGCGTGTGCTCAAACTGGTGCAACTTTCCAAGCGCCGAAGCAATCAGGGGTATGTAACACCACGACTGTGACTTCGGGACCGATTTCCGCCATACACGCACTTTTACCGGAACAGATTCGAATCCTTCGACCGGAATCCACGGGAGCTCTTGGAGTTCCTGGAGAATGGGGTGAGGAGCCGACGAGCACGCATGTTCCGAGGGTTCTTGACTTTTCAACATTTTATGGGTGTGGGTGTTAGAAATGCGAGTGCGAGCGGAAGGAAACGTATACAATAATCAAACAAACGCAATATGATGCTGGACTAAGAAAATGCACTGGTGTCAGTGCGAGTAGATAAGATCAAGAGGCGAAGTTTAAAACTGTAACTGGTTAGTAGACAGAGCTACGAAGTAAATTGAAACAAGAAACTGTGTTGACAACTTTCTCTGGTTGCGTTGTGGGCCGACGATCTTGTCTAGTTCTATCAAAAATGTACTGTAGCTCCGGTAGGGCACGAGTTTCTTATTCTCGTTGCTTAGATCGCTTTCGCAGCTTGATCACTGTCCGTACTAATTATTTTTTTCCATCACAAAGATCGACTTTCTTTGCTGCCTCCCTTAACCCTAAACCACCAACCTCGAGGCCAAAAAATTACATGCAAAAGTACCTCAAATTCCGCGAAGAATAGGACGAGAATCAGCATGGCGACACTCACTTCTTGGACACCACGAGGCCTCTCGCAGCGCCGCAACTAACCAACTTCAAGAAATGCTTCTCTATTCTGATTCGCTTGCCGGAGCAAGTCCTCACACCGGGCACTGAAAGCGACGTTCTCAACCAGCAGCCGTCCTTGAAAACCCAGTTTTTCATAGGCCCGCACCGCCTGCTTCATGGCAGATGCCGTGCTCAACACCACAAACTCCGACTGCAGATCGGCCTGAGCGTAGCGGGCGACTTGCTCGGCTAGCAGCTGGGCGACTTTTGTGACGCGCACAGGCTGCGTGTCGTGTTCTCGTTCATTTTCCCTCGAAGCTAAACTCTGGCCCACTTCCACCACCATCCTCCCCCGGTACTCCGGCGCCACCGCCATCCGGACTAGCTCCACTGCTATGGCGTTCTCAAATGTTACATTCTCAACTGTTACATGAATTTGTGATGCAAGAATTGCAAAAGCGAAAGGGGAGAGGTTGCACTTCTAGCATTGCAAGTTTCGCACAGATTTAGGTGCTGTTTAGCCCTTCGCAAATTTGTCATGCGCAGCAGCTTCTCAGTGTGAATCTTGATGGTAGTTCTGCATGACGAATTCATGTAACAGTTGAGAATGTAACAGTTGAGAGCGCCATAACTGCACCGCGACTTGTCGAAGACCTTGCGCTGTCTGGAATCCCCAAAGGTTCTTGCCACAGCGGGACTTCGTCCCCCGGATCTCGCTTCAAATACTCCTTTCCATGCGGGCAAAATCTCCGAAGATCATCTGTGTCGCGGAACAAGCCGCCCACACAGCCGATTACTTTTTCACCTTCATGAGCAAGATCTCGTCCTCCAGGATCAATTTTTGCTGCGCTGGTCGTGCCTGTCGTCGTGCCTGCAGTGTCTTGAAGATACTCTTCTAAAGAAACCGCTACCCAGAAATTCTTGCGTTCCCCGAGAAAACTTGCAAAGGCGTTACCCATGTCTGTCGGGTCGTCGTATCGTTTTTCCACAAATTCCCGTGCCTGCTGCAATCCGTGACTAAGCATCGCTTCGGACCAAATTTGCCGTACGACCTCGTTATCCCGTTCCTGCAGCTGACGAACGAAAACACGTGGAAGAGACTTGTCTTCGTTCTCCACACTGCCATGCGAATTTGTTGTGGTCGCCTTGTCTTGCATTTTTGGTTCTCGTGTCGAGCCGCAGATTACGCTGTTAGGAAAGAAAAAGCTAGCAGCAAATTAATGACAGTCGTGCGAGATACCGGGCGGCTGTACATAAAAGAAACTCAAATACGGAGCAGGCAAACGCACCCGAAAATCATCCATAAAAAAAATTGCCACTTCACCTGTGAATGCATGGAAAGATCGTTCTTTGTCACGTAGAAAGTGTCGATGAAGAAAGAGTCGACAAGATATCAAGACTGTGCACGAACGCATCAACAACTTATGTTCATCCGAGCTGCGCCTGCGGCTCGATGCAGGGCTTTCTCGTGGTCTTTTGCAGACCAATATTTGAGCCCGTGAAATCCAAATCTCCGGCTGCATTTCCTTGCATCAGCATGCTCTGTTCAGATTCTTGTACAGGAAGTTGTAGTAAAAATTCCAATTTTGCGCGTTCAGACACAGAGCGTGAGTTGTTCGGAAGGGAATTACAAAACTTGTTGCTGGTCAGTTGGGTAAAAGCCCACAGCGAAGCCGATAATTTTACAATGCGTGAAAAAATCATGTACCCTGAGCTCGCTTCTGATGTGTCTAACACGAGTCCTCGGGCTATATTCATTTTCCTTCGAATTCCAACTGCATTTACCCCTAGTTCATTTGCGACTGCTACAATATTTTCGTTTTCTTCTAGGCCGGGGAAGCATGAGCACAACCAACAATACATAGGCCCGTGATACTCGAAACTCGATTCAATTAGTTGTATTGCCGAGGCTTGTTACAATACAGAAATGGGCGGAGTTTAAGTTTTTCATTCACCCGATGCATGTGCATTTCTTAACAAAAATTGCGCGTAGAAAAAAAAGGGCGCTGTAGTACGAATAGTGAAGCCAACACTACTATGTCAGCTCTATCGATCCTATTCATTGCAGCGACACCTGGGCCACCCGTCTGTACCGCTTAACTCCGCCACTTTGCTTCTCCCTTCACACTATCGCTTGTTCCCGCCAAAGACTGCGAGCTCGCCGCCACGGGCGCTCCGCTATCCGGAAGGATCTTTGCCGGGGGCCTTTTGCTTGCGCATAACCTTCCTTTCTCCGCGCATGTCTCGGAATGCAAGCGCCAGCGCAGGAGCACGAATAGACAGCGTGAAAAATGATAGAAGAAAAGACGACTCCGTTGCTGAAGCTCGTGTAAAAAATCCAACCTCTGAAAAAATCTAACGTATGGCTCCTGAACTTCGATTGACAATCGGACTCGCAGTCACGATGATCTTCTGCTATTTTGATACAACTTGTGTTTTTTCGTGAGATCACGAAGTGTTTTGCTACTTGAATAATTCCTAGATTCATGGCTTCGACACGGCGGAGTCTTCTTTGGACCATCGCGCGCTACATCGTGCTACTTTTTTGCGATTCTAAAAGTTAAACTGTAAATTGGAGTTTGTAATACTCGTATTTGCTATTATTGTTCTGTGGTACGTGTAAGAATTGTTACTTTTGCGATTCTAGTAGTTAAACTGTAAACTGGAGAGGAGTAATCGTAACGCTTAATCGTTGAGCAGGAACAGGACACAGACACATACACCTTGCATTACATGATGCGTGGCCAACATTCAAAATTAGCAGTCTGGTACTGGCGAATGGCTTTTTTTTCCCCATTCGGTAGCTGCGGGAAAGTCAGCGCCTGTCCTTGTTACCCATACAAGTCGCTCAGCTCCTTCCACTTATTTGGATCAATCCGCTGCCGCGGGTTATACAGACGCGGCCCCGCGCCGTCTCGTATTGTGCGGAGCTTGTTTTTCGCTAGTTCGTGCGTGCCTCGCCAGTGCTCCTTCGTTGTAATCCCATTGTAGGAAAGGTACACATGGTACCTTGTCAAGTATTGTTTTTCGAGTGTGCTACGGATTGCGGCACCGAACATCTTCTGCATGCGCATTCTTATGCATCAGCATTGTTAGAATTGAACGTAGCTTTATTCGTTTTACTGCAGCACAGACCCAGGATCATATTGATTCTTGTTCGCGACATACCCTCATCCCATAAAATCTCTTACCCGCATAGCAGCCCAACCAGGATCGCGAGCACCGCCGCTAGTATTGCGAAGAGAAACACGAGCAGAAAGAACCAGACCGGAAAATCCTTCCTGTTATTATTCCACCACTCGTTATGGCTCGCCTCGGGTTTTCCCCCGAACAACATCCAGATCATGCTCGGTATTACAAGCAAGCCCAGCATGACGATGGAGAGCAAAAATCCCATAAAATAGCGGTAGTTGCGCTGGCCGACACAATATCAAGTGTAACAATGTCTGGGTCTGGAAGATTTTTAGATTTGTCATGCATATTTTCCATGACCCATGATGTCTGTGATGCATGCCGTAGCATCACTGATTTTTAGAGCGCTTCCTCATACCTATGCCGCATGACAAATGCCATCTCCGCGGAGCACAAAGTCTCCTCCTTTTACTGGTCACGCAATACAAATCTTTTTCGAATCCAGAGACAGCATCACAAGTTTAGATTCTTCCAGACCCAGACATTTTTACATTTGATACACAATTGTTGATGAAGGGGCAGTGGTGGTCAAACCGCAGGACGCAATTGTCGCAGTTCGAGCAGTATGAAATGCAAAAATGTCTGGGTCTGGAAACTTGTAATGCTGGGCGGCGTCTCATGATGAGGCTACGAATGCTGGCTCAGCATGACAAGTTTCTGAGCTCCTAGGTGTTGCCTATTCGGCATGACAAACTGCGGCTCTGCATCACAGAAAAGCGTAGCTCTTGGGTAACGTGCATGACAGATTTAAGAGTCATGCCAGACAAGCATGACAAACATGAATTCTTCCAGACCCAGACATTTTTACACTTGATAAGCAGTGACTCGCGCGTGGCGGCTTGATGATGCGGCAGGTGCTGCACCAGGAGCACCCCTTTTTTCGCAACTCGGGAGGCACGTTGGAACGGACGATGTTTCCGTCACCGTTGAGCAAGTCGTAGCCGAGCACCTCGGTGAGCTTCTCACGGAGGCCTGACAGATATTGTCGCTGTTACTTAGCCCTCATGTCGTGCCGGTGGAAAGGCGCGAAACATGACAACCAGGAAAATCATCTGCGCACTATCTTCTCATCCATTATGCACTTTTCATACGGAAATGGGTGTACGTACTTACAGGTCAAGCATGTTTTATCATACCGTCGCACGCCAGAATCACCTCCCTCCGTGGTATTATGCCCGGATCTGAGCAGCTGGCAAGTGACAGACACATTATCGCTGAGGCCCCACACGTCACTGCCATTACCGCAACTACTTTTGCAAAATCCTCGCTCGCCTCCTAGTATTCATGTGCGAAACTCATCTGTGTGCCAGAAGATCTGTTCTGACTATGAGAAGAAATGAGAGCTGGATGACAACCCTAAGCGGATGAATGGATCATGCAAAGAGTCACCTGCAAAAGTTCGAGCGACAACAGAGATGAGATTCACCGCGATACTAGTTCGAGAAATGTGAAGAGGCAGAAGAAGGTGAGCGGAAGAACCAGCGACATCCAGGCACAGATATGCGCACTCGAAAATGTCTTGATCTGCGAGATTTTGCGTTGGTTTGGTAGTCACTGGCGGTGCTGCGCTTAGGAGCACTGCCCATACTATGAATGAGAATGGGAATGCGCTCTGCATCCTCCTACATGATTGTGCAATCAAGGAGCGCGAAAACGAAGCATCACATTCTTACCGGATCCGGCTCGTCCCTAGCATTTATCCACGCCTCGGGGTTACATATCGTGCAACATGGGAAGCAAAGCGACAGAAGGTCACAGCACGCCTCCACAAAGGAAAATGTCTCCGTTTCTTTTGCCTGGAACAAAATTGTGTGGTTTTCATGAACCTAGCAGCAAGCACGATTGTTCCTACCATACACTCTTCACGGCAGGTAATTCAAATGATCAAGAAGAATCTCGAGAACCAAAATCCCGATAGTAGCCGTACCGTCATGCAGTGCCCGCGGCAGAAAAACTTGTTTTGCGCCGGCCAAACTTCGTGGAGCATCACGGTATCGTCTTCTGGCTCGGGTTCTGGCGGTTTGTTACTGGGCGCGCTGCCTCCTATTTCCTCTAACCCAGCACCTGGAGGCTGGAGCGCCACTGGCTCGCTGGACGACAGCGCTTTCTCAGTGTCGCCGTCCCCGGGGTTGACCCGCTTGGATTCAAGCTCAATGTCTTCGAGTTCGACCACGATCTGGTGTTTCGAGATCACAATCGCAGAACAAGTTCATTGCATTTGCAGTTATGGTACGAACAACAATATTCTCTCCACAATGTCAGTCTAGAACATAAGTGTGCAAGAAGAAGCAAACAAACCTGGTCCGCAGGCCTCGCAGGAGCGACTGTGTCTGGTGGTATGAGGCCCCCAACAGGGACACCAGTGACAGCGGGCGTAGTTTCATCCTGCTTCGGAGCGTCCCCCGTAGCCGCTGGGGTCTGGCCGATCATCATGGTCATCGGCCGCCACAAGAACCCAAAGCTGCTTCCCCCTGCTCACCTTCAGCGACCTGCTGCGAAGAAGTGGCTGAAGCACCACCAATAACCGTGCCACCGTCCTGGTACCGAGTAGTACCCGCGGCCTCGCAACGCTTCCCTCGGTTTAAGACGCAGCTGGCCCGACCTCCGGGAGACCCACGTCGCAGTCACACGTAATGCAGCCCTCTGCAACTCTTTTCTTGTGACGGAACTGCCACCCGTTGCAGCGGAAGCAACGCTCAAGCTGCCGGACAGAGAGCGTCGATCCCGTTTTTGACGGGGTGTGCCTGAAGCACGAGCCAGGCTCCAAGTATTGCCACCAGTGTACGTCTCGTCGCACCCACAGGAAATCGTGCAACGCGTGTTCGCGACTAGACCCAGAAGCGTTGTGTCATTTTCTGGCCCTGCTCACGTGCCTCGCCGCGACTGAAGTCTGTTGCGAGTTTTGCGGCTAAGAGCCCAACCGAAAGAAGAGGACATGCTGGTAACGCTTACGCTTCGCAGACTACTATACAAAGAAATCAATTCTTCGGCTCTTGCGGGGGGTTTGGTTTCTGTTTACAGCGGGAAGCTACCTTGCCGAACCAACGGCCCTACGTCGCACTTTGAAGATGATCAGTAGATACTTTCCAGATAATCCAACGAAATGAAAACCGAGACTTCGACATCTTAGGGAAGCAAGCATGCACATCGGAGAGCGGTCTCTCGGTACCAGGCAACAGATAGCGTGACCTTCAAACGAAGGAAATGGACACAAAAAAGATCAACGACAGATAGAGGCTGCACCAGCACGCACGATTCGTTCCTGCGCATCTTTTTCTTCAACAGACACAGAACTATACGCCCCCTCGCACGATAAGATTTGTCATTGTCTGCCAGGAAAGTGCGTGAGATAAATTTTCTATCGCGAAATGTTCGACGCAACTTGCAAGTCGCGATTCCACAGAGGAGAGCGCAACGCGGTGCAAGCCAGGTGCCAAGTTGTTCTTGTAGCGTAGTTGTATAACGGAAAGACTGAGGAAAAGCAGTCTAGCCGGAAAGTTACTACGCAGATCTGTGGATACCACCCGTTGTGAGCAGCGAGCTGTTGGTGGTCGTTCTTCGTGTTTTTTCGCAATGCATGTAGACGCTTAGGAGGAACAGTTAACGTGTCAGACTGAGGCCATCGGTGAACCGTCGCGCAACAAGGGCAACGCCGCTTTGGGAAACTCAGAATCAGGCCGAGCAATACTTTGTATCTCACTTCTTCGTTTCCTTTTGCTTGTTCAGAAAACACAAAATAGTCGTACACCAGTGACAGAGTGTTTATCGCCTCACCTCGTCGCGGACGGGGGATACATATTCAAAAATCCAATACGAGTTCCTCACTTCGTGCTGAGCGCATCGCACCGCTGCCCAAATTGCACATGAGCTACACTTCTCCTCACCATTGAAATAGGGGACTGACACTTGTTCGTAGGCTCCGCGCATCTGCAGAAGCAACACACCTTAGCTTGCAGGTATCGCTGTGCCGTTGTGATGGCACTGGAAGTAGTGCCTGGGCTCGCAAAATAAATCCGACGTGGAGGTGCACGTACGAGAAGAATGAGACAGGGGTCAGTCTGCAACCGATTCTCGGTAATCACTAGTGCACGTCGTTGGTCGTGAAGAAGAGGGTTTGCGACGCCCACAAATTGTGGCCCGCATCCCGCTCCGTCCCTTGATCGAACAGGCGAGTGCCGCGCGGAGGTCTTGTCGTATGCACCGCTCTACGCCAGGGTGTACTTTGCGCGGGGACACGTAATCGTATCACAAGCACGGCTTCATCCGCACGCCGCCGTCGGAATATGGCCATCTTTGAATAAAATAAGGGGTCAAAGCCCGAGTAAGTATGTCTGCACGGAAAGTACAAGTACTTTTCTTAGCCTTATCAAAACTCGAAAAAACTGTAGTACCCCCAGCTCCTCGCTCGGAGCTGAAGGGGTGGATCCGAAGTATCTGGTTCTTTGTCCGCGCTCAGAAGCCTCGGTAACAAGGAAAAGCGGGCCTCGGCAAGAGTCTTCATCAAGATGTGAATCCTTCCTGCAGCGAAGAGCCTACAAAGAGTTGTCATCATCGCGGTAAGAACCAGAAGGATCTGACCGTAGCACATTCTGGCCCTGTATGTGGTTTGGTGTAAAAGTGAAAATGGAAGATTGATGGAAATGGAAACACAGTGGTGAGGCAGCAAAAAATATGAACGGACAAATTTCGGATCCAAGCCAACTTCAACATAATTTGCCTACGATCGATTCCCAATTTTACTAGATCAAAATCCAATTTCACCTTCTGCGCTATCCGGACCAAACATTTTGTCACTTCGGCTTTTTTTGATAGCTTCTTCTTGAACTTGAACTTCCTCGTGGATCGGCTCCTTGCAGATTGTCAGTGTCGCAGATCTCGACGGTGGGCTTACGTTCTATTGGAAAGACTAATGTCGGGGCGTGCATAATCTGATTGTCTGGATCTTGTTTGTCCTTTTCCTTTTCTCCTGCGCATAATCAAAAGCTATAGAAATAACGGGTTTTTTCGTCAGAGATCTTGGTGGTTAGAAGTGTGTTCTCAGCCATTGCCGAAGGCAGTGTCAGAAGTAGCAAGTATTCTGTTTACTCATCACGGAAATGCGGAATGCGCATTCGAATGCGCTTTCTGGAGCACATGGCAAAGGCGAAGAGAATGCAACTACTATCAGAGATCTTGGTGGTTGAAGGTTGTTCTCACACAAGCTTTGAAACTGGTCAGAAGTAGCAAGTATTCAAGTTACTCATCACAAAAATGCATTTAGTAATTTTGGAAGTGCGTGAGCGTGAGTGCAACTACTATCAGTGATCTTGGTGGTTGAAGGTTGTTCTCACACAAGCTTTGAAACTTGTCAGAAGTAGCAAGTATTCAAGTTACTCATCATGAAAATGCATTTTGGAAGTGCGTTTCTCATTCCAGCTGCCGCACTTGCATGATCAGGAGCTCCAATTTCATGTTTTGATCTTTGTGGTAATTACACACAAGAGGTAGAATTGTTTCAGGGAAAGTGTCGGATATTTTGTTCGTCACGATTTGTGAACAAGTTTAGCAGCAGCTACAGAACAATACCCAACCTGAAAAGCTCAAATGATCGAAACGCCTTGCGGCGATCAATGACATAAGCGCTAATCGAGCTGGGAAGACTTCTGCAATGCCACAAACTTGACATCGGATCTGAAGGTGTCATCATTTTTACGTGCAGTAGCACCGGTCCCGTTTGTGTTTCAGTCGGTGATCTATCAATATGGGAGCTTGAGCACCCAGTCGTGATCATGCTGTATGCACACTGAGTCACTCATGATGTCGTGTCAGAGTTTGTAATCTTGAAATGTTTTTGGGTTGTCCACAGATTCACTCCGAGGAGCGAATTCGGGCCACTGCCTTCGAAAAGCATCTCATCAGGGTTGTAGGAATGGCTGAAGCGAGCCGCACATTCAAAACAATTCAAGGTCTTGGTCTATCTTTCTGACCCTCACAGAATTTGAATGTGTGTCACAACGCAACGAACCTTTCACAAAATTTGGCGGATCGAAGAAGCTTCATGGTAGTCAGTACTGACAACCAAGCAGATCGTTGGCATTGGTTAGTGCTCTTGCATCTTAGCGGATAACATGCGCAATCATAGTCTGAACCTCCGTGCGAACAATCGAATTCTCAAGAACACATTGCCCCTTTCTGACGAGCCGCGAAAAAAATCAACGCCGCAGCTCCTATTAAGTCATCTGCGAGACCAACAAGCCTTGCTGGCACCATTTGATGGAGAAAGCCGCATCATAACTTAGTCGTTCCCTACTATAGGAAGCTCAAGCTTCTGGCACGGAGAACCAGTTTCACTTTCATTGTAATCCCTACATACTTCATGTTTACCCCTACTACATGTGAGAGAGACACTTTCGATATATGGAAATCCAGAAATACTGCTTGATGATCTAGTCGTAGTCTTTCGTTTGCCGTTCTCATACTGCTGGTTCGCCCGCTGGTCTGGGAGGAGGGCCTGAAGATATTTCTTCTTCCATGACCTCCGTTCGACACGTTGGACAGTGTGAGTGCTCGTTTAACCAGGTCTGCGCACACGCGAGATGCAGCATGTGCTTACACCTCGGCAGTCTGATCACGGCATTTGCGTCGTCGAGTTTCCGCTGTTCTTCGGCTGAAGTCGCTGTAGTTGGATGTATCACACCAGAAACCTCCATCTTGCCCATGCAGATGACGCAAAGGTCATCTTCCACCCCGTCCGGGAAGTCCGCAGCTGTCACCCTCCACTTCTGCAACACTCCCACGGGCACACGTTTGGCGCACGCTTTGATCGCCCGCTCCCAGTCCTGAAAGACGGCAGCCGTCCGATGGAACTCGTTACTGAAACAGTCCATGTGTTGCTGGGCCTTCTGCTGGTACTGAACGGTGATTCCGAGCTTCTCTTTGTCTGGGAGGGGGGTCACCACAGAGCACCGCATCAGGTCGGAATCGGCACCCGCGTGCGTGTACGCGTCGCTCAAGTCATACCCGCGGGCGCGGCCTCTCTTCTGCGCAGGAGTGAGGGAAGGGGGCTTTCTCTTGAGTTTGGTTCCATTGAAGTCTCGCTGTTGCATTTCTTGTTTTCCAGTCAGATCGATAGTGTTGTCCTCTGCGTCAGCTTTGCGAACCTCAGCGGTGTCGGGCTTCCTCGGTGTTGAAGATGCCAGTGCGGGGATGCTGGGAGTACTGTGCGAAGCAGAGCTACTAGTTGTCTCGGGAGTAGAGGCTACGTCGAGTTCTTGCTTTTTTATTTCCGCAGCGGCAGAAGGCGAGCTCGTGCCGGGAGTTGTACCGAATTGAGATGCTAGAAGCGGTGCACCATGGCTCTTGCGACCGAGTAACCCTTCTCGTATAGCGGTGTAAAGACCTGCAACTACCACTGGAACAGTGTCCATCCAGCCGGCGTAAACGCCAACAACATCAATTATCCTGAAGAAAAACGTCCCCACCCTATACTTGTCATGCAGATTTGCAGTTACAGGAAGATTTGTAATGCGCAACCCCATGAGAGCCATTTCCAATCGTGTTTTGAACTTTGTGATGCTGTAAGCAGGATATGTAGATGGACTTGTCTTGCGGCTGTACTTGCCAAACTGCACTACACTACAGAGAGGAACTTGTCATGCGTGGCTCCCAAAACCTCAAGGTTTGTGTTGCAAAATCCCCATCTTGACGTATGGGGTGGGGACGTTTTTACGCAGGATATCAATGCCGGTCGCGCTAAGAACATGTGTGTTCGCCCATGTCGCAGTCCCACGAATCCGCTTTTCCAAAATGCTCAGTCGGTACTGAACCGACATCGGCAGGATGCTCAAGATCCACTGTCGGAGCCTCTCGCCGGCAGCGGTAAGTGAGTGGCCTTGCTGCGCGACGTCCTTTGTTGTGTCCGCGTTTCGATCAGCAGATGGTTCGTCAGCATTCTCTAGTCTTCCGCTTTGTTGCAGAAGAGCTGCACCTCTTGTCTGCCCAGCGCTCGAAGACGACGAGCTGCTATGGATCTGCCCTTCTTCATCTCCCGTAGGTGTTGAAAATCTTCGGGACGTTATTGCAGCGTCGGAAGCGCTTTGGTTGTCTCTTTCCAGCTCCTTTATGGACGATTCTATTTGTTTCACCCCCGTGTTCTCGAGGTCATCGGACAATGGACCAGAGTCGGTGTCCGCAAGAAGAGCGTTATTTTCGGTCTCGTCTTCAGCAGAACTATCGGAGTCTTCGACCACAACTTCCTCGTCTGAAAGCTCTATCAGACCCGTCCTGTTCGTTGCAGTGACTATGCCACGAGTTCTGTCCTCCGCCTTTCGCAGCAATCTTTTCAAGTCCGAAGGTAGCAGCCACTGCGGCTTGTTTTTAGACTCCGCGGCTGCGAAGTATGGCACGAAGTCCAAGGTCCGACGTTCGAAAAGCTCCGCGAGCGGTAAGGTTTCAATGCGCTTCTTGTTTTGCGAACTGTCTTGCCGTTGGACCGACCGACACAGCTCTCTTCGAGGGTGCACAGGAGGCCCGTACACCACCCCGCCCTCGGGGGTAAGCTTGTAGCCATCCGCACATTGTTGGCCGAGGAGGGGCACGCAGGACTCGGCGACGATTCGCCAGTGGTGCTGGGGAGTTTCTGTAGCTTGAGGCGCTCCTTCCGTGTTCTTGCTCTCAGCGCTGTGGTCTGAATCGGTGGAAACCAGGGACTCCATGTTTTTTTGCACCAAATCCACCTTGCTCTTGATGGCCCGAAAGACGCTATTCTTGGCGGCGTCCCACCGCAGGTGGCCATCGTGCTTCAAAATGGCAAACGACTTTTCCACGGGCTGCGGCTGGTAGGTATCTTCCGGGTCCGTCTGCCAGCAGACCGTGCGGCCTTCGCGCGCACCGTGGAGGACCTCGAGCAAGCCCATCTGCCGCCGCTCCGCGGAATTGCTTTGATGCATGGTGATGTCAAACAGGTTCAGCTTTGCCTCCTCGTTGTCGAACTGCAGCTTCGAAAGCTGACTCATCTCCTGGCAGAACTCGCACTGCAGGGCCCGAACCTGCTGGATGGCCAGCGCATGGACGAGGCCTGGTTTTTTGATTTTTTCTTGGTATATTGATTTTTGCTCTATTTCATGATCCTGTTCACGAAATATCACTGGTCACTCGGCGTACGATTGTGCGCAGACATACAAACTCAAACGTCAAATTATCAATTTGCAATTGGGACATGAACAACATTCATTGTCAAAAAAGCTTCTGCTTGTGACATTCACCTGACGGTGGAAAGCATGTATTAAGTAATTTGAAAAGCTGTACCCCAAGGGACAAGGCGCTTCAAGTTATGGGGAAACTCCGGACAGACAGAATGGAAATTGGTTATTCCCACGGGTTCGCAGTAAACGGAACTGTCCAGCCTGTGCTGGAACGTTGCGACGGCCGCTTCCATGCGGCTCCCGGTACCATCCGCTTTCGTGTAAACGATTTGCATGTTCGAGAAGCCGACCGCAACGTCGTCTCTGAGCGTCCCGCGGAGGCTGTGTGGGATCACGGCTTTCGCGAGAAAATGCAGGTTGTCCCGTTCGATCGACTCCCGTTCAGCCGGCAGCAAGGAAGTCTGCAAGACCTTGCGAAGATCTTCGCGTGGCGCGCCGGCCTGCTTCCGGGTGGTGCCCTGCATTTTCCAGCAATCTTGCCAGAAGTAGTGGAGGTGCGCGAGCAGGTAGGATGGTGGACCGACAGTATTTTTGTCACCCCCATTTTCTTCATGTTTGCGCGCCGACTCTGCGAGCCCGGGCAGGTCGCCGAGACACGGCGGCCCCTGTTGCAACACAGTGCGCCCGTCTTCCCCATCATACATCAGGTACGGGACGTCTTCTAGAGCGGGGCTCTGCGCTGCGTTCTTCAAGATCGTCTTCACGATTGCGCCGTCTTGCAAAGCGGTATCCGCCACGCCCGCGTGCCCGCGCATCCAGGTGTCGAGAATTTTCGTCACGACCCGGTTTCGGAGCACCAACAGCGGCCGGCCCGGAGTGGGGAGCGGCTCGCAGAAAAAGTAAGATTTGGTGTTCTCGCTGCGCTCCCACAGTAGGGAATCAAAGTTGTTGCTCTGCAGCTGCCGCACGTCCCCCTCGATCCGGCCCGTGTTCAGATCGAGGTAGCCGAAGCAGTAGGTCTCCCGGTCGTGGTACACAACCTTGATTTTGTTGCCCTGGTTTCGAACAGTTGTTGCGCCGCCGTTGATAATAGTTCGAGCAGCTTCAATGAAGCTGTTGAAGCTGCTCGAACTATTCTCAACCAAATCTTTGCTAGAAGCTGTTGTGTTCAGTTCAGCGGATGACGAGGCCGAAGTAGAAGAAGACCCTGCTTCAGGAAGTTGTGTGGCAGGATCATGGCTTGCGGTTTTATTTTCACCTCCGGCACCAGGACTGTTTGCTTGATTCTTCTTTTTCTTCTTCTCCTCGTGTTCTTCGTTGTTTTCGAAAATTTCGAGTAACTTTCTCGGAATGTTTTCCTTGCCGACGTACACCCGGACAAACTGGCAATCGTTCTCGTCGGCGTGGATCGCGTAGAAATTTCCCCGTTCGTGACTAGTGTAGAACGGAAAATCCTGTACGCTGAAGAAGTAGTCGTGCGCATGCCGCATCGCCTGCTGCTGACCGTACTGATATCAAATGTAAAAGTGTTTGGGTCTGGAAGATTGCGAGATTTGTCATGCTTGTCTGGCATGACAGAAAGGTTTGTGATGCGTGTCCAAGAAGAGACCCTTTTTCCTGTCATGCAAAAACGCAGTTTCTCATGCGAAAAACGCAACACAAAGAAGCAAAAATTACTTCTCATGCTTGGCTGTGCATTGCAGAGCATTCACTATTCCCAACACAGCATTACAAGTTTCCAGACCCAGAGATTTTTGCATTTGATAACTGACCGGGCATGTGGATTTCGCCGCGCCACTGCCGACCCGGAACCAGCCAGTCCGCGGCCGTATTGGAAAGCGTGCTTGGCTATCCTGTGCACAAGTATCGTACTCGTATTGCGATCATGCATTACAAATTTTTTTCTGAAAGCAAATCCGCATTACAAATTTCATTTCTCATGCTGAGGAAATAATTTGAAATGCATTTATACGAATACGATACTTTTGCATTTCATATTGGCTGCATTGTGGTTGCTCCGTTAGTAGTAGCGCCTGTGGGATTTTCATCTGCGTCTCGTCCCGCTGGATTGTCGATGCCGTTCTGCAACAAATGTAGTAACTCGGCATCTTGCCCCCGCATGGACTGGAATCTGCTTTTTTGCGGGGCGCTTGATGCACCGCAACCCAAAAATTTTCTCAGCGCACCGCCATCAACTTTATCGAAATCTAGAAGGTGCTGCTGGTATACCTTTCGGTTCCTTTCAGTATGGCGTGGGTGTTTTTCTTCGATCGCGTCCTCGCATGCCTTCAGTTCTCGTTTTAGCATTTGTTTCAAAAGGATTTTTCTTTCCGGTCCGACGCTTTTGCATTCGGCTAGCAACTGACTGAAGATTCTTTTCTTTTCCTCGTGCGAAAAGGCGTCGGCGGCTCCCTGGTCGAGTTCCTCCATTTTTGTCAGAAACAGGCGTCGGTCGATCGTTTCTATATTCCACACGTTCACGAAATACAGGAACCGATTCCTCATCCTTTCTCGCAGCAACGCCTGTAGGCCCACCTCGTTCATGGTGTGTTGATGAGATGAAGCTCCAGCTGGTTCTTGCTGGGCAGGCCCGTTCTTCACCACGGTATCCGGAGGTTGCGAAGATGATGTTGAGCTCGAGCCATGAGGTTCTGCACTGACCTCCGGAAAAGGAAGCTGCGCTTTCAGGAGCTCCTGCTGCACCGTAATAAATTCGTGCAGGAGCAATTCCATCCTCAGTTCGAACTTCTTTTTTTCGGGGAGCTTCTCGTATGAAATATTAGAAGACGCAGGTTCAGTGGGGGAAGCTGGTGCACAACTTCCGCCCATGTACATGTCGCTGTTGAGCTTGTGCCTGGCGAGTAAACTGCTTTGGCTTTCGGATAGTGAAATTGAAAAATTATCTCCAGGACGAGCACCAGCGCCCTCTGCGCTTCTGTACTTCGCGGCAAACCTCTGCCGACTCTCACACCCGGCGAAGACGTCAAACAGCACCTGCAGCAGAATGCCACCGTCCACCGTCGGCAGCACGCAATCCAGCGCCGAAAAGCCGCCCTCGAGGGTGTCGGCTAAATTCGTGAACATGGTTTCGGGATACTCCTTGTTCGCGGCAGTTGATGATGATGACGATGAAATAAATGTACTATGCGAGAACGATGAATTCCTCTCGTCCACAAGACGCAGCTTCCGGCGCTCCCGCGCAGCCTTTTCCAGCCGCAGCTGGAGGGACTCTGCGTACACGAATTGAAAGTCCGCGTCCGTATCAAATGCAAAAATGTCTGGGTCTGGAAGAAATCAGGCATTTCTCATGCATTTTCTACATCCACAAAAAGGTCTGCAATGCACACCCAGCATGACAAACTCTGTGGAGGCTTCTCCATGCCTATTCCGCATGACAAATGCCCTCTTCTGGAGACAAAATTCGAGTGCCTTTTGCTGACTACGCAATACAGATTTTTGCCTGTTCCAGAATCCGCATCACAAGTTCGCATCCTTCCAGACCCAGACATTTTTGCATTTGATAGTCCGGGATGAAGTGCGACGGCTGGCCGAAGTCGGTGCCCCGGACGAAGCAGGCCCGCTGCTGGTTGGTCGCCGCCATCTGCTATCAAATGTAAAAGTGTCTGGGTCTGGAAGAATGCCAGACTTGTCATGCAGGTTTTCCGTGACCCATGAGGTCTGGTATGTAGGATATAGCATGACAGATTCTCTGAGAGTTCTATCATGCCTATCCTGCATGAGAAACTGCCTCCCAAATTGGTCGAAAGTGGACGGCTTTTGGCACTCATGCAACACAGATTTTTGCATCGTTCGGAATTAGCATGACAAGTTGCAATCTTCCAGACCCAGACATTTTTGCAATCCATATCTGCTCCCAGACCACGCCCATGGTTGGCCCGACCACGTGGTCATCGGTTTCCACGGTTTTGAAGTGGTACTGCCGGCTGGTCTGGTGGTTGGGGATCCAACTCCGGATCAGCTCGCGCCGGTGGTTCTCGTCGGTGGCAAACGTGGGGTTGTCGTAGGCCGCGACCACGCGGCGCGCCAGGTCCTCGAACACCTTCTCCGTGCCATCTTCGGTCACGTAACCATAAAGAATCTCCCGCTCGTTCGTCAACGGAACCCGCTTGAGGATAATCAGATCGGGGGTTCCTTCGAAAGAACGCCGCGGCGCGGGTGTAGTCTGCTGGCTTGAGGTAGACGTTACTCGGCTGTTTGGCAGCTCCTGGTCGTGTCCCGGCACCTCGTCAGCGGAGGGTGGGGCTGGGCGATCTGAATTATCCATGGAAGTCGACATCTTTCCGGAAAAATAAACTGGGGTAGATCAGCAGGTATAGGGAGATTTATTACTTAGACTCATTACGTATACGTTACGTCGTAGGAGCACCAGGGGAGCTACTCTGCTTGGGAGCTACTCTGCTTGTGATCCTTCTTGTTCTTGGTCATACTCGTGCTTATTTTTTTCTGCGCTGAAAAAAACGTGGTTGAAGGATATCCGGTTTGTTATTGCGTCGTGTGGAAGTTGGGGAATACTCAGAGGAGTCACGACTAGGAGAATTTCCGATAAAGTGTGGCGTTGAAGGCGAAGCGCAGGGTTAAAGTAAAAACTCTTTCTGAACGGTATCCGGAAAAACGAAAATCAAAATGAGCGAAAGGGTAAAAAATGGAAAGAATTGGGGTGAGTAAAAAAGGGTCGGACAAAAAAATCTAAAATAGGACCTGATCATCATTCTTTCAGCACAAAAAAATGTTCTACTGTGTCAGAAACGGTGGCTCGCATGAAAAAGTGAACTTGCATCGAAGTACAACCTGTACAAGTGATGCGGTACTACTGTCCGTCCGCGTTTATGATTTTTTGTCCGCTCAAGCTCAACAAAACACAAAGATTGCCTGCCCGATCTAAGTAAGTGGTCTTGGCATTTTCATCCTGTCAACACATAGCTGAGCTCGCAACAGAAAGGCAACCAGAACCACTACTGCTGTTGTCGTAATATTTCCTCCGGTTTATACATAGAGATGGACGACGAGGATCTCTAGTGATCCTATTTCCCTTTTCCGTCGGATCGATAGTATTAACAGTTAGTGAACGGGAGAAACAGTAAGCTACAAGAATGACTAAAACACGACTAAACACCGTCGACGAGGGCATCCCGTGGACTTTATCGTATGAGTCCTCTGAGTTCTATCGATCGTCTTTGTCCTTAGGTTTACTTTGTTCATCGTGTGGATGCGAAAGCGTCATGTTTTTGTTGTTCTCAATTGCAAGTGTACAAGCTCGTTCTCGATTACCGGTGTCGATTCAACAGTCCTATTGCTCTGCCTGTGCTTTCCTTTATTTCCACTGGACGGAACGCCTGCGGTTGTATTCTGTAGTTTGACCGTCGCGTTCAGAATTCGGATCTGTACCTCTTCTGGCGAAAGGTTCCAGCATTGCATGCGCCCTTCTATCTCTACGGCTGTTCTGGTGGCCGAAGAGGAGGAAGACGAGGCAGCATCGTGCGTAGTTGACGCAGTTGCAACGCTGCCGCCAGGGGTCATCGGCGTACCACCAGCGTGTAACGCTTTTTCAGCATGCTTCTCTCCAATATCAACGACTCGCGCTGCTTGTGGTCCGGTGAGTTTTCCTTCGGTTAACAAGTCGGCAACTGTCAGGCGCAGGCTTCGCATCACTTTGAGCTCTGCGCAGTCACGCTTGGGGTGGGTTAAAGTGGACGCGGTTGTCATGTTTGTGGGTGATAGTTATTGCTATACCATACATAGATATGGACTACACGTACACTATGTACCGATTGGATTTGAATTTCATACACCAAACAATAAAAAACATTTCACAACAACATGTCATGTGATGTTTCTTCTAATCTGGCACTGTACCATCCCGAAAGCATTGTAAAAACATCAAAAAAGTGCGCGTTTGCGTGACTGTTGTAAAAGATGGGCCTCTGGAGGTCATACCATCGGGATTAACGATTTTTGTTTGGTGATTTTTTCTTGCATATTGCATTGATTGGTTGCTTCACAAAAAAATGTTGGTCAAAAAAATTTTTACTGATACTTTCCGAAAGAAAACTACTTGTTGGAGCGTTATAATTGCGCTTTCCATCTCTCCAAAAGCCGATCTCATGTTGAACTCCAACACTACTTACTTCTACTTGATGAATACACTACAAAAAACAAGGACGCCATACCGGGCGTCGGCGTTCAATAGTTGTGATGAGTTTCATATTGTAGTGATCACTGGTTGATCATGCGGTGGATCTCTCAGATCTAGATGAAACCTGTTGCACGTTGGATCTGGTTGAAACGTGCGCAGGTTGAGATCCCTGTAGGAAAGCGAGGCCGCTTGCGTTGAAAATAAGTCTGCCACTGCGCTTCATCTCCACTTCATATTCATAAATTTCTATTAGGAATCGGACTAGCACCACAAACAAGTATTTGAAGCTGAGCGTTACTAGTGTATTTCCAAGTAGCAGTGACGCCAGGTCAGCGCGCAGCAACAAGTGAGTCTTCTCTGTTGTAGTGCCGCCTGCAGAACAGCAGAGGAAGCACAAAACTACACGGACTCTTTGATTTCATCCGCGAGGCGAAGTGATGAAAGTTTCGCGATCGCGGCTCAACATGGCATTGCAGCCGTTGCTTGGAAACTATGAACGAATTTCATCTTCGTGTTGACTCGGCAAGAGATCACATCAATTGCAGCGCAACACGAAGAACCTCATGTTTGGATCAAAGGTCCTCACGATCTTGCTCTCGCGCGTCTTGTACATCAGGCATCGAGTCAAGATCGGCTTCACGTTCCTCGTCTATTGTTGGGTAGGACTCTAGCATAGCAGTCCAGTTAAACGCGGACTCAGCCGTACTTGAAGGGACAACATGTTGATCTTCATCAATATCCACTGGAGCAGGCTTGCACTTTTCCCAGATGCTTTCGTCCGTGTAGCCCTGCTTTTTGTGCACAAACAGCCCGGCATCCTGGAACATGTCGTGGAAACAGAACTGCTTGTTGCCGAACAAAATCGTTCCGGCGGCGAACAGCAGCTGGTCCGCCCACCGGTGCTCGAAGATCTTTTCCCGCGCCTCCTTTGCGAATCTGCGGTAGATCGGGCTGGAGAAGAGCCGCACGTCCCCCACCGTCCACTGCCCGCCCGCCGCCGCCACGCCGTGCCCCATCCGGATGTTCGTGCGGCTGTTTTTGCCGCTTTTCTGCGCGGTCTCGGACACCGGTTCCGGCTCGCCAAACTGGTTTGTCATGCCGGGGGGCAAAGGATACCGCCGGCTGAAATCCTCCACGTACTCCTGGAACTCGTCGAAACGGCATCAAAGAGAAAAACAGTTTCTACGACCTCCTCTGGCACGGGATTCATCTTTGTTTTCTTCGTGTTGCGTTCGTGCAGGTGGAGCAGGAGCAAACGGAAATCTTCAGCGGCCAGAAACGCACGCGAAAGAGCCAGAGGACAAAAACACTTGACTTCGCGTGACCTCTTTCAAAAATATACAGTGCTACATTAACATTACCCGTGCACGGAAGCATGACAAACCTCCCTGAAAGAGAAATGTAGAAAAACACGTCTCGGTCTCGATCGGATAAACAACCCGGTGCTTCGATAGACAGGCGGTGGTAAGCAAATGCGCAGTTATTTGTGTATGCTCTGGAAAGCTGCCGACACCACTGCTAAGTTCTTGGGATCATGCGTGAGTAAACCAATTACATCTACATCATTGAAGGACTAATGCAGAAGGATACCGAATGAATCACCAATTTTCTATACTTACATCTGCGTCACAAAATAAATTCCTGGCGATATAAGTCGTGCTGGCTCTTTCCTGCGTTAGCTCGTGTAGCATCTTGACGGCATCGAATTCCGGCGTGTTGATGAAGAAAAAGTCGGAATCCAAGCGCATGAAGAACTCGTACTTGTCTGCGGGGAGGTAATCGAACATGTGGTCGGTGAAGATCCGCGTCGCGCGCATCCAATTCACGTCCCAACAGCGGGGCGCCCAGGCGGGGCATCGGCATCCATACTTCCCGTTCACGCCGTCACCCTCCAGCATCGAAGAGAAAAATCCCCCCTCCCCATATCAGAAGGAAGCTTCTGATGCTGGATTTGCGTACACAAATCAGGTCTGTCTTGCAGTAGAGGACAGCAGGCATATGTCAAGCCTCAGTCGAGAGGTTTGGACGCAGGCGCCTAGCATAGCAAACATGTATGCTCTAAGCCCAGCAGCATCACAAACCGCCTGCAAAATGCGGGGCGCTCTCTGGATTTGCCTTCTTGCAAGACAGGCAGGATTTGAGGTCACAAATGCGCATCACATCGGAGGTCTATGGGCTGTTCGTCCCGTGTGGCGTCATGCCCTACTAAAACCAATAAAAGACTCATCATCATCATACCCTCGCGATTCAGTGCACTTCTGATGGTGCACGAGAGAAAAGCAAGTCGCACCAACGCACTTCTGGTGGTGCGTGCAGGTACTACGCCACCGCAGCCCAGTGGCTAATGGCTCATGTTTTACATCTTTATACTCTCCCGCGGTGGTAGCAGCCACCAAGAGTCCACGCAAAGTGAAAGACTTACGCGCAGTAGAATTAAGTACGGCGCGAATCGCCGAGCACTCCGCAGCAAGAGCACTGTCTAGAGATACGCTATCCCCGAGCGGGCGAGGCTTACGGTGTACGTTTAGCGGATCAGTGCCTTGAGTCAGGTGATACTAGACCTAAGGGGGAAGCAGCCCCAAAAGCCATGGAGTTCTTGAAATGCGTGCACTGTCATCATCCGCCGCAGACGACACACCGCCCCCGGTTACGTAAACCAATAAAGTTAAGTCATTATGCCCTTAGACCCTCGATGTCATGCAAAGACGAACCCCGACGGAAAAAGGCGGAAGAAGAAAGAAGAGGATGCTGGACGAAGACGGAAGTAAGACGGAGAAGTGGAGCTGCGAGACCCGAAGCTTCACTATTTTCCCCGCCTGGCTTGTCACACTGCGGTCGTATCCCATCGGCGATTTCCCCCGACGCCGATACTGTCGTATCCCCCCAAACAAACCCGCTGGCAAGGCGGAAAAAAAAACAGCTGCCCCTGCGAGGAAGCGGGTTCCGCGAACTAGCGCTAGTACAAGGATGAAACAAATAAGAAGACAAAACTACACGGCAGAGAGGAAGTAAAAGGGTAGCGACCTACATCTACGTGGGCATGAGGGGAAGGCAGGGAAGATCGGACTTTTCGGAATGAGGAGCGTACGAATTTGCGATCTAGCTCCATACGAGGAAACAGGTACTAACGAAGGAAGTGCAGTAGCAACGAAGCGCAGGCAACCATAAAAATCATCACACATTTTCACGAAAGGCAAAGACATACTTGGTAGCATGTCATACAAAACATACACAGCAGCAGCAAGTAAATCGGATTCACGTTGCTGTGCAAAGACTATACTTTCCGTCACAACGAAACCCAACCCCTCAGCCGCGAAGCCGAAGGGCCGGGGGCGTAAAACCTCATGAATGAGCCGGGGTGCGAAATGTGAATGCTAAGCTCATTCAAGATTCATTCACTCACTCACGACCCTCGCACCTCAATGCACTTCTAATGGTGCATGCAGAAACGCGATTGGTACCTCGTTGCACTTCTGATGGTGCATGCAGGCACGGCGTCACAGCGACCCAGTGGCCAATGACTTATGTTTAGTAAGATTATACTCCCCGACGGTGGAAGCAGCCACCAGGAGCCCACGCAAAATGAAAGATTTACGCATGGTAGGTTTTTAACTAGACTCGAACGCCGAGTGCAACCGCAGGTGGTGCACTGTCTAGAGATAACTATCCCCCGAGCGGGCAGGGTCGCGGCAAGGCGTTTAGCAAATCAGCGCCAATGAGTCAGGTGATACTAGACCAACCGGGAAGCAGCCCGGTAGCCATGTATTTGTAGGAATGTGCACGCTGTCATCATCTGCCGCAGACGACAAGCCGCCCCTGGTTACGTAAACCGATAAAATTCTATTTCTAATTATTTCTAATAGCCCCATTGTAAAACTAATCTCCGATGTGCATGCAATAATTTTTTGGCTTTCCCGTGGCGGTCAGCAAGCATGTGGAGGGGAAGACTGCATGTCCGTGTCGCGCATGTGAAGCAGAGCTTCATAAACGGGATGGGGAAAAGCATCAGCGACGGAAGGGGGGAGGGAATGCCGAAGACGGAGTACAAGTGTTTGGTCATCCGAAGAGAAACCCAAGACGGAGAAGTGCACAGGCAGAAACCGATGTTCTTTGCAGGTGGAAAATCTTTGCACCGCTCGAAAGTCCATTTGTCCCCCCTGACCCGCAACGACAGTCGTAGTTCTCGTACTTCTACGTCCTGGCTTCCACACCCGAGCAGCTGTGTCGCCGTCTCGCGGGAGGGTGTCATCCGTGCTGGTCCGGGGAGACCAGGCAACACAAATATCCTGGCGTCGTGGCTTCTTTATGTGCTTTTCCGCAAGAGGTCGGCGCCGCATGCATATGATCAAGCAAAACTAGGCTTGCGTGCCCGCATGACATTGGTGGTCTACGGGCAGGAAGTCCCGATGGCACAACGGCCAATGAGCTTACAAATATCATGCTTTCACGCTTAAAAATACTGACAAGATGACGAGCATATTGCCAATCAGACATGAGAATGAAATCTTATTGCCTTGCTATCGCCAAAGAAGAGGAGCACAGCATAAGGCAGCAAACGCATCATCATGTAGTAGTTGCATACGAAGTTCTTTTTTCGAATTGTGACGAATAAAAATATTTAAAAAATACAGAAACACGTTGCAAGTCAGACGCGAGAGCGAGTTCTTACTTCTTGCTAGCGTCAACGAAAAAAGAGCACTACCGACGATCAACAAAAACGCGTCATCATGTGACCGCTTGCATACGACGTTCCACGTACGAAGTGCGGCGACATATTATGCGTCCCGCATGACAAATCCATCTGGACCCGGAGTGCATGTAGCAGAGCACGCAGATTCACGACATACAAATCGCATTACACGTGATGCGATGAGGAATCTGTACTCGCACGCCCGGAATGGAAGAAATGTGAATGCAGGACAGCATCAGTGTGCACTAGTTTGACCGAAGCGGAACAGCATCTGGAAACCACGCCGCCAAGGGATAGTGCTGCACTGGTCAACGCCGTGCAGAAGGTATTTCGGTTTCGGTTTGTAGTTGTTTCTAGAGTGCTCCGCTCGTAGTCTTGGTGTATCTTGTGGAAGCTAGTTGGAGAAGTAGAACTGCACCACAAGCCCGCTCGATGTGGTACGCATATCGGCCGTGCTCCTCGTAATGCTTCAACTGCTGCGCCTGCTTTTGCGAAAAGTGCAGCTTCATCTTGTTTCTGTTTCAAGATAGATTTATGGAAGTGAAAAACAAGCACACATAGAAGCGCGATGGGTATGGACCGTTAGCATGCATCAGAAGCATGACAGCTTCCATGTCGGGGCCAAAGTGACTGCATCAAGTAATTTTGTGCGACATGGCAACTATCATGGTGTTCTCGACGAGCAGAAAGGCATGCTGCTAATCAAAAAATAATACATTCACTCACTACCCTCGTGATTCGATGCACTTCTGATGGCACATGTGGAAACACGATTGGCACCTCGTCGCACTTCTGGTGGTGCATGCAGGCACGGCGTCACAGCGACCCAGTAAAAAAGACAGAAAAAAGAAACAAACTTACGGGGCATAGCAAGATAGGCTTAACTTAAAATTAGATTAGAATTAGTATAGCATGGAGAGGAGGGAGCAGGGAATAGGCTGACAGAGACGTAGTACTACGAACGATACGACTACGAAAACGAACCTAAGGAAACAGCGGCAAAGCAAGGACTACCGCCACACGGGGTCCTTCCAAGACCGAGTCCGGATTACCAGACCAGTGGTAATATCAAACGCCGGGTAGTCGCTGGAAGGTGCTCACACAGGACAGGCCGTGGTCCACAAGAAACGCGCCGTGGGTGCATGCTCACCGTTTCAAGTCAACCTGTCCTGTCGTCCGCTGGGCCAACTGCAAGAATAAAAAGAAAACAACCGCGCAAGGACCCAGTGGGGTAAATGCTGCCGTTGTCGCCAGGCCTGTGGCGATATAAAACTGCCTAGAGCCGATTGCTTGCGTGTACTGCTTTTTGCTATTTTTTTAGCTTCTTCACAAATTTTCAGCCGGATATCACAAATTTTCAGCCGGATACGTTTTCAATATGGGGAGGGGGGATTTTTCTTTACGATATCCAGCACCTGGTCATCGGGGAGCTGGACGAACTGCATCTTTCGCTGAATCCGAACCGGCGCGTTGTCGCTCAGCCAGCGCAGCTCGATCGGGAGGTCGAGCTCCGACTGATCCCGGTTCCTGGTATGAAATTTCTAGGAAAAGACTCACTTCAGCGTCCGTTCGCGCATTATATGTTCTGTCGTCGTGAAGATCTTCCCTGTGCGATCTCCACCACCTGATGGAGTTCGAGCTGCTGACGCTTGTGAAGCTTTCTGTGTAAAAAATTATGCTATATATTGAGCACGCTCATGCATCGACGAACCATGCAGGCCCAGGCGTCTTGCTCCAGTCGCACGCAGCTTTGTTCTACGTGTCTTGGCGGGGTGCAGCAGCGAACCATGCGAGATTCAACCGAGGGCCGCCCGGCTATTGCTACTTATCGCTCTGGTGAAAACTGTACTTGCTCAAGGTTTCAATGTGATGCAGCCTGTTCGTGCGGAAGTGATCTGGTCTCATTATCTTATCGCTTTCCTACCTTTTGAAGCCGTGATACAGGACGAGGATGTCGTAACTATCTGGAAACTTCAAGTGCTTGTCAGCACAGTGGAGCGCGAGAAGCAAGTCCTTCAGTATGATCGGTCCGTTGTTATTCAAATTCAGCACCACATAGACAATCGCAGCCTTCAGCTGCAGCCCCGCCTTCCGGTCCTCCAGAACCTGGCAATTCTGGCACTGCTCGACGGTGATTCTGGGTAGGTTTTTGGCTTCCTTCTCTTCCAGAGTCTTGTCCAAATAATACTCAAGCGTTTCCTTCGCGGTGGTGTCACCATGGTATTCGATCTGGAAGCTTTCTTTGCTCTTCGCCTTTCTGTTCGGTATGTCTTCCGTACTCATTCCTGAGGCGGGCGACGAGGGGTCTAAAACCACGGGGGTGCCAAGGTGTCCCGAGCGTATATTGTTCGGCAGATGTCCCTCGTCCCCACTGCTCGCGTCTACGTCCTCCTCCGCAAAGCTTATGGTTGGCTTTTTGCCGTAGAGCTCCTCCCGTTCGCGACCCGCCTTCTCGTAGGTGTGCGATATCGAAGCCAAAGAAATGGCGGAACGAGCTGCGAAAAAAGGGCGGGCACTTTGTACATCAAGGCGCTTGCGCTTTGCGATGCCTCCCCCGTCCGCCTCGCGCTGATCGGGCGCGCCCGCTCCGGCGAGGAGCCAGCTGCTTCGCCGGGAAGCAAGTTGTTTGCTTCCTCGGGGGGGGGCACTGTTCCTGCTGGCACGCGCAAATTCTGCGCGACACAAGCGATCCGCTCGGGCGCAAAAGACGGACGGCCCCGCCCCAAGCGGAGCCAAGGAAGCCCCCAAAGGCGCGGCGCGCGCACCACACACGCGGATCGGTTTGCGCTGTCGGGGGGCGGGAGGGTTTGGCGGGGCCGGCCAACAGAAGTCGCCAGATGGCGTCGCCAATGTGGCCCCTTGTCTCCCTGGCAGCACGCCGCGGGCCGAAAAAAATAAAGCCGAGGCGGGGAGGCGACACAACCAAGAACGCGAGCCGGCCAAAATAAGCGGGACCGCCTCCGGCATCCGGATGGCTCGCAACCACGACGGTGCACGTCGTCCGGATGGCTCCAACACGGGCCCGCCGAAAAAAACCCGAGGCGTGGAGGCGAAACAACCAAGGACGCGAGCCGGCCAAAACGGGACCGCCTCCGGCATCCGGATGGCTCGCAACCACGAAGGTGCGCGCCGTCCGGGTGGCTCCAACACGGGCCGAAGAAAAGCGGAGGCGGGGAGGCGAAGCAGCCAAGAACGCGAGCCGGCCAAAACGGGACCGCTTGCGGCGTCCGGATGGCCAGCAACCAGGAAGGCGCACTTCGTCCGGATGGCTCCAACGAACACGGGCCGAAAAAAAGCCGAGGCGGGGAGACGAAACAACCAAAAACGCGAGCCGGCCAAAACGGGACCGCTTCCGGCATCCGGGTAGCTCGCAACCACGAGGGCGCACGTCGTTCGGACGGCTCCAAGACGGGCCGAAAAAAAGCCGAGGCGGGGAGGCGAAACAACCAAGAACGCGAGCCGGCCAAAACGGGACCGCTTCCGGCGTCCGGATGGCTCGCAACCACGAAGGTGAGCGTCGTCCGGATGGCTCCAACACGGGCCGAAAAAAAGCCGAGGCGGGGAGGCGAAACAACCAAGAACGCGAGCCGGCCAAAACGGGACCGCTTCCGGCGTCCGGATGGCTCGCAGCCACGAAGGCGAGCTCACCCGGAGCCGCGCCCTGCGGGGCTTTTGCTAAAAAACGCCTAAAAATTTTACGGGCCGCGCCAAAAGCCGGGACCCAAGCAGCCGGATCATCACATGGCGAGAGCGGCCACAAAGTTGGCCACATGGCGCGCCTACCCGCCCGGGGGTCGGCATCGAAGCAGAACGACGGCCGCTTTCCGGCAAAGGCCAAGCGGGCAGGCACGCCCGCCCCGGACAAAGAGGCGGGCGCGGCACCGGACACAATTAGCGAAATCCGCGGCCGCCTTGAAGGGGGAAAAGGCAACACGCCCTGCGTGCCCAGGGCCAGGGCGGTGTTCCGGGGCGTGGTCCACGCGAACGCGCCATCCTTCGCCCGGGCCTCGTGATGTTAAGAGTCGGGGAAAAATAAGACGGCGCCAAGGAGCCGGGCCGCGGGTCCTTGAGGCCGCCTATTCCGCCCACTATCGGCGGGCTTATTTTCACGGCCCGAAAGTTGGCGGGCGCCTTTTTTGCGATTTCGTGTGCGATTTCAGTGCGCAAAAAAATAAGAGAAAAAATAAAAAAAAAAATAAGACCCCCCGGCCCGTGGCCGCGCGCGCAATAGTTGGGGAAATAAGAGAAAAAGTAAGAGTTATTTTAGGCGAAAAAAATAAAAGAAAAAAATAAGACTTAAAAGTAAGACACAAAAGTAAGAACAAAAAATAAGACCAAAAAATAAGACCAAAAAGTAAGACCGAAAAGTAAGACCAAAAAGTAAGACCAAAAAGCAAGACACAAAAACGGGCCAAGAAAATAAGAGCTTGGACGCGGCCGCTAATTAGAGCGCAGCAAAGGTCTCGCGCACAAGGGTGACACCCCGCCAGCTTTCTCCCAATTCCGGAAGTGCGCCAGGTGGGCGGCCGCAATGCAACAGAGACTCACGAAGAATAAAACGGGGCGAAGCCAGAAGCGAAAGCCTGTGCCGGAAAGGGCGAAGGCCATAATTTTTTTAGGCTTTAAATAGGGCCGCCGCCGCAAGGCGCGGCGCCGGGTGAGCGAGCGTCGTCCGGATGGCTCCAACACGGGCCGAAAAAAAGCCGAGGCGGGGAGACGAAACAACCAAGAACGCGAGCCGGCCAAAACGGGACCGCTTCCGGCGTCCGGATGGCTCGCAACCACGAAGGTGAGCGTCGTCCGGATGGCTCCAACACGGGCCGAAAAAAAGCCGAGGCGGGGAGGCGAAACAACCAAGAACGCGAGCCGGCCAAAACGGGACCGCTTCCGGCGTCCGGATGGCTCGCAACCACGAAGGTGAGCGTCGTCCGGATGGCTCCAACACGGGCCGAAAAAAAGCCGAGGCGGGGAGGCGAAACAACCAAGAACGCGAGCCGGCCAAAACGGGACCGCTTCCGGCGTCCGGATGGCTCGCAACCACGAAGGTGAGCGTCGTCCGGATGGCTCCAACACGGGCCGAAAAAAAGCCGAGGCGGGGAGGCGAAACAACCAAGAACGCGAGCCGGCCAAAACGGGACCGCTTCCGGCGTCCGGATGGCTCGCAACCACGAAGGTGAGCGTCGTCCGGATGGCTCCAACACGGGCCGAAAAAAAGCCGAGGCGGGGAGGCGAAACAACCAAGAACGCGAGCCGGCCAAAACGGGACCGCTTCCGGCGTCCGGATGGCTCGCAACCACGAAGGTGAGCGTCGTCCGGATGGCTCCAACACGGGCCGAAAAAAAGCCGAGGCGGGGAGGCGAAACAACCAAGAACGCGAGCCGGCCAAAACGGGACCGCTTCCGGCGTCCGGATGGCTCGCAACCACGAAGGTGAGCGTCGTCCGGATGGCTCCAACACGGGCCGAAAAAAAGCCGAGGCGGGGAGGCGAAACAACCAAGAACGCGAGCCGGCCAAAACGGGACCGCTTCCGGCGTCCGGATGGCTCGCAACCACGAAGGTGAGCGTCGTCCGGATGGCTCCAACACGGGCCGAAAAAAAGCCGAGGCGGGGAGGCGAAACAACCAAGAACGCGAGCCGGCCAAAACGGGACCGCTTCCGGCGTCCGGATGGCTCGCAACCACGAAGGTGAGCGTCGTCCGGATGGCTCCAACACGGGCCGAAAAAAAGCCGAGGCGGGGAGGCGAAGCAACCAAGAACGCGAGCCGGCCAAAACGGGACCGCTTCCGGCGTCCGGATGGCTCGCAACCACGAAGGTGAGCGTCGTCCGGATGGCTCCAGCAGGGGCCGAAAAAAAGCCGAGGCGGGGAGGCGAAACAACCAAGAACGCGAGCCGGCCAAAACGGGACCGCTTCCGGCGTCCGGATGGCTCGCAACCACGAAGGTGGGCGTCGTCCGGATGGCTCCAACACGGGCCGAAAAAAAGCAGAGGCGGGGAGACGCAACAACCTGCCAAGAACGCGAGCCGGCCAAAACGGTACCGCTTTCGGCGTCCGGATGGCTCGCAGCCACGAAGGTGGGCGTCGTCCGGATGGCTCCAACACGGGCCGAAAAAAAGCCGAGGCGGGGAAGACGAAGCAAACAAGAACGCGAGCCGGCCAAAACCAACGGGGCCACTTCCGGCATCCGGATGGCTCGCAAGCGCGAAGGTGCACGTCGTCCGGATGGCTCCAACACGGGCCGACAAAAAACCGAGGCGGGGAGACGAAGCAGCCAAGAACGCGAGCCGGCCAAAACCAACGGGGCCGCTTCCGGCATCCGGATGGCTCGCAACCACGAAGGTGCGCGTCGTCCGGATGGCTCCAACACGGGCCGGAAAAAAGGCGAGGCGGGGAGACGAAGCAACCAAGAACGCGGGCCGGCCAAAACGGGACCGGTTCCGGCATCCGGATGGCTAGCAACCAAGAGGGTGCACGTCGTCCGGATGGCTCCAACGCACAGACACGGGCCGAAAAAAAGCCGAGGCGGGGAGGCGAAACAACCAAGAACGCGAACCGGCCAAAACGGGACCGCTTCCGGCATCCGGATGGCTCACAACCACAAAGGTGCCCGTCGTCCGGATGGCTCCAGCACGGGCCGAAAAAAAGCCGAGGCGGGGAGACGAAGCAACCAAGAACGCGAGCCGGCCAAAACGGGACCGCTTCCGGCATCCGGATGGCTCGCAACCACCAAGGTGCACGTCGTCCGGATGGCTCCAGCACCCACGGGCCGAAAAAAAGCCGGGGCGGGGAGACGAAACAACCAAGAACGCGAGCCGGCCAAAACGGGACCGCTTCCGGCATCCGGATGGCTCGCAACCACGAAGGTGCACGTCGTCCGGATGGCTTCAGCACGGGCCGAAAAAAAGTCGGGCCGGGGGTATTCTACGAGCAATAGCTGCGCGCCACGCGCGCAGGAAAATAGGCTTGGGCCGGGGCCGGGCCCACGGCCGAAGGCAGGAAGATAAGCCCAAGCGCTGGCCGCGACAAAACTGGCCAAAGGAGACGAGCCACCCATCGCGGCGCCACCTATGCCAAAAACGGGCGGGGCCAAGAGTGGGTGGCAGCCGGGCGGAGGGGCAAGCCAGCGCGAGAAGGTGCTGGCCTGCCAGCTTGTCCGAGGTGCGCAGGGCGCCGCTACCTTTGTTTCGTCGAAGCTGCGCGGCGGGGAGATTGGTGGGCCCGCCAATGGGCTCGAGATCAATGCAGATCGGACGAAAGAAGGCTGGGCCCATTTTAAAGGGGCAGAGCGCGGGCCGAGCGGGCCTCGCCCATAATCGAAGGGCTTGGGGCAAGCCACGGCGAGCCAGCTTCTGGTCGGGGCGGGCAGCGGAAAGCACGCGAACAAATTTCCTATAACCCAAGCAAAGCCAAACCTCGCGACAAGTAACTGCATTGGGTCCACATGCCTGGTTTCACTGAAAAAACACACCTTGCTCCGCATACCGATTCTGCTTATGTGTCTTCCGTCGACTCCAGCAGCGTAGAAACGGGATCGTAAACAATCCATCAGGAAAAGGACGCTAGTGTCTCCGGACAGGATTAGCTCTTTCCCGCTTGGAAAATACGGCTGCAGTCGGGTATCCACAGCATCCAGAGCCGCCGCGACATCCTCAGAAAGGAGTAAAAGCATCTCCCGCACGAGCCAGTCAATCTGGCTACACTCCGATGGGGAAAGCTTGTGCAGCATTTCGAAAACTTTTCGCGGCAAACGGTCCGAAACGTCGCACTTGACCCAAGTGGTGCTGTACTGAAGAAGTTTCTTGCAGTGCTCGGTGGGTTTGCTCGCTGTCGTATTTGTCAAGGACCTATCACGGGGCGGATCTTCCGGTTGGACGCTTCCAGTGGTTGCAGCAGCGGGGACGGAAGGAGGCGCGCCACTGTTCAATGTGCTCCTCCTGTCCACCGCCTCCGACGTGATCTGCTCTGTGCCTGAGTGATAGAAACGTAGCAGTAAATTGATATCATCATGCCAGTTGGCGAGGCTGTGCTTTGTTTTCGGTAATGTTTGGTGTCCTCAAACGGAATGACAGAGGGTGGTTCAACTTGCAGTATAGAACAAATCGAAGAACAAACAGTAGCACACGGAGACAGCTACTGTTCTCCTAAAGTGTTCCTGCGCCAGGCGCGGAAATACTAGCAATACTTTCTTAGGCGGCAACATCACTTAGTACAAAGGAACCTAAGCCGCACCGCTATTTTCAGCTGCTGCGTGCCTTCTCCCGACCTTTATTTGCGCTGTTGTCACCTGCTCGTGCTCTTCAACCCCCCGCGCGGCTGCAATGCGAGATGGTCGCTGCACCGTTCTCGCCTGCGTGTCTGCAGCATGCAGGTCATCATACGCATACCCGCCGGGTTCGGGTGCAAAGGTGTGCAGGGCCTTTCGAAACGGACCTGTTTCCCGAGGGAGGTCGAACGGATCAGGATCTCGATTTGGTTTGGTCGATGCCGTGTTTTCTGTGCCGTCTGTCGCGTTCGCGATCCAGGACGGCGGTAGTTGAAGTAGTACGCTGCTTACAAGAAGCATCGCCAAAACGCGTGCACGCGCTCCAAAAATCTCGCTCGTGGAGGCCGGGTGTCGCCTTCGTGAAGCGAGTGTGAGGAGAACACCTCGTCTCATAGCGCACATTTTTCTTGATCGTATGATGCAAAAATCTCGCTTCGTACCGTTTTCGTATCCGCAAATCGGTGCACATGCTTTTTCAAGGCAATCAAACTAATATTTGCCTTTGAGTTTGAGGTTCAGAATCACCAATCATCAACATCATCTTGCCAGCATTGGGGGGAACTGCGAGGGGATTGGGGAAGTTGTTCGCACTGAGCCTCTGCACAAGGCTATTGCACAAGCGAAAAAACGCGCACCAAAAAGGACCACGAACGGACAAGAACTGAACGTGCTAGTGGGATCGATTGCGACGAGGAAAAAGAGAGGCATCAAAAGATCAGAACCATCGCTCCTAGTAACAACCTGTGATCCAAAACAGAATCGAAAACAAGATCTTGCAAGAAAGTGAACGCGCCACTTTTTGTCGCACTGAAATTGAAAAGAACAGGCCACAGAAAGAGAAAGCTCATGATCCGCATTGTAATATCTACCAAAAATCCAACGTTGACTTTGGTGTTGCGTTTGTGTCGTTTTCAGTTTCACCAGCTAGTAAGTGAAGCACAATTCGACGCGGGTAAGAAGTTTGAACTTTTCGTCACAAGCATGCATCCTGTGACGGTTTCGGTTTCGTTATCGTTTTGGTTTTTCTCTGTAGGCATACTAGTTGTCAATCTCTCGGAAACACAAACAGAAACAGAAACAAAAACTGAAACTTAGATAGGCTACAAGATCGATCTACATCTTCTACGTTGAAAAGAAAGCCAAAGCCGGAAATCAAATTATGAAAATCAAAATGTTAAATGTTCTTTTTTCGGCAACCTGAACCTCTCCTTTAAAGTTAAACCAAGCCCAGCAGTTGTGCCACGTTTCGCTGCTGTAGGTAGTCTTTACGACTTCCTTTCAGAGGCTGCGTTTTCTCCTCCGGATTTAGCCTGTCTGTCTTCATTCCGTCGCGCTGATCCGCTTGACGACCAGCGCTGCTTCCGCGCAAAGCAGGACTTCTCCTCGAGATCCCCTTCAGACCCGCGTACGTACGGAAAATGGGATGACTGTACACTGTTTCTCGCTCACTGCTATTCATTTCCAACGTCATGCTTCCACGGCGGTCAGTGTTAGGAATGTGATCCCTCTCCGTGTCCTCTTCGCCGTTGTGAACAACATGAGGGGTACTTTGGCCGTCGGGATTGTTCCGCCGATCTTCTACGAACGAGGAAGCTGCTTGCCCCGCACTTTCCGCGGCTGCTTTGCTTACCTTGCATGTCATTCCCTCCGGCAGCACAATCTGGATGTCGAATCTTGGCTGCAGCGGTAAACGATCGACTTTCCTCACGTCGACCGGTACAAGTTGATGCTCCGCCTCCTCTATGGAGTGCAAAAGTAACATGGCAAGGCACTCGTAGCATTAAATTGCAGATCACGAATTCCCTCAGTGTGAAAAACGCAGGCTGAGACGCTAGATCAGGCATAGTAGAGGGGTCTTTCGCGCATAGCTGCAAATGCAATTACAAGCACCACTCCGCTAGTTGTACTACTTTTGCACAGGATATTGTCCTCGTCGGGGTCGACGTTTTCAAAAATGTCAAAGGTCAAAAAACTTGCTACGTCCACGTTTTTTGTCGGAGGTGGAACGGGGAAATAAAACGGGTTTTTGGTTGTAGCAGTACTTTTTTCGGTCTCACTTCCCTCTCCTTCGGATAGAAAGGAACTCGTCGTGGTTGTTCCCGGCTCCGGTCGAGACACACTATCTGGATCCGCTCCAGCGGAGAATATCTCGACCGTAACGATGTCCTTCTTCCCAAACCTTTCCTCGCTGAAATGCTGCGTGGTTCCAGTGTCGCTACTGAGCTTTCGAAGTTTCACCATCATTTGCGTCCCGTAATTTAGAAGCGCTTCCGTCTCGCCGAAGACCGCGGATTGCCGGTAAAGCCCGTGCCCGGCCGCCGGCGGCAGCGGTGCGGTCGGCTGGTCCTTTTCGGAGGGGGGCTGGTCGTTCTCTACTGTCGTGTCCCCAACCTCCGAAGCTCTTCCATTTTTGCAGGGCCGATGCGAGTTGCAACTGACCATCCGCTCCAGAATGGTGGGACACGCCTTGCCACCGTTTTTCGCCGCGGTGAGGATCCGCCGACGCTGCTTCACCTGCCCCCCGGGTCTGCACTTCGCGCTGCACTGCTCGTGGACCACTTCCTTGCTGAGTTCCACCTCGGCCGGCTTCGGTTTAAACAGGTGGGCGTTCAGCGATTTGAAAGCTTCAAATTCCCTTTCGTACATGTTCCGGTCGTTGAAGAACAACTCCTCGCTCTCCGGGTTCATGACGCATCGGCCGGACGTGCGCGAGGCTCCTTCCCCCCAGTCGCACGTGGATCCGCTTCCGTCCCACAGGAAGGTACACAGTTTTTCGCCGGAAGAGGTGTCGCGCGCTGTTTTACACTCGGAGTCGGACGACCTCATGTCACAGCAGGGTGCCAGTTTCTCGTAGCAGATTTTCTTGTGCATCTCCTTCCAGGGTATGGATTTTCCAGGATTGGCTTTGTTCTGAGCCGTGAAAGTGTGGTATCGTTCGACGTCTTCCAGAACTACCCTCGACGTCTTCCAGATCTCGGTGTCCGAGGCATCCCTAAGGTCCATCCACTCAGGAAACCAGTTTGGGGTGACCGCGGATCCAACAGGCTTCAATACGCATACCCCTATCGGGCCTATTGTATGCACATACACGCTACACCTTTTCACGAGCTCGCACATAATCCGGCACCCTCGCGAGGCCTTGTTCCGATCCAGGAAAGCAAAGCGATCCCCAGTAAACGTTTCACCTTTAGCAGGATCGTCCTCTGGAAGATCCTGGACCAGCAAGATGTTTTTGAAAACTGTGTTCGCGAGCTCCTTGCGCATTCGTGCATCTTCTGTTCGGGGGAGCGTCAGAGTCTTATCGTTTTCATCCCGCAACCGCTCGAGTAAAGCCTCGGGAGACAGCTCCTCTGTTACGCCAGCCACGAGCTGCGGCGCACCGAGATCATCATGTCCAAAGGTGTATCCCCAAGAAGGATAAAATGTCGGAAAGTCGGTCATTTCCTCTACCGAGCAGCGCTTCCGGAAGATCATCCTTTCCCCCGTTTCATCCGTGGACGCGGAGGTGGAGAGAAACCGTTGCTGCGCCGGCTCCACGTCGCCGCTCGCCAGCACGTTGTACTCGTTATGCAAGAACGGCGTCCAGCGAAGCAGCTGGGCCTGCTTGTTCATCTCCAACCTGCCTTCTGAGAATCTTTTCGATCTCTCGGGGTCGTCAAGAATCTCGGCAGTGGCTCCGCCGTTTTTGCGATACGGTTCGAACTCGAAAAAAAGCCTCGTTTTATCCACGATCGCACAGTGTCCGCTCGTAAACCGGCGGTGATTCCGGCGGTAAAAGACGGGAAATGTGCCGTCGAGCGCGTTACTATCCGTGAGCGGGATCGGGGAGAGGGAAAAGTAGTTGTTGGGGCCAGTGGTAACATTTTCCTCCGCGTTCATTTCCTGGACCATTTTCAACTTCGAAAAGAGCCGACATTCCTGGCGGTGGTCGAGTTTGTCGCGGATTCTTGCGGATCCGACTGTGATTTCTTCCCCCGAGTCCAGCGCGTGCCCGACCGGCACCGACCAATACGTGTAGGCGTCGCAGTGCAACAGATCCTGTTCGCACCGCTTCTTGCAATTTGCAAAGGTAAGCGGTTCATTTTTGTATAGAGCTCGCCGCGGTTCATTTTTGTATTCGGGCGCTTGGTCCGTCAAAATCAGGTAAGTCCCCAGCTTGTTGCTGAGCACAGTGCTGCGCTCGATCGTGCAAGCCTTCTCGTACTGTTCCGGGTTATCGCGGATAAACGCGGGAAGGACGCGCGTGAACGCCGAATTCACGAGCTCGGTGCTTATCGGTCCTCCACCGGCCATCTGCTGGGAGTCTCCCGCCGGTGTTTCTTGGCGCGCTGCCCCGTCGGGCGACGTCGGTTTTGCCTGCAAAGGCGGGATGCGCGTCGACCATTCGGTGACTTCACAGTCAACTTTGGCCTTGCAATACTTTTCGGAGAAGATATCCCGGAAGGAACGAGGACGCACATCTTCGTGCGGCTCACTTTTCAACATCTCCGCTTCCGTCATAAACAGCTGGGCTAATTCCTCTGCCCCGGTCTTGATGGGCGAGATGCCATGATCAGGCTCAGTCTTTTCCTCGTCTTCTAACACCTCACACAGTCGGCGAACGCAAATCGCGGCTGTTTTTGAAGAGGGGGCCTTATCAGTCGGCGCCCGCGCTGCGCCTGCGTCGAGGCCGACGTCCACTCCTGCTGCAGACGGATCATCGGCTTTGATCCCTTCGGTCCCATCGATGCCGTAGAGCACACAGGAGGTGGAAGGCGGCGATGCTTTTGGGTGCCGCTTTGAACATTCTGAAAACCTCCTGCAGGAACACCACCTGCTTCATCAACATCTCCAACTTGCATACTGTACATGACGCAGCGGCTTATCATGTCACAAATCATCTCGCACTTCCACTCGGCACCCGGCCCGTAATTTTTTTCGTCAAACCAAGGAAGGAGAGAAAACTTCACCTCCTTTTCAAAAAATGCGGACCTCGCGCTCGCGGTCCTGCTTGCTCCGGACGGAAGGGACAACTCCCGGCCAAGTTTGTTCACGTACTCCACCGCCTGGGCACACGGGGAAACCATGGCTGGGTCAACAGCATCTGCATCTTCGATATTGATTCGGTTCTCATCGAAGTTCTCGATTTTGCACAAAACACCCCCAGACCCAGCGGGCTGCCAGGGTATTTCGCTTTTCCAGTTTCGAGACCAGGCGTCCCATGATGATGCGGGTTGGTTATCAACTACATCTTCCTGACTAGAAGTTCTTGTCGTGCCACTCTCTTTATTGTTCCGCTGCCCATAGCCTGGGGTCCAGCAGTAGGGCTTGCTTGCAGTGTACAGGACAGCCGAGATCTTCGTCCCATAATTCTCCACCCTTTGATCGACATCTCCGCCCTGCGACGACGAGCCCAGAAGTTTATCATCTCCGGGCGAAGTATCGAGAAGGGCTGTCAGAAGCAGGTCGGCATCGGCCTCTTCGATCTCGAATTTGTCAAATTTCGGCTGGAAGATGCCCCGCGCCCGCCTTTGGCTCACTCCACCCCGCCTGTAGTGGTCCGCTTCGGTCGTTCCAGCGGGGGCGTACACTTCGTCCACCATCGGGATTTTGTCGCTCACGAACAGCCGCTCGCAGTGCCAGTCCGAGGAAGCGTCCCTCCGCCACAGCCGCCACTCCGCAGGGTTCGGCACAAGCACGAATCTCTCGCTCCCACTAGACGGGCGCGTGGTTACATCCTTGTTCGACAGCAAGTTTCGCTCCAACGGGTGACTCGGCGGCCGCGTAAGACCAAGTTGCTCCTGCAGCTGCGTTACCGTTTTCAAAACCCGTGCTGGTGCTTCGTACGCTTCCCCGGTTGAAGTTCGATTAGTACCACCTATTTGACCACCGCCACCTATTTGACCGTCGGGGTACTCTTGGGATACATCCCGAGAGGGGTACATCCCGAATTCCTTGTCGTCTATGATGCTTGTTCCTTCTGGCACGATCAGAGCGGCAGTGTTGTGGCTGCTGGTATGCAGACCAAGGTATTCTAACTCTTGCACCAGATCGGTCATCGTCGCACGGTCACCGCTCCCGTCAATATGTTCGTATCCACTGCGAATGTGTCGGGAAGAAATCCAACCTGTTTTGCGTGCTTCTAGTACTTGACTTTACGTGTACAGAACAAAAATCTGTAAATGCATAACCTCGACGAAAAGCTACTGTGCATATTCGTCTCTTTTTCTGTACGACTTGCGAACGTCTCGTTATGCGGAATACGGACGTAGGCAACATCGAGAATTCTTCGCAAAACGTCTGATGCTTCTACAGAAATTCGCATTTCAGCTCGTGCGCGTAATTCCGATTTCCGAAAGCTGCATGATACAATGCTGCACATATTTTTTCCTCCGACATATGTGCACTTGGTACTTCGAGCGGCGGAACAAATGAGGTATCATCTGCGCCCAGTCGGGGACGAGAGGAGGCTGCTGCTCCCAGTAATCGGGTAGAGGAGGACGATCTTGCAGAGGACGGTGCGGAGGACCCGCTTGCTCTTTTCGGCGGCACTGCAGCCGGCAGCCGCACCGGCATCAGGTATTCGGCGTTGTCTCTTGAAATATCGACTTTATCTGTCATTGGGGCCGCCGAACCTCCTCCGAGGGCATTAAAGCTTTCGTCTCTTCGTTGCAAGCGTGCCGGATGATAGTCGGCGGTCCAGCTCGTCGTACAGAGTTCCATTAGGTCGACCAATCCTTCTCGCTTGTAAAATTTTTGGCAGTACGCGGGGACCACCTGCAGTAACGAGACGAACTTGCAGCATGTCAGCCGCTCGTTCACAATCCCCAGCTCTTGTCCCAGAAAAAATTACCAGCATTTTCTTTCTGTTTGCGGTGCAAAAACGAACCTAATTTGTAATAGCTAATGCAAGCAGACGTACGAACATGACAAATTAATGTTGGCGAATCATGCACCACAAGCTGAGCGTGAAGATGGTGACAATCTTATTCAGGATAGCACCCCGACGGCCTGTAGGGTAAGCAACATTGTGTGCGGATGACTCGAGCAGTATTCCGCCTTGTGGCACATCCCCGGGTAGCAGGCTGCGTCGTTTGCGACACCGTCCAGCATTTCCACCCCCCTTTCCTCCCTTAGTTGAATCAAATCCCGCCACTTTCTGCAGTTGTCGCCATTTTGAAGTAACTCGAAGGTACCATCCCAGCGAGTTTCGAAACTGCACCTATCGCAATTCGCCGCTTTCTCCGGGACGTTGGTAGGGACTGTGGTGTAAGTGTACTCGTCCTTCAATCCGAACAGGGCGTGGGCCAGTTCGTGCATGCCGAGGACAACGAACTGGCCGGGCGCGATCGTGCCCATGCCGTAGTGCTCGCGCGGGATGGCCGTTCCCCGGTACTCTTCGTAGTTCGCGATCACGAACAAGATCTGGTACAGTCCGGATCCGCAGTTCTTTGCGGCCCACCGGTGCCACATGGCTATCGCCCCGCAGTTGATGCGCCGCCCCTCGAGTATCGCGCAGTGTCGGTAGGGGGTGTTTTCCAAGTGGCTCGGCAGGACGTCGATCTGCCGGTCGACGTACCACAGGTTGAGCCCCCGGTTGGCCGAGGCGTCGAACGCTCGCACCCGTTGGAACCCCTCGGCGTAGCGGTCCACCGAGTCTTTCCACCGCATCCGCCCCTCCCGGCCGTACTCGTGAAAGCCATCCGGCAGAAAAATCATGTTGATTGCGTTTTCCGCCTCGGTATTTGCGGATATCGGAATGCAGCTGCGCTCGGCCGTGGTGACGCGGTTTACCCATTCTGTACGTCGCTTTTCCGGCAGCGCCATGGCCGGTGATACCACCTGGCCGCTAGTTTGATTCTTCGGCCACTGCCAGAGCGTGGGATCATTGCCAGAGCTGCGCAGTAAGAAATCATCCAAGGATTTCTGACCCGGAGTAGTCCGATTATATGCTCCTGCAGGCGGGGGCCCTGAAGGCGGGGGCCCTTCTGGTGGCACCGCGTTGTCTCCGTTTTGCCGCCCTTGAAGGTCGGTCGAGATGTCCTCATCTCCGCCATTACAGCAGGAGGAGGAGGAGGAGGAGGAGTCGTCTCCTTTGCTGTAGTTCCCGGTCGCGGTGCTCGTGGCTGCGTTCTCCGCGAGGATATTGCGGGTGACGAGGTCGTGAAAGAAGGGAAAGAGAAGTAGCGCCAATTTTTCCAGGAATGCGCCCTTGTGAAACAGAGCGGGAAACAACGGATGGTATCCGCGTCGTACGGTTTCAACCGTTCGATAGCTGCCCGGAGGAACCATTGATGAGAACGAGGTCTCTCGTCTTTGGGTTGCGGGTGCGCGTCTGCCTCTGTTTATCGACACCATTTAGCTGTGTAGATGCTGTGTGGAAATGGCAGACATTTTTTTTTCTTCCCACATAGAAACAAAATCAAAATCAACGGACAAATCATGACGAGCCGAAAGCGAAACTCAAGATGCAAATAAGTAAGTACATTTAGCTACGTCTATTCAAGATTTCAAAAAAAAAAACGCCGCGTCACACTACCCGGTGAAAAGCTACTGCGACAATGACGATTGTTGATTGCTTTTACGTTCAAGTGCGGCTAGTGTTGACGATGTTGGCGATCATGTGTAGCACGTTGGTCTCTATTACGACTACGAGACGTGGGCTGCCAAGGATAGCTTTACGTCGGTTCGTTTTTATGCAAGTGACGTGAGTGACGTGTTGCCTGAAACAATTGCAATCTATCAGATGGGTGGACTACGAGTACGAGCCCAAACGCAATTGATTCCTCTTATCGTCCCATAGAAAAGTTGATTCATCTGCGACGTACGACCACGATAATTTCGGAGTAGATACGCTAACCGCGGCGGATACGCAAAAAGGACCTCGTCCGCATAGTACGACAACGAGTGTTGACGCTTGCAGCGACAACCGTCCGAGCTGTTTTGCCCTTGTTTTTGCTGCCTCCACTGCAGCTCCATCCCAGGCAACTGCACTTAGATGAAAAGCCAAAACGCACACATTTGCAGGTTCGAAACTACGTGCGCGTGGGCGTTCGGCGTCTGTGTACAATAAAGGCAACACTGCCAATGAATCGTACAGTTTGCAAATTTCGTTTGTCCACTGCTCGACAAGACGAAGATCATCTTCGTCTTCCTAAAAGAAACGGCATAAATAACAAGTTCGACGACGTAACCGTCACCAATGACATATACCAGTGGTAGCTGCCAGAGCCAGTTGTTGATATTTGACGTTGAATGAAAAACGAGTGCGGATGAAACAAAATGAGAATCAAGTACAAGTAGGAATTACAACATCGCGAGATGAAAAGGCGAAACGATAAAGTTTGTTACTAACTTTTGAATTCATGACTTCAGCGAGTTTCCCTTTCCGAGGTTTAGGCTACACTAGCCTTTCTGATGTAAAAGCGAGACGCGACATCAAGTTGTGCAAATAATCTACCACACCAAACGTGTTGCAACTCGCTGCACTACACCTCGCCAGTTAAAAATTCCCCGTCGTCATCTCGACGTTCCACTTGTGCGGCTTTTTCTCTGCTCCTTCCTCGTTGCAAGAAATTCCTTCCGACGCCATCACCGACATTCTTGGTCTCCCTCGTCTGCGCTCTCTGCGTCGATGCTCCAGAAGACCTTGGAAAACTCAAAGGACCCGACGAATTCTTCAATGATTCCCATCACATCTTGGCCACACCGCCCGCTTTCGATCGCCGGGATGGAGGCAAAGAAAACGAAGGGAAGAAGCTTGTCCGATTCCGTTCCGTCGTCCTGATTCATCTTTTCGACTTGATGCGTGGTATTTAGTTCTAGCTGTGCGAAGTACAAGCTAGTCATCGGCGAGGGTAAAGTACTCCATAGTCGGGGCAAGAGGAGTTGTCCCAACGCATTCCTGTTCCGTGTGTCGGAAGTGGAGCAGCTTGAAGAGGACGCGAATAATTTCATTTGCGACAACGGTACGAGGCAGTTGACGATTGCGTCTTTCACAAGTCTTGCCTCGAAAACGTCACTGACAGTTGGGAGAAGGCGTTGCGAATTAGATGCGGAAGTGGTCGTCTCGGAGGCAGGAGCCGTCTTCCCTTTTCCTTTGCCTGTCCCAGTCGAGCCGATCTTCAAAGCATCGTGGTTCCCAAGGAAGGCACAACCGCCTTGCGAGAAAACATCGGAGTAGGGGATGGTCTTCCGAATCCGTGGCTGGACGAGTTGCGCAACCGTCAGCGACTTGAGGTGCTTGGCCTTGTCCTCGCTGTGCATGGTTGTCATACAATCAAGCATCGCGTCGCCAGTGCAGTGCAGCATCTCATCCACAATTCGGCAAAAGCTGTCCGCAGGTCCCTGTCCTTTCCCGTTTCCCTTGCCAGTGCTGTAGGCTGGATTAGACATTGTCGTCGAGGATGTTGCCCCAGGCGCGTTGCTGGGATTGGTGTTGTCCCGAGACAGCGCTGCGGTGCGGAAGAGTGACCGCGAAGCTTTCGCAACTTGCTCTTCCCATTGTTCTACAACGAACGCCGCTACACCGGGACGCAGCTGCACATGCCGTGCGTGCTCCTCGAGCAGCCCCCGTTGAAGACTGCGATCGAGTTCTGGTTTGAGGCTCATGGTTTTTTTAGATGTGGAGGTGGTTGTGAATGATTTTTCAACAAGTATGCTTATCAAGATCGCCGCGCATGATAGAAGTGCTTACTCTTTTCATAGAGGTGGATAGGGTAGGAAGATGGCTGATAAGGTATTACTGAGATTGGAGCTGCAAAAGTGTCGCAGACAACGCCTGCACGACTGGACTGCGGGATTATTTACTGAACAGAAGAGCACATTGTTGTGTTCCAAATGAAAACCTTTTTTTTGTCTCTCACAGTTTCCCCGGTGCTGATGTGGAGACATATCTTTAGTGTTGAGCCGCTTTGTGCTACCTTTTGCCCGATCTTTCCATCGAAGAAAACCCCACTCTGTGCGTCGAAGAAAAACGAAACCGAATTCGAAGTTCGAAACGAAAGTGAGACAAGCGAATGCGACATTTGAAACTGCCTCATCAGTTTTGTTTGTATCATGAGTAAGTGAAGCTTTTTTTTAGCTGTTTTTCTTTTGCTTTTTATTTTTTATTTGTAGCGCGAATAGTCGTGTTGGCAGATCAACTTACACTGGTTCTGCGCACTCCTGAAGGGAAGCTGTGCCACCGACCATTGACTTCGCTGATGATAAAAATTTGACGCCGACGGAAGGAATTGCTCATGATCAGGCACGCTCATGTAGGGGACGGCTTTTCCCTTATTTCGGTTGGCAGCGGTAAACTCGACAGCATGACGGATGTTTTCAGGCAGCAGCTTTATGATGGAGCCGAGCTCCCGAAGACCGGGACCGGAAAAAGACTCGGCAGACGGACGGGCATCGCCAGGCTCGAAGGTTCCATCGAAACGGTCACGTACAGCCACTGCTTGGTACGACAGCCGCTCGCGGAGTCGAAAACTGAGGTAGGAATTGGCAATGTCCAGGAAAGAGAGCTCCTCCCAGAGGTCAAAGACGCAGAACAGGTTCAGCATCGCACCCAAATCGCACACGTAATGGTTCTCCTCAACGTTCGCGCCCAAGGGAAAGTTTTCAAGTTGTGCCGTCGCAGTAGTACGCCGATCGTCTTTCACTTTTTGATTTTCGGTCGATTTTCGGTGATGCGCATAAATGCTGAGCAGGGTCTTCTCGACTTGTCTTCTGGCGGTGACGATCTTTCCCGAGGTCTGGTGGAACTCGTGGATCACCGTACTCCGTATCTGGGAAAACACATCCTTCACCCAAGTAGAAGGGGCACACTCATTTTGATTTTTTCTTTTTGCCGAAGGGTGTTGCCTTTCCTGTTCGTCTTTTTCCGTGCTACCCTTCGTGGTCCGCTTGCAAGAAATTATTTCGCGGGCGACTTTACCTTTGTCAGCCGTGATGAATGAAGACGATGTAGTCCCGAACTCCTGCTTATGATCGAACTGGTTTTGCTTGTTCGTTGTCGGTGTATTGGCGCAACCAGCCCCTGCTTCTTCTTCAGTCGCACTAGTCGGTTCAGGTGATGCAGCGTCACGGCGAAAGCGTCACGGCAAAAGCGCCGTCCTGTTCGGCATTTTGTTTTTTTCTTCTGCCTCTTTGTAGGAAATTCTTTCCGACGGCATTTCTCCCTTGTTGCAAGAAATCACCGACATTCTTGGTGTCCCTCGTCTGCGCTCTCTGCGTCGATGCTCCCAGTCCCCTGCCTCGTCGTCGGAGTAGCGACTGACTCCGGTTTAATCCCGCATTCTGCAACTCTGTTGCCGCGGACGTTCGAAACAGAGGGCTCTTTCGAACAAACGGTTTCTCGTCTTCGTGTGGTTGTGGCTCTTCACCTCGTGAAAAATGATCGTCGTTGAAGAAATTTGGTCCGGTCATGATGTCGCTTTCAACATGTAGTAGAGTAGAGCTTCGATCGTGTCCTGCAGCGACCATAGCTGTAGTTTCAGTTTGTTCTTCATCGGAGCCAAGAACATCATCTTCATTACTATCAAAAACTTGTTCCCTTGGGCTTTTTTCGACGAATGAGAAAGCTTGTGCCGGCGTTCTTGTATCTTCCATCTTCTTCATCACCTTGCAACTCATGCCCTCCGGCAGAACCAACTGAATATCGAACTTCGGTTGCAACGGCAGTCGGTCCGCCTTCAGCTTAGAAGTATCGCCTTTTTCAAGAAACGACGACGCGCTGTGTTCAATCTGCCCCTCGTCTTCTCCGTGTACGTCTGAGTCGAGGTTCTCGAACATGTCGAACTATGAGAGTGCACAACTCCCCCTCCCCCTCATTTGAATGGCATTAACAGCAACACAAGTGCTGGCATAAATGCAGCTTTTGCATGACAAACTCGCGACCGAGTATAGTGCTGTTTCGGTTTCCGAAATCTGTCATGCAAGATGTGCCAAAGAGAAAAGGGCGGACTCGGTATTTTGCATGACAAATGAGGGGGAGGGGGAGTTGTGCATTGTCATACGAACGTCAGGAAATTCAAAACCTCGACGTTTTTCCGAGCCGGTGGAGCGGGGATCTGCCTATTTTTTTGCGCAAACGTCGAGGCTTTCACATTATTCTTCTTTCCACGACCACTGTGCTTGCTTGTACTTTTGCTCTTCTTCTTTCCTTCCTCGTCGCGGGTGGCGCTTGCTTCTTCGTTCTCGTTTGCTTCTTCTTCCGAAAGAAACGACGACGAAGCCGCATTGTAATCCGGATTCGCCCCGGCAGAGAAGATCTCCACCTGCACCACGGGATCCTTGCCGAAGAGCTCTTCACTGAAATGCTTCTCGGCAAAGTCACTCCCCTGGCTGCGGAGCTTCTCAACAACCGCTTCGCCGAGGGCAACAAATCCCTTGCTGTCACCGAACACTGCGGGGTGCCGGTAAAGCCCATGCCCGGCGGCCGGCGGCAGCGGAGCCGTGGGGTGCTCCTTCACCGATTTAAGTTGATCTGCGACAGGAGTAGAGTCTTCAGTAGTGTTCGTCTCCGAAGATTCGCCTGGACCACGCGTTTTGTCCGTGTCGCACGGCCGGTTTGCGTTGCAGCTGACCTCCCGCTCCAGGTCCGTCGGGCAGGCTTTGCCGCCGTTTTTCGGTTCCACTGTTATCCGGCGCCGCTGTTTTACCACTCCGCCCGGTTTGCACTTTGCACTGCACTGCTCGTGCCGCTCCTGCTTTTGCAGTTCCACCTCCACAGGTTTAGGCCGGAACAAGTGGCGGTTTAGCTTTTGAAACGATTCAAATTCTGCCTGATACATCTCTTCGGAATCAAAGAACGACAACGCGTCCTCCGTCACGCACCGACCCGACATGCGCGAATCGCCCACCCCCCAGTCGCATGACGAACCGCTGCCGACCCAAGTGCAAAGCTTACTCGTAGAAGTTTCAGAACTATTTGAAGCTGCAGTGGCTTCTTTTTTCGCTTTTCCCGCCCAGTCCAGCAGAACTTGGTACTCTTCTTTGCTCAGGAACCCGTCTGAAATTCCATCTTGGCCATCCAAAGCAACGAAAATTTTTTGCAGCTCCTGGTCGTCAACTCCGGGGTAAGTTCGTCGCCATTCGCTAAGTTCTACCCTGTGGGCGTCTGGCTCTTCGTCTTCCTCACTGTGCCTATCGTCTACATTCCGGATCTCGTCCCAGGGAACTGGGTTTTCGAACCACGCGCCGCTACGATCCGTTTTATCCGGGTTCGATGCTTGGAAACCATCTACGACATTTTCCATGATCACGTCCATGTCTACACCTCCCAGCGAACGAACCACTTCAGCAGGAGACAATGAAGCAGGAACAGCACCAGCAGCTGCGATCGCTCCCAGCGCATTCGGCGGGTGACCACCGGGCGAGTTGTCGGTACAGGAATCATCGCAGCAGGGCTCGAGTTTCTCAAAGCAGATTTTCTTGTGGAGGTCTTTCGTGGTGTAGTCTAAGTCCGCGTGGGTCCCGTATGTGTGGTAAACGTCAATTTGTTCCAGACTTGGATTCGCTGTCTCCCAGGGATCCGACGTCCCTGCATTTTTACTAGGCGGGAACCAGTGGGGCTTTGCCACTGCGCTAATTGGCTTCAGAACACATATTGGACGAGGCCCTTGAAAGTTGTGGACGTAGGTGCTGCATTTTCGCACCAGCTCGCAAATGATTCGGCACCCCCGCGCGTGCTTGTTTCTATCTTTGAAGACAAAATGCGTGCCCTTCGCCTCCGCGTCCACCTCCATGTTTCGAAAAACCGAACGCGCGAGCTCTTTGCGCACCCGCGCGTCTTCTTCACGCGGGAACGCTAGGGTGTTGTCGTTTTCGTCCTGCAACCGCGCCAGCAGGACCTCGGGGGCCAGCTCGACGTCGACGCCGAAGACCGCTTGCGGTGAGGAAAGATCCTCTTCCCCGTAAGGATAAAAGTCTGTCATCTCCTCCATGGAGCAGCGCTTTGTTGATGGAGTTGTACTAGTTCTTCTTCTTGACGGCACGATCGAATTTTTGTCCGCTACTTCATGCACTGCCTCCAAGTCCCCATCTGCTCGCAAGTAGTAGTCCGTGTGTAAAAACGGGGTCCAGCGTAGCAGCTTCACCTGGACGTTCGTGGGAAAAGAAAAGTCGCTCGGGCTGGATTGGTGAATGCCCCCGGCTATGGTTTCTAAAATTCTGTTCTTGTCGACAACTGCGCAGCTTCCGCTCGTAAACCGCCGGGCGTTTCGGCGGTAAATGACCGGAGACCTTTCCCCAGCCCTTTCGGTCAGCGGGATGGGGGACAGTGTCGCTAGTGCTGAAGAAGAACTTCCTCCCGGGGTCCCGCTGTCTTGCACAAGCTTCGAAAATAGTCGGCACTCGCGTCGGTGGTTGAGCTTGTCGGGGATTGTTTCTGTTCCGACGGTGATTTCTGCCCCAGATGGGTCCTCGAGCGGATGCTGATCGGGAAGCAACCAGTAGGTGTAGGCGTCGCAAAATCGCAAGTCCTGTTCGCACCGCGTCTTGCACTCCTGCAGTGTCAGCTTTTCGGGTTCGTCTTTGTACTCGCTGGACTGCTCGGTTAAGATGAGGTAGCTTCCGAGGTTGCTGCGGAACACCGTGCTGCGCTCGATGGTGCAGGCTTTTGCGTAGCGAGCTGGGTCGGCGGTGATGAAAGCAGGCACAGTACGAGTGGCGTTATTGAGAATAGTTGCAGGAGCCGCGGACGGCGAAGACGATAGCATTCCTCCAGATGATCCACCTCCTCCTGCCGCAGCGCCAGCTGTGAGTGCCGACTGCGGAGAGTGAATTTTCGTGGACCATTCGCTGACCTCGCAGTCTACCTTCACTTCGCAGTACTTTTCGTGGAAAACGTCAAGCGGAGCTTTGCTTTCATCTGCTCGTTCTGCGGTGGTCAGAAAGTCAAACACCTTGGCTACTTTTGCCGCCTCGCTCAACGTTTCATCGTCGAGAACGTCGCAGAGCCGGCGAACACAGATGGCTGCCACTGGAGGTGCAGTGGTCGTATCGTGGTCAGAACCATCATGATCTGGTGCCGCGACGGTTTCATCAACAATCCCTCTGCTCTGCTCAGCGGTGCCGTACAGCGTACAGGTCAGCCTCTCATTCTTCCCACTCGTCGGTAAAGAACCACCTCCTCCGGAGCCAGAAGTTCTACCCGCCCCATCATCTAGGCCGAACTGGTACATCACACAGCTACTTACCATGTCGCACATCACCTCGCACTTCCACTCGGCCCCCTGGTTGTAATTCTCTTCGTCAAACCAGGTAAGGAGCGAAAACTTCACTTCTTTCTCAAAAAAGGCCGACGAAGTGGACATTGGCTCGTCTGGGAGGTGGTCACCCGCAAATCCGGATGGCAGATTCAGCAGCTCGCCAACTCTGTTGACATACTCGAGCGCGTCTGCGCACGCCGCAAACAGATTCGAGTCTTTGCCTAGCGAAATCAAGTTTTCGTTGAAGTTGTCGATTCTGCACAGGAATCCAGCATGATTTTGATTTCCGACCGCAGCCCCTCCATCGTCATTGGCAAGTACCACTTCAGTGGCAGGTTTCCATGGTCTCTTATTTCTCCAGTTCCTCACCCACGCGTCGCGCGCAGGGCCCCCGTCCCGGCTAACGTACCGAGTGCCGTACCCCTTTTGCCAACAGTAGGGCTTTCCTGCAGTGTAGAGCGCAAAGGCACTGTTCGTTTTGTCTTCAGTGCCGGACGCAGCTGCGTCTTCTCGTGCTGGGGCTGCGACAGCCACGGCCGGGCCTAGGAGCAAATCCGCTTTTTGCTCCTCGATCTCGTCTTTATCGACTTCCGGCTGAACAATGCCGCGCGCGGTCCGCTGGCTGACCGGCTTGCTTAAATCCCGCTCCGTCACAGCGGCGCGCTCGTACAGCGCGTCGACGATGGGAACCCTGTCGCTCACAAACAACCGCTCGCACTGCCACTCCGACCGCACGTCCTTCCGCCACAACCGCCACTCCGCCGGGTTCGGGACGAGCGCGAACTTTTCTTCTTGGCTTTTTTCTGGGTCCCGGTTCAGCAGGAGATTGCGCTCGAGCGGGTGCGACACGGGACGCGCTAGATGCAGCTCCTTCTGCAGGTCGAGCACCGTCTTCAGCGCTGGTTTTTTCATCGTGTCGCCACCTTTCTTCGGCGGCGCGGGCGGCAGACCGCTGTTGGTTGAGGAGGACTTTTTAGGATCGCCGCTTTCTGAGGACGGTGTCATGCTGGTGCTACCGACAACATCGAAAACAAAGTCTTCGTCGTCCAGAACGGTCGTCCCAGCAGGGATAACCTCAGAGCCTTCTGTGTATTTTCTGCTTGTGTGCAGCCCGAGGTAGCTCAGCTCGTGCAACTGATCATCCAGGAAGGTGCGGTCTGCTTCCCCAATCGGCGGCGCCCCGACTTCTTGTTGTTCGTCGGGCAGCGGGGCTTGCGAACCCTCTTCTTGCAGCCCAGGAGGCTCAGCGCCACCCAGGCGGACCGGCATGATGTTAACTTCGTCGTCGTCAAAGCGGGATGGAGCCTCGGATTCCTCGTCTTCTTCTTGTTCACTACTTCGGGTAGCTGTATCTTCTTTTTCATTTTTGTTCTTTGCAGAACCCTTGCCACCCGCTGACCCGCCTCCCAGTCGTACGCCGTCCGCCGCGTTATCAAAAGGGAAAATCCCCCCTCCTCATATCGAAGTGGAAATCTGTGATGCAGGATTTTGGTACACAAATCGGATTTGTCTTGCAGAAGGGCATCGCAGTCAGATCCTCGGCCTAGGTAGGGGCGTATAGGTCTAGTTGCTTAGCATTGCAAACGGGTGTCCCCTAGGCGCAACAGCGTGCCAAATCGCTTCCATAATGGTGCGGAAGCCTCTGCGCTTGTCTTCTTGCAAGACAGACGTGATTTGTGACCTCAAATCAGCAACGCAAATTTTCGGAAACATACCTTTTCGATATGGGGAGGGGGGATTTTTCCTCCGAATACGCGTTGTTCCATCGCTTGAGGGTGCGCGGACCTCCATCCGCCGAGGTCCAACCGGTTGTGCACAGCTCCTTCAGGTCCCGCAGCCCCGGTCGTTGGAACTTGGTGCAGTAATCCGGGATGACTTGCAGCAGCGCAACGTACTTGCAGCAGGTGAGCCGTTCGTTGACAATGCCGAGCGGTTTCCGCAGCTTCTGCAGCATCGACTGCTCGTGGCCCGCACAGTACTTCCCCTTGTGACACAGCCCGGGATGGCAGATCGCATCATTTTCGACCCCGTCCAGCGTTGTCACGCCATTTTCTTCGCGGAGGTCAATCAAGTCCTTCCACCGTTTGCAGTTGTTCGGGCCTGGCACCAGCGTCCGCTCCGTCTCCGGGCCGGTGAGCTCGCAGTAGTCGCAGTTCGGGGAGTTCCTGGGCACGTTGATCGGCACGGTAGTGTAGGAATACTCGTCCTTGAGGCCGAACAACCCGTGGCCCAGCTCGTGCATACCCAACGGGACAAACCGCCCCTTCGCAATGGTGCCCATGGAAAAGTGCGATTTGACCAGCGCGGTGCCCCGGTACTCTTCGGAATTCGCGATCACGAACAAAATTTGGTACAGCCCGGTGCCGCAGTTCTTCGCGGCCCACCGGTTCCACATGGCCACGTCGCCACACCAGATGCGCCGGCCCTTATCCAGGAAAAAAAGTGTGTAAGTGTAACTTTCTTTGAGGAACAGCATCACAAATTTGCTCTACATGACAGAGAAAACCTGTCATGCATGGTTTTTTTTTTTTTTGCAAAACTTCTCGCGTGGATTCATGGATTCATGGAGCGGCCCCCGGGCGGAATACTTCTGGTGGTAGACGTGGCCCAAGGATTTGCGGCTTCGCGCCGCGACGACTTGATGGGGGTCCCGCACCCCCCCTCCGCTTCCAAAAATACTGTTTGTGCGTGCATGCTGCAAAACCTCCGACACCGCGGCACAAAACCGCGTGCCGATTGCCGTCATTCTTTTGATTTTCTTTTGAATTTCTTTTGATTTTCTTTTGAATTTCTTTTGAATTTCCGCAATCTTTTGAATTTCCGCTGAACCTGTCATGCATGGTTTGTAAGGGAAAACACTCATGAAAATAGGACTTCATGGCTGTCTGGCATGACAGGTGTAACTCTGTTGCATCTTCTGCAACACAAATTTACACTTACACAGTTTTTTTCTTGCATACCCCTCCATGATGTCGCAGTGGCGGTAGGGCGTGCCTTTCAGCCGACTCGGGAGAACGTCAATCTGCTTGTCCACGTAAAACAGATTCAATCCCCAAACCATGTCCGCGTCGTAGGCCGAGACTCTTTTGAAGCCATCAAAATAGGCGTACACTGTTTTGAGCCAATCAAGCCTGCCCGCCTCCCCGAATTCGTGGAAGCCGTCGGGAAGAAAGATCAGATTAATCGCCTCCTCCGCGGGTTTCTTTGCGGAGAGTGGGATACAGCTTTCCAACGCGGTGGTTGCCCTGTTTTCGTAGTCCTTCGTTCTGACTCTCTGTGATAGCAGTTTATCTGCCCTACCTCCGGAGGCAGGAAGCATCGTATCATTGCCTGAGGGAGGAAATGTCGGAGGAGGCTCGGGCTTGAACACATTTTTCAAGTTATCAAAGTGAAAAAAGCCCCCACCCCATATCGGAAACGGAAGATGCGCGAATTTGTGATGCTGTATTTGAGTACACAAATCGACTTGTAATGCTAGAAGGCCAAGAGACGAAGCTGCGGCCTGAATTGCAGGTAATCTGTCATGCTGTTTCCCACTTCCAGTGGCCTCCTGTCATCCTGGAGCTGCAAGGCTTTCCCACGCTCGACAGTACTACAGTCCGCATCTTTTGCCTTCTAGCACCACAAAGCTGATTTGTGACCACAAATCTGCATCACAGATTTCCGTTTTGATATGGGGAGGGGGCATTTTTCATTGTAGTACAAGTTTTCCTGTTCGTCCGTCGGTGCCGCGTCACTGCAGCACGCGGAAGCAGGCCCAGGGGTTAGCGTTAGCTTAGGCTTACCCCCTTCGTCTCCCTTTGCGCCTGCGCCTCCTCCTAATGTTACATCCTCCACCTGGTACGTTTCATTTTTCTGGTTGCGGCCTGAGGAAGTGTCGTTCTGGTTCTGGGCGGCTGAGGTAAAGCGAAGGCACCAAAAGAAGCAAATGACCGAGAGAGGATGAAGTAGAAGCTGACCACGACCCCGGATAAGACGGAAGAGCATGGAGAACAGAGGTCTCTTGTTTCCCTCGCGCACCAGGGCAGAGCGAGGACTGGACATTTTCTAAAATATTTGTGTATACCTGGTCCTTGGGCCGAATTAAGACCTGGATCTCTTAATTTACACACTGGCCGTACGCAATCAACATACACAAGAGAGAAAGAGAGACCTTAAACTTAATGGGGTTGCAGCCTTCAAAAAAACCATGCATGGTGCCCATGACGGGGCGATAAGTCTACGGTTCTCCTATTTTCGTCAATCACCGTGGACCACGGTATGATTCTCTACTAGTCTCAACAAAAATACATTGATTTAGATTTATTCCGATGGCGTGGAGTCTGGGAAAAGAAACGAATGTCGCAAGCGATACGCAGACTGCTGAAATATCATGACTCATGCTATCTAGAAAAGCAAGTACTTATCTTCACGACGACAACGACCCGACGGCACAGCCACGATGTACAGACAGGTGCCCTGGGATTTTCACGTTTAAATGGAGTTGGATTGGGCCACAGTAAAACGATCCCTTCGTTGTATCAAGCGACCCGACAATACGCCTGAAACCCGCGTCGGACACCACACGAATTGTGACAACGAAAATTTCACTTCATGCATAGCTTTCATCATATGTAACGTGTACGCACTGAAACAATCGCTCTGAGAAATTATACTTCTGCGACGTGAAGCTTGCCTCCAACAGCAAGCAACAGATAACAAGTCTCCAATGTTTTGTTGGTACCTACGTACAGAAATGATGCTCCAGACCATGAATAACTGATACCGTTCAACCTGCATACATGTGCAACAGAAAAGCAACGTGTCGTAGATATACGGTTACCTATCCCGAGTACTCGTCTAACGACCATCACCATAGAGCACGATACGTAGAAGACGACGACGAGGAGTCCTAGACTTGTTGCAACAAAAATACGCTGCTCAGGACCTCCCAAACAGACCGCGTCGGTCGGCCGCAAATTCTTCTCCAAGTAGGGAGTGCTACTTGTGCCTATGAGAATGAGATTGTGTAATCTGCATGCATGATACAATTTGAAACAGAAACTGACACTGAGTGTAAAGATCGGGGACATGATTCTTCCATGATTTTCCTCGGATTCAAATTTTCGGATAATTTCTGGCCAAACAGATGAAAGAACCGCGCAAACTACGACAATAGAGGATACTCCATATCAAAGGAGCACACTCGTCTCCTCTTCGTATTCCTCCGCTGCACGAAGCACATCTTACATGCAATCTTTAGTTTTCAAAAGTCTGCCGGTCTAATCTTGTTGGTTGCTATCTTTCCTGGACGAAAGATGCTCCTTCGGCAGCCGCTCCGCAAGTAAAGTACTGACGGCAGGACCAGGAGTTTTTTCTCCTACAGAAACCTCCCCGCCTCCAGCAACAAAAGTTGTTGTGCCGTCGTCTTTTCCCCCATGAAGCTGTTTGGTATGTATTTTCTCGTACTGCTTCTGTGCCAGGGACGACGAGGGAGGAGTGGTAGCTGCAGTATTGAACGTGGTCTTCCGCGTTTCGTCGTCCAGATCCGGCATTGCGTCCGCATCCGCCCGTCCCACTTCACAGGTGTATCCCTCCGGCACAACGACGCGTATGTCCAAGACGGGGTCGCCCGCATAGTATCCGCCCGCCATCTATCAAATGTAAAAATGTCTGGGTCTGGAAATTTGTGATGCTGTGTGGCATATCATGAGGAGGCCGCAATTGCTGGCTCAGCATGACAAGTTTCTGAGCTTCTAGGTGTTGCCTATTCTGTATGACAAACTTCGTTTCTGCTTGACATAAAAGTGGGGCTCTTTGGTAATGTGCATGACAGATTTAAGAGTCATGCCAGACAAGCATGACAAACTTGCATTTTTCCAGACCCAGACATTTTTACATTTGATACCATCGGGTTCGTTTCCTCCGTGACTTTGTAGTGCTTTTCTTCGTATCCTGTGCAAAAAAATCGTAGTAATCCTAATCGCAATCATGCATTACAAATCTCCGTCCCAAGGTAAAACAGCATTACGAATTCCATTTGTCATGCTGAGCTAATTTGTATTGCAAGTACTACTAGTACGATACTTTTGCAGTTCATACTTCGTACACATCCCTGACGCCATCGTAGTCGGCGTCTTGCAGCTGGCCCGCACGAAAATCTCGTCCAGGGGCGTATGGGGAAAACTCATTCTGTGCAGCTGCGTGCTCGAAGTGAAAAGGATTATCATTATTGTTTTGGAATGAACCGGAAGAGAAATCTGTAGTGTGTCTGCCTTGATGGTGTAGTTCGTTTTCTGCTTTTTTCCGCACGTAAAATTCGTGGCCTTCCTTCCCCGCGTGGCGCTCCTGCTGTTCCATCAGTTTTCTATTAGCGTGCTCCGCCGGGAACTGTTCGTGCACGTCAAAAGTTAGGAATTTGAGCGTGTCCACTTTCAAGTCATTCAGTTGTGGCCGCGCCATTCCGGTATCAGGTGCGTCTTTCTTTCGCGTCAAGAGGTCTAGTTGCGGGACCAGCTTCACCTCCACAACAGCTTCGTCGGCGCGGTACCGCGGGGACCTGGCCGCGAGCTCCACGCCCAGCTTAAGCAATCCATCGGAATCGCCGAACACCGAGCCGTAAGAATAAATCCCCTGTCGTGTGAGTGGCGGGATTGGTGCGGAATCCCTGTTGTTCTGTTTGGAAGAGGCCGGGGCCGTGCTTTCCTGCTGCTGGCCAGCTGGCGCAACGGCGTCGGCGCTCACGGGCCCCCAGTCCGCCCCGTCGTACGGACCAGTTTGGGCTTCATTTTGCGACGCAGAGTCGTCCACCGAGCTGCCGAATAAAGTCGTTGTGCCAGGAGCAGTTTCAGCTTGTAGATGACTTGCGAGAACCGGGGGACACGGCACGTGCGTGTTGCACGGCCGGAAGCGCTCCAGTTCGGTTGGACACTCATGGCCGCCGTTTTTCGGGAAGACGCGGACGTGCCGCGTTTCCTTCACCAAACCGCCCGGGGCGCAGGAGGCGCTGCACGGGTAGTGCTTGGTGCGCGCCGTGCCGACGACTGGCGTGTAGGTCTTGCAGAAGCCAGAGGACACGGTGTCGCCATACTTGGTCGCGGAGTCTAGCAGATACTTCCCGTCCCCGCACGCTGCAACTTTTTTCCTACATTCCAGCTTTTTCCGCTTGTACTCCTCTTTCTCCGCCGCACTTGCAGCGACCCAGGCGTCGGCTCGCGGGTACGCAATCGAGTCGCGCACCAGGCTGCGGTCCTTCAGATCGCAAAGTTCGGCCGTCTTATCGTGGGTGTAGGCGGTGCAGCTGTCGACCAGATCGCACAGAATGCGGCAGATGCGCGCATTCGGCGTCTCATCCCTGAACGACCAGGCCAGGTCGCTGTCGGCCTTCGGGTTCAGCGAAATCTTTTCGCGGAACTGCTCAGTCAGACCCTCGTGGTCGTCTTCGTCCTGCGGGCGGGTGAACGCAATCTCTCCGGCCTGCAGCCGCTTCAGCAGCTCCGCGGGCCGGGACATATTGTCCGTGGCATTTACCGTGTGCAAGATGTAGTTCCGCCCAAGGGGCCCGCCGCCGAGCAACTGCATGCGCTCCTCGATCTCGCTGCACCACGACCGCTTCCACTTAATCAGCACGGAGTTGGTCCAGGATTCGGGCACGGCGTACTTTTCCAAATCGGCGGCATCGGCGGCGGTCGCCTCGACGTCCTCGGTCGTCCAGCCCGACATTTGGCAGTCGACCGGGCGTGCGCAGTCCAACTTCTCGAAGGCCGAGCCCTCCGTGAGGAAATTCTGCCCCACCACAATGTTCTCCGCGCGCTCCACGAGGTCACACAAGCGCCGCACGCACTGCGAGGACCTGACAACGGACGTCGGGTACTCCTGCGGCATAATCTCGTCGTTTTTCGTGGTAAACTCAAACTCCAGCGGCGGCTGCATCTTCGTGATCTCCACGCCCTTCCCGTACAGCCGGCAAGAGTGCTCGTGGTCCCCCAGCTCGTCCGGGTGGTAGGAATAGAGGATGCATTCCGGGATGATGTCACAAGCGACTTCGCACTTGAAATTGTCGTTCGTGTACTCAGCTTGGTCGAACCAGGGGAACAGACTCCACTGCACCTCCTTTTTCAAAAACTCCACTTTCGCCTTCCGCGCCATCTCTTTTTCCAGCACGGCGTCCGACTCGGTCCGGAGTTTCACCGACGGGTCGCCCGGGCTGAAGTTGTCCGGCCGGTCGTTCTCGTCGTTTTCGACAAACATGGTGGCCATGTGGATCTCATTCACATAGTGCACGGCCGCGAAGCAGTTCTTCTTGATCTCTTGCGCCTTTTCCCGCTCCTCCGCAGAAATGAACGGACTGTTGGCCATCTCGATCTGGGCTGCCGAAGGATAAGGAGAAAATTGCGGCACCCCAGCAGCAGCCTGATTGTCCATCATCTGTTTCTCCAGCTGCTCTTGCTTCTCCAAATCCAGGTGCTCTAAGCCGGTTTCCACGGACCGCGTCCGGAAATTGATGATGCACAAAGTCGCCTTGCTGCGCGGTTTGTTCACGAGCCAGTCGACCTTGAGAGTGGCTTTTACCGTGTCGGTCGGCATTTTCGGGTCGGCGAAGAAAGCTCCGACACTGGCCCAGTCGGCTTTCACGGGCACCACCTTGCTGATCGCACTGTTCCGCACCCAGCCATCGGCGTCGGTCCTTCCGTTGCTGCGACAATAGGGCTCCGTCGGGTTGTAATTCTGTAAATCGAATCCTTTCCCGGTTGGCAGCATGTGCTGGTTGCTGTGAAACAACTTTTCTTCGTCGCAGCTGATGTGCGACGTCGCTCTGATGCCCCGCGCCTGCCGCTGCTTCAGCGAGTCGGGAATCAGATCAGCAGTCTGCTTTGATGTCTTGCCCTCGTTGTGCTCCGCAGAGACAACGAAATCATCCTCGCTGGTAGGGCTTTTCGTCTGACCCACCGCATGCAACTCGCCAACGACCGGTCTCTCCCTCCCCACAATGAGCTGCTTACACTGCCAGGGACTATCCTCGTCCTCGCGCGTGAGCGACCACTCGACGGGGCGCTGGACAAAGACCATTTTGCCGTCGCCGACGCCCAGAATCGTGTTGCGTTCCGCTGGATGCGCTGGAGGGCTGTCGAGGGCCAAGTCCTTTTGTAATTCCAGCACCGTTGGCAGCGCCTCGTCGTCGAATTGGGTTTTCATGTGCAGGTGCGCCTGCTCCAGCTCGGCAATGGTGGGCTGACGCCCGTGGTAGAAGTTTTGGTGCAAAAGATGGTGCCTCGCATGCAAAGGGTCAGTCGGGTCGTTCGGGTCTAGGTTCGCGTTTTTGCTGTCCATAATCGAGACCGGCGCAAGCCGGATCTTCACGTGGTTCGTCTCCGGGTTCAGATAAGTCATGGGGCTCAACGGGTCCTCATTGTCGTCCTCGTTTTTTGCTTTTTTTGTCTTCGCGCTACTTGATGTCTCCTGTTCCTCCAAAAACGAGTCCATTTGCCCAATCGGCGTTTCGTCAAATCTCTTGAGCCAGCTCCCGTTTTTTGTCATCACCAGAGCGTCGCCGTTCTCGTCGCCGTCTTCTTGCGCACAAAAATCGACGATGTCAAGCCCAAATCTACTGTCGTCGTAGGGCGCACAGTAGGGCGGCAGCACTTGCAGCTCGACGAGATAGTTGCAGCACGAGATGCGCTCGTTGACGCTGCCCATGTTGCCCGCCACCTGGAACATCAGGCCCCGGTGCAGGCCGGTGCAGAACCCGCTCATGTGGCAGTATCCGGGTGCACACACGACGTCCTGGAACAAGTCCACATCTAAAGATTTCGCTTTCTGCCTGGCGTCCAGCAGGTCCCGCCATTTGGTGCAGTCGTCAGGCCCGTGCGCCAAACAAGTGTTTTGCTGTTTGCACTCCGCCGTGATTGCGTCCGGATTGAAGGAACAGTGGTCGCAGTTCGGCGAGACCGAAGGGCCATTCGTCCCGGTCGGGCCGTAGGAATACTCGTCCGCAAGGTTGAACAAACCGTGGCTCAGTTCGTGCATGCCAATGTCGGTGAACGCTTTCGGATTCGCGGTCATCACAGCAGCATTGATGGGCGGATACCCCAAGCCGCCGTACTTTTCACTGTTCGTGATGATCAGCGTTGCCATGCGGAAGCCCGACCCGCAGTGCCGCGCGCCCCACCGGATGAAACCGATCACGTCACCCGGCGGCTCGCAGCAAATGCCCCGCTCGAGCGTGCCCGGTCTCCCGTTGCAGCCCACGACGCAGTGATAGTTCGGCCCGTCCAGCCGCGTGTTCACGTACATGTAATTCAGGTGCGGGTTGCGCTCCGGATCAAACGCCACCTCCCGCTTCACCCCCTCCAGCAGCTCGTAGATCTTCATCTTCCACTTCTGCTCCCCCTCGGGGCCAAGGTGGTGGAACCCGTCCGGGACCAAAACAATGTTGATCGCGTCCTCCACCGGCTTGTTCACGGACAGCGGACGGCAGTACTCCGTGGCAGCGGAGGAAAGGTACTTCCACTGGTTCAGAAACTTCTCGCGCTCCCCCGGTGGAGTGTCCTCGGGTGCTTGGTTCAACGCCCCGGGAGGGGCTTCTGGCGGGAGGTCCGCGCTGGTGACCGAAGGTGAATCCTGCTCTGTCCCCTGCTTCGTCATTATCCCGTCGCCCGCAGGAGAATCCGTTGCGCCTGCGGCTCGTGTTTCTTCAGTCGTGGTCTCAGTCTCACCCCCGCCGCAACAGGGAAGCGATTTGTTTTCCGCATCTTCTGTTTTCGTAGCTGCACGAGCAAAAAGTGAAACGGAGTGGTCGAGCCTCGGTGATAGTATTGCGATTTGCAAAAAAGCCGTCGAAAAGCACAAAGTGCTTGCTAAGGTCGACACTGTTCTGCCGAGGAAAAGCAGCATCCGAAACAGGACGACAGTGCCCGCTAAAGGGGAGGCCGAGCGGCCCGGCTTAATTCTGTCCAGGTCGTCCATCATCGCGGCGATAAGTATATGCTACCCGTGGATGAGACCGGCATACTTTTCTGAGGGTCCTGATCTTCGTTTTCGCTTACTCAGATAGAATTCGTATAGTCAAAAAGCTGAAGCACAGCTTGGCTTACAAAACACAAGTCAGCAGACAAAATGCGTCTCTTGCATCCACCAATGATATCGAGCTGTCTACCTCTTCAAAAAAAACCTGACTACAAATTCCACCTACCAATTGCTGCACTGGCTTTGGAAAATGGAACCACAAGCACGAATCACATTCATTTCATTTGATAAGTTCATTTAAGTTTAGTCCTTAACCAACGAGGCTGTTGCAAATGCGATGTGAGTAAAAATACGGCTCATTTTGTTTTAGTGAAGCACGATAAAAGCCACGACAAACGACAAGACTCGTGACAGTTCGTGCAGAGCAACGGCCCATGACCACAACTTCCATGTGCAAAACCGATATCCAGTAACCACGAATGCCGTGGTCTGCAATCGAATTCCGACGCCTGAGTTTCACGTTTTTGGTGTATGCAAACAGGTTTCTGCCGCCCCAAACGGAAACGAGTTGATTACTTCCTTGAATAAAGCGGACGAAGAGGATGAGAACGTAGGAACCTATTTTATCGATTTCCTTCTTCTGGTAGCAATTCAGCAAAGATCATTCAATTGAGCGAACAAATAGCCCACCTGCAATCGCATCCTAGCGTTGCTGATAGGTCGTTGTACTTCTGTGTTTTACACCAAACATGCGATTCTCGCAAAACCCCATGATGTCACCGCCCACGCAGAAATGGGTAAGAGTTTTTCTTTCCTGGGTTTGCTTCACTATCAGTAGCTCGAGCATCTTTTCTTTTGAGTATACTAGTCTTCCTATGGTGCACGGCGATGACTTTCTCTTCCTCTGGTAGTGCTGCCGCATCCGTGCTTTTTCGTATCGATGCGGGTATCCCGCGGGTCTTCCTTCCACTTATTGTTGGCTCAACATCATCTTCTACTTCTGAACCAGGCGAACCGCCACGAACACTTTGCAGCAAGCTTGCTTCCTTTCTTTTGTTCTCGTGCTCCACAAAGGTCAAGCCGTGGCCGCCGGAAACAAACACATCACCACCAAGCCTATCTCCGGAGGCATAATCCAGCGAATTCCCGCCGCCCACGCTCACGTTGATCTCGCTGGACCATGGTGCTGGACCTGGCGGCGCCGCAGATCCCCCCATAATTCCTTCCGGGGATGTTGATGGAGGTGCGGCCAACCCAGCACCCGGATTTACCATTCCAGGTGCGGGCTCCTGGCCATCAGCCTCGCTCTTGCTTGCCTCCACCGTGGCTTTCTTTTCCGGAGCGATCACACTGCAGCATTGGCCCTCTTCCAACACGATCCGAATATCTAGCCGAGGTTTCCCGGGATACCGGCCCTGCGGTTGGTGATCATCATCCTCTACACCATTTGCATTTTCATCTTCTGCACCAGACGTTCCATTTATTTGCAACGTTTCCGGCACCATCGGACTTTCGTACACCTCGAAGGTCAAAAACGACAGTTGGTTGGCGCCACCGAAAATGCTCGTGGACAAACCCGGGATGAACCCGGTTTGTTCGTCCACCCCGCCTGATGTTGTAGAGGTTTCCGCGCAGGGAAAGATGTATGTTTTGACAATTGCACTGCTTTCTGTTTGATTGGCGAATCGGTCTTGAAATTTCTCCACGATCGCCAGCCCCTCGCGCAACACCTCCCCTCGGTCTCCAATCACGCTGTGCGCCGGGTAGATGCCGTGGCTGACGGCCGGCGGGATCGGGGCCGGGATCGGGCTCTTCTCTTGCTCCGCCGGCGGACAGGGGACATCCGCGTTGCACTTCACGAAGCGTTTCAGCGAGAATTCCGAGCACGGCTTCCCGCTGTTGGTCGCTTCGCGCAGAACCCGGCGCGTTTGGCGGATGAGCCCGCCTGGTGCGCAGCTGGCGCTGCACTCGTGCCGCCGGACGGTCTTGCTCGGATCGGTGGCATCCGGCTCGGAAAATGTGTTCAGTCGATCGTAATTCTTTTCGATCTGCTTCAGTTTGTCCCTTTCGTGCTCCGCCACGGTTTCGGAAAATAATGTTGAACTTTCGTCGAACCCGCGGCAACGGCCAGCCTGGTACAGGTCGCGGTCTACAAGGCCGGCCCAGTCCGCGTCCGGTTCGCAAGCGGGTCCGAGCGTGTTGAAACATTCCTTCTTTCTCCGCTCGTAGGCCAGACTCTCCGGGTCAAACAGCCCGTGGTATTCCTTCGGCGCTCCTCCGACAGTATGCAGCCTCACCTCAGTAACGGTCGCGAAATTCAGAAGGCGGCAATAGTCCGGCCCTTTGCTGAATGCCGTACAGGTGGGCACCACCTCACACACGATCCTGCACAGGCGCCCGTTTTTTGTCTTGTCAATATAGTGGTACTGGTCTCCCGAGGGGTCGCCGATCGCGAAGAGGTCGTTGTCCTGGAACAGGGGCTGAATAACGGTGTTGAAATCTTTCAAATCTTCCGCCCGAACTGGCTTGAGATCGCCGCTCCGCAGCTTGTTCAGCACGTCTTCTGGAACTTTTTGTCCCCGGATGGAAAACATGACAGTGTCCAGACCTCTGTCGGAAACGAACAACGTGCGCTCCTCGACCGTGCACCGCTTCTCGAACAGCGGTTCCACGTTGGGTTGACGTGGTTCTTCCTCCTGCAAAACCGACTCGAACGCAGCGAGATTCTGTCCAAATTGAAAGAGCTGCAGCGCCACGGGATATTCTATCTGGTCTTCAAAAGTTTCGTCGACGACCGCGCAACGACCGCTCGTGTAGCGGTACGGCGCAAATTCTGTCCCGGTGCCAGGCCCAGACAATATGCTCGTGATCGCGTCGCCGAGTTTGGCGGAGTTCCGCCAAATCCGGCAGCCGTGTCTCGGCTTTACAGACGGCTGTTCTGGTTCTTGTGGATGCAGCGATCGAAATTCGTAAGCGACACAATTCACCGCGTTTTCACAAAACTCGCGGCAGTCGCCGGACTCCGTGATGGCGCGGAGCTTCGCATTCTCCTCGTGCGATTCGGCGTGCGTGGAGCCGGTGAAGTGCACACTCAGTTCCTCCGAGCACCGCTTGCGGTTGTTTGGCACCTCCAGGTCCAGCTCGCTCCAGGCGGACAGTCGACAGTCGTCCGGTTTGGTCATTAGGTTTTCGCAAGTTGACTCGTAGTCGGTACTGGTTTTCGCGCCAAGCCGGCGAAGTTGATCCTTCATCATCTCCTGATTGCTCGTCCCCTCCGTAGAAGAGGTAGTGGTTGTTGCAGAAGAAAACTGCTCACATATACGACGCACACACTGCGCCGATCTTGTTCGTGTCGGTGAAGATGTAGTGCCACCAGCTCCACTATTTTCCTCGCTCAGAGTTGCGATAGCGGGCGGGTCAAGTTTCTCCACAAGCGTGGTTGCAGTAGAGCCATTCGCAGCTCCTTCACCTTCTCCGACGAGCAAGCTTGTCAAATCTTGGAGCCAACAAGTGCCATCGGTAATATCGAACTGGTACAGGACACAAGTGGGCACGATATCGCACAGCATTTCGCACTTCCACTCTGCAGGACGTTGAGAATCGGGGTCCGCAGTTCCACTCCCATCAGCTACACTCTGCTCGTCGCTGAAGGCGTAGTTGTAAACAATGTGTTCCTGCGATAACTCTGCCGCTTCTGCCTTTTCCAACACTTCGCCGGCTTTATCGGCTTGCAGCCACGGAAATGCCGCCCAGTACAGCTCATTTCGCAACATGTGAAGCGGGTCGTCATTCGAAGGTAATGGTTGCGAGGACGGTGCATTCTGCTGCTGTTCACCAGCATTTTCACTTTTCACATCCAGTGCTGACAACTGTTTTTCAACCTCGTTTACATATTTCCATGCGTTTCGGCACAGCTCTCGACTTTCCTCTGTGTTCGCAGAAACCGTGGAGCTGTCAGTTAAAGATGTCGTGGCACGCCGCCCCGCCGCTGGGATTTTGCACAGAACCGGTTTGTCATCAACATCCTGACCATCACCCCCGTTCGTGCTAACCTGCCAGTCATGTTCAATACGGAGCGACTCAGCAGAACTACTTCTACCGATGTCTACAACTCGCCAACTGCGGAGCCAGTTCCAACTTTTTTTGTCTGCCTCGTCCATAGAGTTGTTGATGTCACTACTCCCCAACCCGCTCGCTCCACTGATATCCCCTCCGCGGCAGTACGGCTCATTCGCGACATAATTTGGATTTGGTAACTTAAACTCCTCGCCCCGCGGCAACAGCTCCGCATCTGCTAGCATCTGCTCCGTCGTCATCGCCGACGGACTTTGCATACCCCGCAGCGCCCGCTGCGCGAGCAGCCCCAAGCTGGGCTCCGGACTGATAACATGCAGTGGATCTTCTGAGTCATCTGCTGGTGGCACGGGTAAAGCTCCTCCCGATATGGTAGTAGAAGAACCAGCACTACCATCCCCTTCGTCGCCCAACACCGGCCTCCCGGGACTCAGCATCTCGCACTGCCAAGCGGACTCGACGTTTTTTCGAAACAACCGCCATTCCACCGGGTTCTTCACAAGCATAAACTTCGTCGCGCCGTTCAGATCTCGCTCCAGAGCGATATTGCGCTCCAATGGGTGGCTGGGCGGGTACTTGAGACCCAGAATTTCTTGAATCTCTTCCACGGAAGGCAGAAACGAATCGTCCAGCTTGGTCTGCACGTGGAAGCGCGAGGGATTGTAGGCCCGTCCGAGGAGTTTGAACAGACGGGAGTTCTCATTATCTTCTTGATCGTTACCACTCACATGATTTTCCTTTTCCAACACTTCTCGTTCGCTTTTCTCCTTCTCCTGCATGCGTTTCGCGGCCTGGTTGTGGTACTCTTGGATCAGACGGACTACATGGGCCTGTTGTACGTCGAAATTCTCTTCGATTTTTTCTGGATTTTCTTGAGCAGTACCAGTATCAGCATTTGTTCCAGAAGCGGTGGAATTCTCGGCTAGTACCAAGTCATCTGCTTTACTTCTCCTCTTCCTCACTTCTACAAAGGCCGCACCCGTAGTCGGCGTCCGCTGCGCACCCTTGAAATACGAGTGGCCGTCGAACCGTTGCAAGGTGCTGTCCGCGTTGTTCACGGAACGCCAATTTTTCCCGCTGCAGTATTGGAACAGGTCTAGCGTCTTCGTTTTGGAACTGAACTCCTTGTCGTACTTTTCGCAGTACGGCTGAACCTCCTGCAGCAGATACAAATGCTTGCAACAGGTGATCCGCTCGTTCACCGGCCCGATCGGCTTCCACAGCATCTTCATCAGCGAGTTCGGGTAGCCGACGCAGTACTTGTTATTGTGGCAGAACCCGGGATTGCAGCCGACATTGTCCTCCCCTTCAGTGAAGACATTTTCCTTTTCTCTCGCAGTCAGCAAATCCTTCCACTTGGGGCAGTTTTCCGCCGTGGGGTCCAGCTCCAGCGTGTTCGGGTCGAATTTGCAGTGATCGCAGTTGGGAACGATCTCCGGCGTGGCGTGGGGGGTATAGTCGTACTCGTCGCCGATCGCAAACACCCCGTGCGCCATCTCGTGCAGCCCGAGGCCCACCGCATCGGCGTGGGAGGAGATCGCGGCGGAATTTTGCAGGGGGATGCCCCCGCCGCCGTACTCGTCGTCGTTGGTGATCACCAGCGTGGACATGTACAGCCCGCTGCCGCAGTGCTCTGCCGCAAACCGGTTCCACTTGTCCAGGTCCCCGCAGCACACGATCCGCTTCACGCCGTCGCACCCCACCGTGCAGTGCTTCTCGTGCCCGGTGTCCGGGAGGTAAATCGCGGTGTCGACGTACATGAAATTCAGCCCCTTGTTCTTCCGCGCGTCGTAGATCTCCATCTGCTGGAACCCCTGCCACACCTTGGAAACGATCTGCTTCCACCGCGTCCGCCCCTTGCGGCCCTTGTGGTGGAACCCGTCGGGCAGCAGAATCACATTGATCGCGTTTTCGACCGGCGTGCGGACGCTCAGCACCCGGCAAAACTCCGTCGCGGTGGGCGCGCGGTTTTGCCACTCCTGCGTGTATATCAAATGTAAAAATGTCTGGGTCTGGAAGAGTCCTGCTGTTTCTGCATGACACAGAAGGTCTTGCATGGAAGCTCTAGCGTCACAGGTTCCGAGAAGCTTCCGCAATGCCGAATCCGCATGACAAATCCCCCACTTTGGTGACAGAAAGTGAGCAGTTTTTGCTGCCTATGCATCAGAGATTTTTGTGTGTTCTGAAATGCGCATCACAAGTTACATCCTTCCAGACCCAGACATTTTTACACTTGATAGTGTAGTTGGCGAAGGAAAATTCGCTCGAGTACACGATTTCCTCGCGCCACTCCGGGTTCTGCTGCGGCTTGATGAGGTCCGGATCGGCAACGGGGATAATACCGCTGCTGACCGGCGTGCTTTCCTCTCCGCCACTGCTGGGCTCCGAAGGTGGGGGTTGTAACGGACCCTGGGAATCAGTTTTTGTTTCATCTTCCTCAAGGGATGTTGATCCACAACAGGACGGGGAAGGTTGCTCTGCTTCGGCTTTCGTTTTTCCATTCAGTTGCTGTTCGACTGCGAGTGCTCTGACGCAATGAAGAGGAGCGAAATTTTTGCTCCGGTGCAGCAACAAAAACCAGCGGAATCGGAAACAAAAAAGTGCACGTGCTCTTTTCGCCGGAAAAACCGACATGGCGAAGGGGAAGGCATGGAATATCTACATGATGGAGTCAGTGAATATGCTTAAAGCGCATGGTACTATCCGTAATCCATGATATTCGTATTGAAAAAAAAAAACGTCCCGCCGCGGTGGAAATAAATTGTGCTTACTTTTTCCTTTTATTCCAATTGATTTTCGTAGCAGCCGCGACTTAGCTTTATCAGGAATTCAGAAATGAAAGCTTGAAGAAGGCTCGACTACACGACGACAAACTGTGCATCTAAAAAACTAAACGACTGGGCGACGAGCTAATCCACGAAAAATAATTGAGATTCAATTTCATTTTCAAGTATACACTTTCGAAATGAATCTTTCTCGTCCCGCCCACACCCACGATGCAGCGACAGACACGAAATTCAGCTGCAATCGCTACGACTACAAAAACTGCCAGAGGTACACCGCTGATGTTGCAACCAACGACTAGAAGCCCCCAACGTCGATGTACTCCAATAGCGCCGGTGGCCAGTGTGCGGGACAGTCAGAAGTTGGTACAAAGATCTGCATCATCATCAACTGCGAGGGACAACATGATGAGTTTCGTGATGGAATCCTTCGTAAGAGGGATGCTCTGTCCACGCCCGATCACCAAATCATCGCGATCAAATGCAATGGGAATTCCAGTCTCTTCATGACATCGGATACAGGTCTGCCTCCTGGCAATGTTGGGCCAACAAGTCTACTGAACGTACAGAGTGATACTCATCCATCGTCGTGTGATGACGGATTAGTCGACAAGCGCTTTTATGAAGCGGTGTTTGTGTCTGGGAGAGAGAAAGACATCAATGGATAGAATGAAAACAGAAACAAGGGCCGAATTTCTCTCATTAAAATCATGTTGCTGTGTTGAGTTAGATAGAGAATGAATGAGTCAATCAGTGGGATCGTACAAAAAAAACTTTTTCTTGGTGGACATGGTCCTGCTCCTGGTCGCAATAATCTGCATCGACTACGAGGGTTTGTGTACTATGACATGAGCGCTATTTTGTAAGTATCAGTATCTAAGATTTCCACTCTGCCCACACGACATCTTCAGTACGTTGCCTGTCAGAGTCCCTTGTTCTGTGCCGCTGTCGCAGTCCTCGAAGAAAATTCTTCGTCCTCGGCAGAGATGCTGTTCTGCGCGGAAGTTGATGCGGCGAGCTCGCCTCAACTACAAGACCCCGACTGCTGCTCACTTCTTCTTGATGTATCTTTTGCTTTCCTTTCATCTTTCGCCCACGACCGCGCGCGAGGAAGGAAGAAGATGCCACGGCTCCGGTACTATCTTGTTCAGCGGCCGTCTCCTCGTGCTGCGTCGTCGCGTCGTTGTCTACCTCTACCCACTCTTCCGGGTTCGCGGGATCTCTTTGCACCACCTGGCAGGCCTTATCAAACGTAAAAATGTCTGGGTCTGGAAGATTCTGAGATTTGTCATGGAGTTTTTCCACGATCCATGTCGTCTGGAATGCAGGACCTAGCATGACAGATTCTGTGAGATGCCTATCATGCCAATCCTGCATGAGAAACTTCCTCTCAACTTGGTCAAAAACAAAAGTGGACAACTTTTGGCATTCATGCAACACAGATTCTTGCACGATCCAGAATGAGCATTACAAGTTGCATCCTTCCAGACCCAGACATTTTTGCAATTCATAGGCCTCGCCCTCTGACAAGATCAACCGAACCTCTATTACAGTAAAAAATGCCCCCCACCCCTCAAATTGCAAAAATTTGTGATGCGAAGTTTCCAAATGAAAACTTTTTGTCATGCATGAAACGAGTATGAATCTTTCTGATGCAGAGTCTAGGTGTGTATCGCATCCCTTGCATGACAAGCGCCGCTCTTGCTGGGGTCTTTTGCAATACAAATTTTCGCTATTCACGATTGGAAACCTGTGATGCTGATAGGTGCAAGAGGGCGAATGTTTCATTTGGAAAGGTTTGCAATACAAATGCTTTCAAGTTCGGGGGTAGGGGCATTTTTCATTCTGATAACCTCCCTCCGGGGTTCTCCGGCAAACCGGCTTTCTTGTTCTTGCACGTTCTGCCCAGCAGCGGCAAGATCCTTCTTTTCCGTGGCGGAAACGGGCGGCCCAGGCTCGAGGGACTCGTAGGTGTATCAAGTGTAAAAATGTCTGGGTCTGGAAGAATGCGCGATTTGTCATGCTTCTCTGGCATGACTCTTAAATCTGTCATGCAGGTTACCCAAGAACCCCACTTTCCTGTCATGCAAAAACGCAGTTTGTCATGCAGAATAGGCAACACCTAGAAGCTCAGAAACTTGTCATGCTGAGCCAGCACTTATGGCTTCCTCATGATACGCCACCCAGCATCACAAGTTTCCAGACCCAGACATTTTTACATTTGATAAGGTGTCAAACGTAACGAAGTGCAGCAGCACCGTTGTCGTGGCGGTCTCGGAGGTCGTTGTTGCGCTAGGATCACCATCACTGGTACGTGGTACCAGCATCATCTCCACGAGTATTATCGCCTTGTTTGACGTACGGTTTTATCCTCACCGTCACGGTAGGGGGCGTCGTGCCTTCGTTTAGCTTTTTTGCCTGGTCGATCTGCTCCTGAGTGTCTCCGAGGACGATTGCCACCGGGTACAGCCCGTACTTTGCTGCGGGCGGGGGCGGAGCAATAGTTCCGATGGGTCGAAGTCGGCCGTCTTCCAGGTGGTGGCTATTCACGTGCCAAGCAGCATTGAGATCCCCTGATCCGCCATCTTCGGAGTAGCCGGGGGGGCAGACCACGTCTTGGTTACAAGGCACCTGCAGCTCTAGCTTTGGGCATTCCCTACCTCCGTTGCGACTCGGCACCACCACCCTGCGCACAACCGACATAAGTAATACCGCCCTGTTTGTCCGCTCCTTGGCACGGCTTGCTACACGCGGGTGGTCTGAGAAGTTGTCCGTAGGCCTTACCTTTAGGCTTAGGAGGAGCGGCAGGGGCATTCGCATTTGCGGAGTTGTTCTCGTTGTTGCCTAGTTCTTGGACCTCTTGACCGCTGTGCTGATCCACCGCAAATGTGTCATCTACCTCTCCCGCAGCGGCAGGGGCATTTGCGGAGTTGTTCTCGTTATTGCCTGGATGTTGTACTTCCTGATCGCTGGGATTGTCATCCACGACGTGGATGACAATCCCACGTGTGGATTCCACGTGTGGTTCCAGCGAGCAGTTGGTTTGTTGTGCCCGGGCCTGGTGTATCAGTGCGCGGAACTCCTCGGCTTTTTCTTCAGTACTGATCTCGCCAATCACTGCGTCCGGGATCTTCCTCACATTCACTCTAGGACCGCCGTACTCTGCTCCGGAGTAAGCTTCCAATGCTGCCACGAAAACCTCCTGCTCGCACCGATTCAGCTCCGAGCTCCTGATGTAAGTGTCTTTGTAATCCCAGTTGCTCGCTTTCTTCGGGTTTGCGACAAACAGCTCCGTCTCGCCCTCGGTCGGATTTTCGGTTCCGAACTCCTCGTGCATCACTTTCTGCAGCGCCGCGGGGAAGGGCCCCAGAAAAGCGTCCTTCTCGTTCGGGCCATACTTCGACCGCTCGTTGCCAGCGTAAGTGCCGTCCTTGATTCCTTCTGCAATGTCGACAAACTTTTGCTTTCTGGTGGTTGACGATGTGGCCTGCTGCGCTGTTTGCAACTTTCTTGTCTTCTCTGCGAAGGAAATCTGGCCGCCCCCGTCGACGTCTCCTACCGGCTCAGGCACAGGTTCCCACGGAGTCACGACGCAATCAATTTTCTCTCCGCAATACGCGTCCCGCATTCGTGAGCTAGGAAAAAACGATTGCGCGGATGAAAGACTATCCACGATTTCGGTCTCTCGCTCGCACACGCGACGCGTACAAACGGCAGAGTTCAAATGATCAGCAGAGTCATTAGTCGTCCCATCACTCGCCCCTTCCAGCCTCTCGAGGGTGCCAGTGCTCTGCAGACTGCAAGTCCAGCTCTTCCCACCTTCGAGATTTGCCATCTCTTCGACGACCGAAAAAGCAATGCAGGCTGTTACAAGATCGCAGATTATTTCGCACATCTGAGGGCCTCCCAGTGTCAGCAGCACCGACCGCTCATTGTTATCGCCTCCTGCGTTCAGATTTATTTCGACGGCATTATCGACGCCTTGCGGATTTTTGTTCAAGGCGTCTGCAGTTTGCTTCTGTTGAAGGAACGCATTCCTATCGATCCAGGGTAGCAGAGAGAGCAAGAGCTCGAGACCGAAGCCCTCATGTGTGGTCTTCTTTGAAGCGAATCGGTTGCGCAGGTCGGTTGCGTAGCGTAACGCCTGATGACACGGCGTCTGATCGCTTGCAGATGTTGTCGAGGAACCGCTGGCGTCAAACAACGTCTGATGATCAGTATTCAGTTCCACGTCAGTTTCCATAACCACGCCGCTCTGCGCCAAGGAATCCGCGTCGCTGCGTATCTTCACCCGGCAGAGAAACGGCTGCGTGGCTTCGTATTTTGCCTTCGTTTTAAAGCCCCAGTTTTTGATATCGACCACCGGAGGGTGTCCCACCGTGCTGTTTGTCTCGTAGTTCCGCAGCCACTCGTTCCCGACAAATTGGCGGCAGTAGGGCGCACCCACAAAGTAGTTCGGGTCAAACCCGAAATCCGCCGGATTCGGCAACAGCCGAGCGTTGCCGTCGACCGTATGGCGCATCGGGCTGAACAGCCCGCGTACCCGGCGTTGCAGCCGCATGTCCTGCACCAGCCGCCGCTTCGCGGCCGCGTTCTCGGCCTCCTCTTCTGGCGGCACCTCGGCGTCCAACGTCCAGGACAATGGCGCTGGCCCGGCGCGCTCCCGCAACAACTGCTCGGTTTCTGCAGAATAGCTTTGGCTTTGGGATAAAGGTGAAGCAGTAGGACCACCACCACCATCCGCATGCTGATTTGGTTGCGCGAACAGTTCTTCGGTGGAGGTGACGACGGGCACCTCGGTGGGCAGCATCTTGCACTGCCACGGGTCGGTCGGTTCTGTTCCGCTCCGGTGAAGCCGCCACTCGACTGGCTTCTCCACCACCATGAAGGGCGTGCCGCCCTGCACGTCCAGATCGAGCAGAATATTGCGCTCCAGCGGCGTGGCCGGCGCCACCGGGAGCCCGAGGTCCTCCCGCGCTTTTTCCGCCGTCGGCAGCTCGCTCGCGTCGAAATCCCCCTGCAGGTTGAGCACCTCCGAATGGGCGGCAATCACGAACGAGTCGTCTTCCTCCGACAAGCGCGCGTCAGCGAGGGAAGCTCCCGGCGCCGCGACGTCGTTGTTCCCCGCGACGGACAAAAAAGAAGTTGAAGGAGGAGCCGTTGTAGTTTCCGTGCTGGCAGAGGACACCAGCGTAAAGTCTGCCGTTTGGTTGAGCAACAGGCCCTGCATTTCGGGGATGGACGCTGCCTTCGAACGCGGCGACTTTGCCAACGAACCGCGAAACAGGTATCTGGAGCTCCTCACGGGTTTGTCATACATGTACGTCCGGCGGCGCAACTTCATTCTCGATCTACTTCCAGAAGTACTTGTTTCCTTCAACTCTTTGTACTCGGTCTCCAGCATCGAGGAACTACTGCTCGTCCTGTCAAAGCGCTGTAGCGTGCTTTTCGTCGTGGGCGTTTTCCACAAGCTGCCGGCGCAAAAGGCAAAGAGGTCGAGGCCCTTGCGGTCAAATTTTTGGCAGTACGGCGGGATTTGCTGCAGCAGGATGACGTACTTGCAGCAGGTCACCCGTTCGTTCACCGGTCCGAGCTCGTTGATCGCGTCTGTGAAGGCCAGCATAATCGAGTCCTCGTAGCCGACGCAAAACTTGTGCTCGTAGCAGTAGCCGGGGTGGCACCCCACCTCCTCCACCCCGGAGGAGAAGATGTCTTGATCTCGCTTGGCGTCCAGCAAATCCCGCCACTTTTTGCAGTTATTCGGGTCCGATGGGTTCACCAGCTGGTAGCTCTGCGGGTCGAATTCGCAGGTGTCGCAGTTGGGCGTCAGGTCCGCCGTGGCGTATTCCGTGTACGCGTACTCGTCGCCGAGCGCGAAAATCCCGTGCCCCAGCTCGTGCACGCCGAGCTTGACCGCCTCCGCGTGAATGGTGATGGTCGCGGAGTTTTTCGTGGTGATACCCGCGCCCCCGTACTGGTCCATGTTCGCGATCACCATGGTGCCCATGTACAGTCCCGCGCCGCAGTGGAGCGCGGCGAACCGGTTCCACACGTCCATCTCGCCGCAGCACAAGAGCCGCTCGATGCCCTGGCAGTTCAGCCGGCAGTGCGTGTTCGGGTCGTGGTTGGCGATCTCCTCCGCGGTGGCGTCCTTGGGGGGCACCGAGGGATCGGGCAGCGCGGTGTCGACGTACAGAATGTTCATCCCGACGTTCTGCTTCGCGTCGAAGGGAAGCACGCGGGTGAAGCCCTCCCAAATCTTCCACACCACTTCCTTCCACTTCATGTGCCCCTCGAACCCGAGGTGGTGGAAGCCGTCCGGGAGAAAAATCAGGTTGATCGCGTTCTCCACCGGCGTGGCCGCCGACAACACGCGGCAGAAGGGCGACGCCGTGGGCGCGCGGTTGTCCTGCTCCGTCAGCCAGGCCTGCAGCTGCGTGTCCTGTGCGGCCTCCCGCAACGCCCGCGGCGCTTCGGAAAAAACCGGAGCCTTGTCCGCCGCCTCCTGCTCGTCGCCTTCGCAAACCAGCTGTAAGTTCAAATTCCGCTTGCCCTCCGGACAGTCCCCGAGCGTGGGACTCAGCACGGAAGCGGTCAGTTTCGTGCGGAGAAAATGCGTCCAGTTTTTCTCCGCGCTGACCTCCACGGAGCAGCCGACGGGAACGCAATTCGTCGGCAGACCGCCGCTGTACTCCGCGTCGTCCACTTTGTTGATTGGCCTGTCGAGTTCCGCATTGTTGCTCTGCGCGAAGAGACTCAAAATGTTGGTGCAGGCTGCGGCGTGGTTGTCAATGTTGGCTGAGTCCAGCAGGCCCCGGGAGGATGGAGCCGGGCACTGCGTCACCCCCTTCGCGGTCAGGAAGTACCACCGGGTCACGTCGTTAGCCGTGTAGGTCGACTTCAGCACCTGCCTCCCGGAGGCTGTGGCCAAAATCGAGATCTCGCTTTCGTCTTGTTTGTCCTTGTTGTTGACACCCGAGGACTCGGAGGTCGGACTGAGGTCGCCGGAGTCGGTTCCGTTGGTGTCATTTTTGCTACCCGCATCTTCATCGCCGCCGCCACAACAGCCACGACGGCGCTCCAGGTAGGAAATCGGCGTTGTGTTCTCAGGATCTTCATTTATTTCGGGCGAAGATAAGCTAGCTTTCTCGTCGTGCGCTGTCGCGGTGGCCGTGGTTCTTCTTTTCCCCAACAAGTAGAGAATGGAACAGCAGACGTCGAGCCACAGAAAACGGCGGCGGGTGAGACCCCGCGGCCGCACCACTGCGGACAGGGAGACTTCCATAGTGCAATGACTTTTACCGGAGGACATGCGGCACAACATGCCCCTCACCAGCCTGGCGCTGCCGACACTGTCCTATTTCGCGTGTGAGTCTCATCCTAGCTTGACATGGTGTGTGTTGCTACCACCAAAGCAAAGCTTCACTTCATTTTCTTCTATGTTGCGTCTTCTGGAGCAAATACAACTAGTTACTGTGATACTGATACGTTATGAGTAGCCAGGAGGCGGAGAAACAAACATTTACATTACGCACTAGAAAAACTGTTGCGCCGGCCTGTGTGTGCGTTTATTGCAAAAAAAGCAGAAGGTCTCTAGCTCTTGTAGAAAAAGGATATGGCGTCGTTTAGTGTCCAGCTATGTAATATATATACGTCAAGGCAGACCCAGAGCAGTATCACCGTTGCTGAAGATCTCGACGCAACTACGTTTTACACAGAACAATGATGAATACCGAAGAAAGCGCATGTTTTTTTTTGCGCAAGCAGTATCCCATGCTTCAATACGATGTTGATCCACGACTTTCACGACCACGAAAAAGAATGCCACTTATACGATGACGATGTTGACGCGGACTTCTTGTCACAACTTAGTTTTTCGTTTGACGAAAAGCAGAGAATACCGACGTCCTGAGCGAGTCGTCGATACCCTAAAAGTAAAGGAGGCGGATTTTTTGTGCGCAAAGACAACGTCATTATGGCACCGCATTCGTATCATTGAACACAAAAACATTTCTGTTGTCTCCGCTTTTGTCGTTCATCAGATTTTTAACAAGAAGGCTCCCGTGATGGACGTGTGTCCCGCAAAAATGAGTTGCGCGTCGAGTCTCGTCATCTGTACGTCTACCTGATCATAGACCAAAGCATGGCTGTGGCTGTCATCTCCTGCGAGAACTTATGTACGCTTCAATTCTTGTGGTACTTGTTGATTATTTCGAGCGCCTTGGTTTTGTTCGCCATACGCTTTTCTTCCCAAGCCTCAAGCATTGCAGCGCGATCTGCAAACTGGTTTTTGTGCTTCACACAGAACTGGTTGAATTGCAGCGTTTTCGTGGTTTCGCTGAACTTTTTTACTTGCGAAGAAGAAGATTTGCCGACGTCAACATTGCGTCCCTTGCTTCCTTTTGTCCCTGCCTCCTTCGCCTTCCGCGCCTGCTCGTGCTCTTTTTTCCAGAACTCGATGTATTCCTTAAACTTAGGTGTTCGCTTTTCGATCTTCCACTGCTCGTTCAGCCACCTAATGCCGCTCGCTGTGTAGTGGAAGTGCTTTCCGATCTGGCTCTCGAAAAACTTCCGATGCTTCAGGTCGTTTTTGTAATGCCCGAAGACCATGAAATTTTGTATGCTGGTTGGTTCTGCAGCCTTTTTTGTGATATCTTTCGTTGCTGCAGACGAAGCGGATGAGGCGCCGGGCACCTTTTTTGCCTCCGGGGGAATCGGGAGGGAGGAGAGGCTTTTCGGCGCTGCAGAGGTGGATGACGGGCCAGCGGCCTTTCCGGTGTGTACATCTCCTTCGCCACCAGGTATCAGGCCTTGCAACGCGCCGCAAATCGTCTCTACAAGTGTTGTTTTGTCCGCAGAAGATTTTACGCTAGGCAATTTCAGTTTCTTTGCACAAATCTCCTTCAACTCCGGCACATGGCAGTAGTAAAGTGCGGACTCGAGCTGCTGCAATATTGCTGCATCAGAGACCAAGCCCAAACGGTGCGCTGTCATTTTTTGTGTACTTGTCGTGCTTGGGATATTCTTCTGATGAAGACCCACGATAATATCTTCGGATGGCTTTTGTTTTTGCACACTTGCGGCCGTTCTGGTGGTCTTTTGTGTTTTTTTCTTCGTTGTAGCTGCGCAGGCAAATTTCTCCTTCCCTACTAACGATTTCCTCGTCTTCGCGACACTGTTCTTCATTGCGACTGCGGAAGCGGGCGAAGACATCTTTGGATTGTTGATTTCTGTAAATTCTTTATCGATGCCTTTCGACCAAGGAGGAAACAGCTACTAGAGTATGCGCTTGTGGTTCTTCCTCCTCTACTCCTCATAATATATTCAGCGATAACTACTACTTCAACTTCGCGTACAGTCTCTGTAATAAAAGACCTTAAATTTTTCGAATCTGTGTCCACTTGCTCTTTGAAGATGAAACAGACGTAGCCAAATTTCGAATTCTTTCAGGTAAAAGAAAGCACCTGCTAAACATTTGAGTTGCGCGTTGGTTCGTTCCCACAATGATCATGATCTTCAATATATCCTCAGAATTCTCGTCATTCCATACAACAATTGAACACTTCTGCAGCCGTGCTCTACTGAAGTTCAAACGAGATATAACAAATTTAATTAAGCGCCACTACGTCCTCCATCAATCGTAATCCATGACACACCTTAGTTACATTTAGTGGTCTAGGGTGGGACGGGCACGGGTGACGATTTTTTGGCCGGAAGCCAACGTGCTTTGGACACGATCGGCAAAACCAGAAAAACTTTGAGTCCGATTTGCGCCCAAACCGGAGC